CTATACTGAATTTTATTGTTGTTAACAACCATTTGATCAATAAATATGAGAGATGCCCTCTCAAAAAATTAAAAAAAAAAAAAAAGTTAAACATTGAGCTACCATATAACCCAGCAATTCTTCTCCTAGGTATATACTCAAGAGAACTAAAACATGTGTTTACACAATAACTTGTATATGAATGTTCATAGTAGAAGCATTGTTTACACCAGTAAAACATTAAATAGAATTTTTTCCAAAGAAGATGTATAAATGGCTAATAAACACCTGAAAAGATACTCCATATCACTTGTCATTAAAGAGTTGCAAATGAAAACCCTGAGATACTACTTCATACCCACTAGGATGCATATAATCAAAAGGGCATTTCCTCAAAACGTTAAACATAGAATTACCATATAACCCTGCAATTTCACTCCTAGCTATGTACCCAAAAGAGTTGAAAACGGGGTCTCAAGCAAGTATACATGCACTCATGTCCAAAACATCACTATTCACAGCAGCCAAAAAGCTAGAAACAACCCAAATGTCCATCAACAAATGAATGGATAAACAAAATGTGTTATATACATACATGGAATATTACTCAACCTTTAAAAGGAATTAAGTACTGATAGATGCTCCAACATGGATAAACCTCAAAAACATTATGCTAAGTGAAAGAAGCCTAACACAAAAGATCACACTGTCTATAATTCCACTGACGTGGCATGTCCAGAATGGGTAAATTCATAGAGAGAAAATACAGATTGGCGGTTCCTATGGGCTGGGGGGAAAAGGAAATAGGGAGAAGTTGTTTAACAGATAAGGGGCTTTACTTTGGAGTGATGGAAATGCTTTGGAACTAGATAAAAGTGGGGGTTACACAACACTGTAAATGCACCAAAAGCCACTGGATGGTTCCCTTTAAAATTTTTCATTCTTTGTTATATGAATTTCACCTCAACAAATTATTTAAAAGAAAAAGCAAGCCCAAAATCTAAGCTAATGTTTCCATTTACATGATGCAACATTTTAAAAGTCGAAAAGTATTTCAAAAAGAGAGTGTTTATTTTACAGGTTGGGCTTGGCCTTTTTTTAAAAAAACCTAAGAAATTTGGCTAAATTTGAAGTACTTTGGGTAATCCCAGGTATACAAAGATCATTACTCTTTTATAATAAATTTCTACCATAGAGTTAGTTTATATGGAATTTTGAAAGATTTATTTCATGATGTGCTTATAGATCTGAAAGCGTTGGTGCATCTCCCATGTCCCTACTGGCAAGGATTAGCTTGCTAATTCAGCAGCACAAGTCAAATGGGAGGGAGAACAGCATTTCACTCCCAAAGGAAAACATCCTGCACCAATTAGTATGGAGCACTCTGCAACCTAAACTCTCCATTATTAAGCCTGAGTAAACTTCCAAAATCAAGATGTGGAATAGAAATTAGGAAAATTATCTGTAACCTAGATAACAAAGGAATGGAGCTTAAGAGCAAATCATTCACATAATCGTCCCAGCTTGTTTTTATTTTAATTTGCTTGTGGAAACTACGTCCTTTAAACACACAAGTATCAGCTAGATTCTAGTAGCTCTGAGAAGGAACCTCAGTACAAAATAAAGAAAATATTTAAACCTCTAATTTATATGGGGTGGTTGAGGGCATGTCATCTATTTAGCAACAAAACACTTTTGGGGAAGTAGATGATCTGGTGTTTCCCAAATTCTACCTACAATAATCTAAAAACATGAGGCAAATCGTATGAAGTTCTGTGTTGAATAGCTATTAAAAATAGTCTGATCATTGTTATAAAATCTAATAAAATTTCAATGATGCTACTAAATGTCACATAGGTGTGGATATAGCTATTTATAAGTATATTGAATAAACAGACATAAATTTTTAGAGGCTTTCTTGTTCCCTGCCACTGAGTTCTAAATTAAGATTTTATATTGGTACATTTTCAACTGAAATCAAATCAAACACAAAATATCTCCTAGATAATGCTTTATGGTACATTATAAATTCAAAGCCACATCTTTCTAAAGGAAGTTTCCCATACTATCCCAATATTTAACCTTCAGTTCAAGAAATGATGCCTCGTGCAAAATCACCCAGGGCAGCTGGAGAAGCAGGTGAGTAAAAGAGAAAGGGGGAGAGACTGAATCTGGCTCACTCTCCCCTTTTCATTCATGCACGCTCCTGGCATTCACCTGTCTCAGATTTCTGGTCTTTCAATGAAGATGAAGCACTACAGCCCATGTCTTCGAAATTGCTCACGTAATGGATTCAACATCTCATTCCAAAAGTGTGTGAAGAGCCTCCCTTCATGCTGTGAAGAGCCACTCCTCAGCTGATCCGCTTCAGTCATAGATTTGATGAGGAAGACGTGAGGGAGGGAGAGAGGGAAGCACTGTTAACAAGGTATCTAAGGGCTGCTCAGCAGGATTCATTTTATGCTTCTCAACTGCTATTCACCATGTGATGTGGAAAGTGATCAGACATAATCTAACGCTGGTTTATTTTCCAAAACACAGCAGCAGCAACAAAGCAACTATAGATTGCTTTTCTGCTACACATAAATTATATTTTCCCAGAGTCTAGGTCAGATCAAGGTCTGTATAAAATAAAGCATTAAAGACGAAATGATAAATGGAAGTGTAAAAGCGTACAATTTTCTAGTTGAAATATAGGGAATGGAATATGAAGGCTCTGACGTAATTCAACTGTTTTGGTTTTAAGCTCCAAATAATGAAATCTATTTGAGCTTTTTGAATACACAGATTGGAGGCAAAAACAACATATTTAAACAACTATGCCAAAATTCAAATCAAAATGAGTTCCTTGACGATATTTCTCAGTCAGTTGGGGTGCTAGTTTTTAAAAAACGAGGCTCAAGAACTGCCCCAGACTAAGAATCCCACATCAGAAATTGTGGGAGTGCCCTTTTTAAACAAGCTCTCCAGGGGTTACCAAGCCTCCTCCAGGCCTACCCATACACTCACAAGTGGAAACTGCTCAATTGCATCCTCCACAATCACTCCATGGGAGTGTTTCTCAGAATTCTTTTCTGTAGTATCCCACCTCATGGCTTTCTTGGGTGATGTTTCCTTTATTTTGTGATGCTCCAAACCAACCTGATCTAATTTATTTGCATTTCTTGATAGGAACAAAGTCAGAGAACAACCAACTTGGGACCCTACCAGGCATGCCTATTTTACCGTTAGGACTACAGTAAGAGCTTCGAAATTTTGACTCAACTAAAGAAAGGGGAAAATTAAATGAGCAAAATATTTGAATTACAGAAATGTTTTTAAAACAGTAATAACCTTAATAAACAGAAATTCTGATCAGAGCTTGTCCTGATTCTTTAATGAAGTGAATTAATTAACCCTCCGAAACTTTGGGTTATTCCCAAATTCAATAGGCATTTCTTTCATATTCTCCTATCTACATCATGGATAAAAAATGTCAGCAAGGCCAGCTCCAGGGGCAGAACGACTCTGTGACATTCCACTCCAGCCCATTCTCCAGGGACCCCACAGATCCGTTACATCCTTACTCTGAGCTTATTTGTTCACTTAGATGGTAAATTCGCCTATCATAAAGTCTTACTTATCTAGGAGACATCCTGGGAATTTTTGCTAAATATTTTAATGTAATTAAGATATATATTTGATACCTTTGACATTCCAGGGTATCCCAGCAGCAGCAGCAGAGACATGAGAGGAGGAGGAGGAAGAGGGAAGAAGGAAGGATGGAAGAAAGATAATCAATTTGGCATGATTTTTAATAACAGAGTCTTGAAAGTTTAAAGGTACGAGAGAACTTAAAAATTACCTTGAATTTACACAAAGTGCAAGGAAGTGAGGCAACCTGCCTAATGTAGATTGGTTGTATTATAGACGAATTCGTTGTCAAACTGTGGTGCACAATGCATCACCTGGGGAGCTTTTAAAACTCCCAGTGCTCAGACTGAACCTCATTCAATTAGAATCTCTGGGGTTTTAAAAAATACTGATACCTGGGTCCCATTCCCAGACATTCTGATGTAATTGGTACTGGGTGGGGGTTGGGCATGAAGATTTTTTAAAGCTTCTCAGATGATTCTAATGTGCAGCAAAATTTGAAAATCTCTTATAGAAATAATGTCTTAGCAAACCCATAATGATGCCTAGTGATCATCACATTTTCCTCTAAATGCTTTGACTCCATCTGGAACAGAATTTTTCCAGAGGTCGTATCAGGCTGATAAGGCCGTGGCTTCTGGCATCTACTCTTTTCTCATTTTTGAAATTGAGGCACTATTTACCCATCAGCTGCCTTCCCTCTATAAGCAGAAATTTCTCAAAAGTTATCTGCAGTGCCTATGAGAACACATCTGCTGGGACCTTCATCACCCTTTGAAGTGGTTCACCTAGTCCTGGTAACCTTCTCCAGGTGCCCAGATCCGTGCTCTCCAATACGAGCATCACAAGACTTACTGGGGAGGTTATTAAAAACTGCAGACTCCCAGGCTTTACCACCAATACTTAGATTCAAGCAGTCCCTTGGGCCTGGGAATCTGCAATTAGAGGGTAACCTTCAGAGGACCTTGACACAGGCAAAGTATCTCAGTTTGAGAAATACTGCTCTCCCTGTCTACCTCGGGCTTTGCTTACATCTTTATGCTCTTTTTCTCTACCCCTTTTTATGACTACATAAGAACTGGGCATTGAATAGGCAATAGTAATTCAACCATAGGAAGTGATATTTTTCAATCTCAATTTTCCTTTTCCAGGAAATAAATAAATAAAGCAGTATCTCTCAGAAAAAGTTTTGCTATTAGAATTTTTAATTATCAAATAATAATTATTAAGCAAGTCATTTTTAAACTGTTTTTCTCCCTAAGGTAACAGGGTAAACAAAAAAAGAAAAAGAGTCAGTTCATTGTAGGTCTTGCCACAAGAGCTGATTAAGGCCAGATGCCACTTCCTAACCCTAACACACTGCCCAGCCTAGATGGCAATCACCCACTTAAATCAGGCAGAGAGGGAAATAAGTTTTTAAGCAGTGTATGTGCCTCTGAGGGCATCTCCAGCCAGCTGCAAAGGTGATAAAAAATGACTTGGGGATTTTCCTTTATTCGGGAAATCTAATGGATTTCTTCCATTTCCTACCTTCTGTCAGCATTAGAAGTGGAGTATAACAACAAAGCAAAACTGAAGGAACAAAATAGCAGCAGACTCACAGACTCCAAGAAGGGACTAGTGGTTACCAAAGGGAGGGGTAGGGGAGGGCAGGTCGGGTGGGGAGGGAGGACGAAGGGGATTGTGGGGTATCATGATTGGTGCACATGGCGTGTGTGGGGACACAGGGAAGAAAATGTAGCTCAGAGAAGACAAGTAGTGACTCTGTGGCATCTTACTACACTGATAGACAGTGACTGCAGTGGGGTATTGGCGGGGGACTTGATAATAAGGGTGAATGTAATAATCACATTGTTTTTCTTGTGAAACCTTCATAAGAGTGTATATCAATGATACCTTAATAAAAAAAAAAAAAAGAAATGCTGGCTTTTGTGAGAAATTCCTACTCTTGACTCTGGCCCTGAGGAACCCAAACCCAGAACCCATAGTCATTCAACTGGCACTACATCCCAGCCCCCAAAGTGGGAGTTAGGTAGGCAGGTCTAATCCTTCCCCCTTGGACGGTGCAGATGTGAGCAAGGGGGACAAACACCCCTTAAGGCTCACCTTGCTGCGTTCTCTTTGGTATTCAGGAAACGGGGGTTCTGTCACCTGATGTCTGTGACCCAATACAATGAAAGGGCATAGAGTGGGGCATGGGAGTCCCTGGTAGACAGTGCTAAAGAGGCCCTGTGGATAAAATGAGAGTTCCTGTGGCCAGGATTCTCACTGGGCCCTGGTTGACTAGCTCACTGCACATCTGTGGGCAATACATGGCCGTTGACTCTATAAAAAGAGCTCCGCCCAGTGCTCTGGGCGCGACACCGTGGCAGGGCTGCAAGGCTGCAGGAGAGCAGAGCAGAGGCTGGCATGGTGGCAGCACCAAGGACAGAGGCCCAGAGGATGGCTGTGTGAACAGAGGGGCCCAGAGGACAGCTGTGCAGACAGAGGGGCCCAGAGGCAGAGACTAGCTTGCTGCCTGCAGACTCGCTCTGAGTGAATGGGATTCTAGTGACTGACCTGCCACCTGGAAATAAACTTGGGTATAACCCTTTCACCCCAAGAATGTTTTGCTGTCATTTTCTTTGGTCACACTGAATCCATAGTGAACTTGCCTGGGGCTGAAACCCATAGGCAAGACAGGCCCCTTCCACCACTGCCTTCCCAGTGGAACACTGTGCTGTGTCTGGGCTCTTAAATGAATAAGAGGAGTCTGCAGACTGAACTGGTAATGCTCCCTGAGTCTCATCAGATGAAAGGGATAAGAAAAGGGAGGGAACAATACTGACCACCAGAAGGTGTCTCAGAGTATCTGTTGTTCAATCAAGTAGGATTTTAATCAGAAGGCAGTTTGGCCTGGTGACAGGTTTTCCAAAGTATGTTTGTGGAAGAGTGGTTCTGTGTGGTTTATGATTCCACGAATAAGGCAAAAAAAGGTCCCACCATCAAATAAGTTCAGGAGAGACAGGATTAAACAGGTTTCTTCCGTACAGGATTCCTCGGCACCTTCAATATGTTAACATGCATCTCTAACACGAATCTCTAAAATAAAGTGCTAGTGTCCACTATTACCCAACAGCCTAGCAGGGCACCCTTTTGAGGTAAAACACCTCAAGAACATGTATTCTTCCTAACTGCCTACTGCTGGCCCAGTGGAGCCTGGGGTTTAGAAGTCAAACTAACTGGAGTATAAATTCTTTTCAGCTGGTCTTTAATTCCTCTGTACCTCAGATTTCTCATAAGAAAATAGGGATAGTAATACATACCTTACAGACTTGTAGTGAAGACGAATGGTGAGCTCAGTAGTGGAAAAAGCTGACTTTATAAAGAGCAATTCTTAGCTGATGAGTTGGACGAATCATTCATGGGTGGGCACCTACTGTGGTGGAAGTGTTGAAATGAGATTTGTGTTTGCTAAAATCTCCTCCTTCAGAATGTATTGTCTGGGATCTTCCAGAGGCTAAACCCCTTGGGTGTCTACTGATTCTAGGATAATTTGAAATTCACAAAGATAGGGACCCATCTTGCCTGAGAGCACTGTGATCTGAAAGAATGCTATACCAGTAATAATAAAATTAGCTAAAATCACTTCTGTTGATTAAGGGATTTACCTTAATCAATTTACCCAGAACAGTGGGTACTTCCTATTTGCGTTATTCCAGGTACTCTTCACAGGGACCTTCAAGGTGGTATCATCACTTCCATAATAAAGGTGAAGAAATTTATTTAAGGAGTAAAGAACAAACCTGTTCACTGGAAGGTTAGCTATGCCTTGGTTTCAGAACCCAATCTGATCAATCTTTGTAAGCACTAAATCACTAAAGAGAATTCTTGATCATTGCAAGGAATTCTGTTTCCCTTTCTTACAGATAAATGGAAACCCTGTGGTCCTCTAAGACAGCAAGAGGCCAAGGGAGCTAAAGGAAGATTTCTGACTATAAAGTTACATAGTGGGGCTTGGGGCATGTCAGACAAAGGGCCTAGAAGGGTTTCTCAAAGTTTCCTTCCCTCATTTCTTGCTCTCACCCAAGTGACCAGAGTTTTCCAGACAGTGAATTCATTTGAAATAGGTTGCAGCCTTTCAAACTGCAAAGTCATCTGTACATCTTTTTAATATGATGACAACTGATTTGCAAAGAGAAAATTTGAGAAAAATCATTCCAAGAAATTGCAAAACAATAAAATAAACTCCAAGGAGTGCACATTTCGTTTCGTTGCTACACAATATATGTTTATAATGTAGACTCCTGCTTGCCCAAAATACCTAAGAACAAACAAACATATTACCTGTTTCTTCTGCTTGGCCAGTGCAGATATTTTACTCCAGATATTTCAGGAGAAAAACAAGGAAAAACCTTCTCTGTGAGGGATGCAGAGATCTGAAAGAAAGAAGTATAATTCCAGCTTTCTCTGGAGCACCCCACCCCCCCACAGATACGTACACACATGCATGCACTGCACACATCTCACATCTCCACAGCTCTCTATAGGGAGAATGCTTGCTTAAATGAATCAAGAAATAAATACACATGCACACACACAAAGAAATAACTCAAACAGGCACAGCTACTTTGCCTTACAGTCTGGAAGACGAGCCCAGAGCTACAGATCTGGGAGAAGCTGGGCTGGCCCGTGAGCCGCACTGTCTGCCCCAGTCCTGCCCTGTCTGGGGAGGAGATAAAGGGACATGCTCAAGTAATGGGCTGTGGTCACATGATTGCTTCCAAGGGCACCAGGCTCTGTGCAGGCAGGACCAGGCCACTGTTTGCATAAAATAACCTGCATCGATACAAAATACAAAATGAATTTTGGTACTAAGGGTAGAAAAGCATTCAGTGGCTGACTCTTTATGTCAGCCAAGGTTGATTTTTAGGAAACACTGCAGTGACCTGGGTATGATTAAGACAAGCGGGAACACTAAACATTCCTCCTGAGGCCGTGACAAGGCATGGGTTTAAGGGAGAGGTCTTTGGGTGCTGTGCTGCAAATTCATTTACATGACACTTTTATTCCTCCAGCTATTCAACTAGGCTGCTTGTTGGAGAACCTATCTGTGAAAGGGAGAGAGTCACATCTCTTCATCAGCAGAAAAGAAAAGGAAGGTTGACCTGCAATTTTGCTGAGTTTGAGAAGGAAGAGGAGGAAGACATTTGAAAACGCAAGTGCCGATGTGAGTGCTGGATGCTACCAACCCCAGTCCTGTTCTTTCAAGGCAATCCAGAGGTGATCTTCCTCTCAGTCATATGCTGATCTCAGCTGCAGCGACAGCAATTTTCCTCCCAAACTCTTCCTGGCTGGTTACACAGCATTTGCTTTCAAGCTTAATGGCCTTAGGCATTGTGAGCTAGGATTTGAAGGACTCCAGCCAAATTATTTCATAACCCCACCCAAGTTGCTCTTTAGCCGATTCCTCTCCACAATTGAGAGCCACAGGAGATCCAGTAAAGTAGTTATCTAGCTTGCTAGTTAATCTAATGGAGTCACTTTAAAAATAACTGGAAAGGCAGCTCTGAGCTTCTGTACTCCTATTAGCATATTAAATATTATCAGAAGGCCTCATTATGAGACAATACACCCTAGGTTTCCATGGCAGGAACTCCAAGACTAGGACCTGGTGAGGCTGTCAGACATATTGTGAATTATAGCAGAATTACCTGGGCTCCCCCTAAAATAGTGGACAATGTCACCCTGTGACTTTTTTTCCAGCCAAATGCCTATTCAATCCACACTGATTAAATGATGGCTATGCCTGGGTACAGTTCTTCAAATGTCACCTCCTCTGTGTGAAGCCTTTCCTGAATCACGAAAGGGGAATTAGTCACTCTGTCTTCTGGCTCTCAAAGCCATGTGTGTGTCCAATTATAGACCTTCCCAAAGTGCGCCATAATTTGGCCTTTACATGTAAAATCCTGAAGGGAAGGGAACCATCTCAAACCTCTCAGCATCCCCAGCACCAAATGCATGAGGTACTCACCAAATAGTCGTTTAATCACAGAAAGAGAGGAAAGGAGGGAAAGAGCCCATGATTTCCATGGTAATTTTATTGACCAGCCTCTGGACAATGAATTGGATTGCCTGTGCCCTTTATATGATTTGTCTAAACTTAGAATTTGCTTAAAATGAAGAACGTCACTGGATTTTTCCATTCTTCAAAGAACACTAAAATGTTACTTTGAGCACCACAAAGTAACTGTGTCCAGGCCCAGGAAGCTTGTGAAATATGAGCAGTTTACCTGCAACGCTCAATCTCTCCCTTGTGAGGTAACCAGCCTTCTCATTCTCTTCTGTGTGTCCAGCCTCCAATCGTTAAATGAAGCAGCAGTGATGTATGTGAATAACTCATAGTAATGATAACATTTATTGAGCATTTATTATGTTCTAAGCATTTGTTAATTCTATATGTATTAGTCTTATTTAGTTCACACATCATCCTATGAGGTATATACTATTATTATTCCTATTTAGGCATTAGGAACTATAGCCCAAAATTAAACAACCAATGAGTGGCAGGGCTGGGATTTGAACCCAGGCACGTTGACTCTAGAATCCCTACTTACAATCATTACACTACACTGCCATGGTCAGCATCTTGTGTGGTTACAAAATGAAGGTTCCAGCCTCTTCTCAGATGTTCTCTAGCTGTCCTCCAGCTGACCAGGGGTATGTTCTCCCAGCCTGAAAAAAAGAAAAAATAATGGGCAAAGTAATGTTAACAGTTCTAAGCTCACTAACAGACTTACATACTAACATTCAAGGTCGGTCAATCCATCTCTCAGTGGGAACATCGTCATAGGAAAACAGCCAACAGGAGAGATGGGAGTTGGCTCTCCCCCTTGGGAAAGGCCATAGACTACCAAATCGTCCGCAACTAAGATGCCTTGTGCTCTTCAATTCAGCACATTTGAATTGAGCATCCCCTGTGTGGCAGCCATTGTATTGACAGAGAGGGACATAAATGAACAAAATGGACATGATTAGGGTGGGAAAAACACAGAAGTAAATAAGCAATTAAAATAAAATTACAAATTAAAATCCATCTCCCCTATTGGAATATAAACTCCAGGTAACTAAAACAGTGCCAGGCACAGAACAGATATTTGTTATATGAATAAATGACAGCAATACAGTATGACTAAATATTTAATAGTTCAGGTAGGGGGCACAGAGAAAGAGCCCTATCCCGGCAGGGAAGTGATGGGGTGCTCCTGGCTGAGACCTGAGGACTGAGCGACCAGAAGTTAGAAGTTAACCAGAGGAAAAGTGGCAAGGGAGAGAAGAGGATGTTCTTGAAGACATGTACATTTTATGGTACTTATCAAGGATGTGAAATGGGAGAGGTGAAATAAAATTAGAATGAGCTGAGTTCCTGACTATAATGCTGCAATTAGACTTACACATGGGTAGACAGAAGTGCCCACCTGCTCTGACTGAAAAATGGCAGCTTCTCCACCTCTACAGGCTGTGCTCACTCTTTCTCAGCTGTCTCTGCTGTCTCTCCGTCCTCTCACTTCCCTACTCCCCTACTGGGTTTGCCTTCACCTTGCAAATAAACTTGCTCTCGGATGCTGGTCTCAGGGTCTGCTTCTGCAGGAACGCAAAGCAGCACACTCAGATAGTCTCTAGTAGTAGCAAGCTATGGACACACAGAAGAGAATGAGAAGGCTGGTTACCTCACAAGGGAGAGACTGGGCATTGCAGGTAAATTGCTCCTATTTCACAAGCTTCCTGGAGCTGGACACAGTTCCAATTTCTACCAAAAAATGTAATTCTAGTAGGCAGTTCCTATTATGGGTCATGACGCACACTGGGGAATATGCTAAATCTAGGTAAACCAGTTGGATTTGGGAATAGACAGAGAAGAAAACGACGTGTGCAGATCTGTTCGGTGGTGAGTACTTAAGGTGTCTGTCCAGTCATGGCACCTGACACCTCTACCCCTGATAGCACCAAAGGGGGAAAGTTCAGATGGGGCTGGCCAAGTCTCAGCTAGCCTGCTGGTTCTGGGGCCAGTGGTAAGCAATCACACCCAATTCCAGCTTCCTAGCACCTGGTGGCCTCTAAGTTGGGGTACCTGCCCCACAACAGATGCACAGAAGATATGTTGAGCAGAAGAAAACAAAATATTAGAACTCATATTTTTATCTACTTTCTTATTTCTTTTGAAATATTCTATTTTCAAGTATTTTTGGTAATATACACACATATATGTATGAGTTCAGTGACATTAGTTGTAAATAAATGAATATACCTGCATTAGGGGTCCATTCCAAAAAGCTTTTACTGTGAGAGGTTCATGATCAAAAACATTCAAAGAACCTTGATTTAGAGCCTGCTTCTTTTTGAAGAGAAGGAAGGAATAACAAGTAATTCTACATTTCAATAAAGAAAAAGGATCAAGCATATTTCCAGGGATGACATCTGGGTATTGAAAAATTACATTAAGTGGGAGAAAAGAGACAGCAGATTTCACAAGTATTTAAATCATTAAAAGAAATCCAAGGTGGGTTATAAACCACTATCAGGTAAAAGAAGTCCATAAAGGCCAGTGCTAGCCAGATGTCTCTGTCGGGATTACCTGGTCAGAAGCCACAATGACAGGCTGAAACAGCTGTCATGTGTTGAAGAGTCTAAGTCAGCTTTGAAAAGGCCCATCTTGGGTACCAAAGCTGAGCTTTCCATGGCTGTACTTCAATAAATAGACGATTAGTAGACATCAGAATTTAAATTTTGACCACTACTTAATCTGACCCTAACTTGATCCTAGATGGCTTGAATTTAAAAAAAAAAGTTCTCCTTAAGTTAACCCTGAATATTCATAAATCAAATCAAACAGTTCCAGTCTGTGTAAGATGGAATAAGGACACTCCACTCCCTCTGTGCTGTCTCTCCCACAGAAGGAAGCTACCCAACCTGGACAGAATCCATGGAGCAGCCACTTGAGGACTATGGCAGGCAGACTAATAGATGGCCCCCAATAATCCCTGCCTCCTGGTATCCATGCCCTTGTGGAATCCCTTCCCTTTCAGTGTAAGACTGGTCCTGCTGACTGACTTCTAACCAAGAGAGTATGGCAAAGGTGTTGAGATATCACTTCTGTGATTTGGTTATAAAAGATTGTGACTTTCTGTCTTGCTGGTAGACTCTACTGCCTTAGCAACTTGTGTGCTTTTGAGGAAGTAAGCTGCCATGTTGGGGGACCCACGTGGCACAGGACTGAGGGAAGTCTCTGGAAAAATGCCAGCAAAGAACTGAGGCCCTCAGTTAAACAGACTTTAAGGAACTGAATCCTGCCCACAACCACGTGAGCTTGGAAGGAGAGTGTTTCCCAGTTAAGCCTAAAATGACTGTGGCCCGGCCAACACCTTGATTGCAGCAGCTGGTGGGGATCCATATAAGATGTGCCTGGATTCCTGACCCACAGAAGCTGTGAGGTCATAAATATGTGTTTAAGCCTCGAAGGTTTTTGGCAATTAGTTACAAAACAATAAATAAGTAACACAAGGACTCTAAATAGCAGAAGGCAGATTGAGGAAGAAGATCAAAGTTTGAAGTACCATCAAACTGGGTGGTGAGCTGACCATTTTTTTTTCCCTCCAGTTCCCACAAACTGGATTTGAGGAAGCAGAAATTCAAATTAAAGCCACAATGAGGTAACACTGTACACCTGTTAGCATGGTTTTTGAAAAAAATATGTAATAATACCCAATGCTGACTAGGATGTGGAGCAACTAGAACTCTCATACTTTGCTTGTGAGAATGTAAAATGGTATAGCTACTCTGAGAAATAGTTTGGTAGTTTCTTACAAAGTTAAACATACACTTACCATATGACACAGCAATCCTACACCTGGGTATTTACTCTAGAGAAATGAAAGCTTATATTCACAGAAAAACCTGTACACAGGTTCATATGATCAAATACTGAAAACAGCTAAACATCCTGCAATGAGTGCATGGATACACAAACTGTGAGATATCCATATAGTGGAATATTACTTAGCAATAAAATGGAACTATTGATGCATACAACTTGAAAGAATCTCAAAAGCATTATGATGAGTCAAAGAAGATAGGCTCAAAAGGTTATGTACATTTATATGACGTTGTCAAAAAACCAAAACTACAATGATGGATAACTGATTAGTGGTTGCCAGGGTTTAGGGGTGGAGAAGCATGTAACTACAAAGGCATAGCAATTTGGGGGGCAATGTTCTATATCCTGATTATGATGGTAGTCACACTAATCTATCCATGTATCAAAATGCACAGAGCTGTATGACAGTAAGTCAATTTTACTGTACACTCACTTAAAAAATATTTTTTAAAGTTTCAGAGCTGGCTCTAGTTTAGTGCCTTTGGGTGTGCAGATATTAAAGTCCCCACAGGCTGACTGGACTGCCAAACGCCTTCCTAAATCACAGCCAGAAGCAGTGCCTTCTGCTGTAAGCTACAAGCACTAAGAAAAACACTTGCCTTTCCCTCTGATTTCACTTTTAGCTCTCTAGCCATGGGCAAAACTCACAAAATAGATGCCAGTCAGAAAGCACACCCCGTCCATTCTTTATTCAACAGATACTTACTGAGCATGCCCCAGCTCTGAGGCAAGGATACAAAGGTGAATACCTTCTGATTCATTTCCCTACCAGGTTCGCAGTGTAGTGAAGGACACAGGCCTGTCCACAGATAATTTCAAGGCAGGAAGTATAATATAGAGATATGCCCATATACTACTGGAATCCAGAGGATATTAGCTCTACCAGGGCAAGTTGGGAAATGTTTCATAGAGCATAAAAGGTGGAGAAATGCTGTCCAAGGAACATGTTATATTTGAGTAATGTTTCCTGAGACTGGGGGATAGAGGGTGTGTAGAGCAGAGGATTGGCAAGTGAACTTGGAGAGGTAGGTTGGGCCAACTGTAATCATTCTTATAAATCATAACAAAGAATTCAGGCTTTAACCCAACAGTCATAGATTACAATTTCAAATGCTTACAGGGGCTGGGGCAGATAATAGAAATAAATAAAGCAACCTGGATAAAAACAATGGGATATTCTAGAGAGTTTTGGTCTAAATGAAACAGCTGCAACTTACCGGTAGCTCCCTTTTAGGCTGCCATCTAGAAATCTTGGCCCAGTGTTCCCCGATGTAATTTTTCAAGAAAAGCTGAACATATTTTTTATCTCCCTATTTTTAAATGTCAGTATGAGTATATTTCCACAAATTTAAGGTGCCATCTATTACAAGGTGCATCATTATTTTATGTACCAGTAACTAAGAAAAAAGCCACCCGTCAAACTATGACACTCCATCAATTTTAAGACACATACCAATTTCAGAGGTGCTAAAATGTGAAAAAAAAATGTGCATCTTAGTATCAATGAAATGTAGTAATTCTCATTTTCTCAAAACACTGTGTAGACTTCACGGATTTAGTGTGAGCCTGCCAGATTGCAAACTCTGTTTAAGTGAAGTGGAGCCTGAGGGTAATCTGATTAGATTCAAGCTTTAGGAAAATCTCTCCGAGGGTCAGACAGGGATGAACTGAGAAAAAGCCAGCCATAGGCAAACCGAAGAAGAAGCTCCTGCAACAAACCAGGAGACAGTTTGTTAAGGGCTGAATTAAAGCAGTGGTAATGAAGGTGGAGAGAAGAGGCCAAATGTGAAAGCCTTTTAGGTAATAAACCCCACGGGTCCCAGAGTGGGTACAGGGAACAGGGGAGACAGAGGCATCAAGAATGATTCCAAGGTTTCTAGTTTGGAATATTAGGTGGATTCATCACTTCTTCAACAACACTTACTGGGTATCGACCATGTGCCAGGCACTATGCTGGGCACTGGGGGCACAACAGTGGACAAGAGACATGGTCTCTGTTCTCTTGTCATTTATAGTCTAGTGGGTGATGCCATTTACTGAGGTATTAACAGGTACAAGGGTAGGACATGAAGGGGGACAAGCATGTTTCTGGTGAAGAAAAAAAGCAAAGAAATGTCCCATAGGCAGTAGAAGCCTGCATTTAGAGCCCAGGAAATAAATCAGGTCTGCAGATTCTGATTAAAGAGTCATCAGGTTGCTGATCACAGCTGAGGTGATTACAGAAGATAAAATCACCAGGGAGAGCTTGCAGCGTCAGAAAGCTATAGGGGCAAAAACAAAAAAGCCTGGGGAATAGAGACATTAAAAGGGAATGAGGAGGAGGAAAGAGCAAACAAAGGAGTCTAAAAAAGGAACAATCTGGAAAGGAAGAGGCCTGGGAGAGAAGGGTATCTGTAAACCAAGGGAGATGGGTATTATCATATAATCCAATATATCTTTATCTATAATCACTGCATAGAAGTAATTTACCCTGGCAATGTACAATTCAGATTTTCAGAGTTATGGGTGTTTTGCATGAATTCCAAATAGGCTTATCAGAACTGCTTATTTAGAGAGTTGTGATATTTTAAAATATTGCCGCAATCTGTTCCTTTAGCTTGTATGTGCTTGCATTTTGCATGTATCTCAGTTTGACATCTAGCGTGAGTCAATGGCAGAGCAATGGTAATTTCTTACTTCTTATTTTCCTTCTGCAGGAGCTATAATCTGCCATTCCAAGACAAAAGTAAAACAAAGCATATAGCCTTACGCAATTCCCTCTCATGTCAGAGCCCTGTGAATTGGCAAAACTGACCTACTGGCAGACAATGGAGTTCCCCTGCAAGAAGATCATGAGGTTCTTGGCCCAGAGCTCTATAGCAGGCAAGCCTGTGATATGGTAAGGCACTCTGGTCCTCTGCACTGGTTCAGAAAGCGCCTCCATTTTACAGAGAGGAAAGCAGGCCCGGAAAGGTTAGGTGGCTTCCCCAACATCACACACAGTCTTACAACTTGGGGGTAAGCACTCTTTCCATTACACCAAGGTCAATCAATTCCATCCTATAAAGATAGCTCTATATAATATATATATCCAAGTATGATAAACGCCATACGTGAAACATAAAGTCCATGAGAGTTGGCCAAACAGCTAAACAAACAGAAGATTAATTATCAGTCATATGGTTCTATGCCTACACAGATTTCATTCATTTGCTCAATAAGAGCTCTTATCTTACCCTTTTAAGTTTTTTTTTTATCAGTTCTACACTGGTTCAAGGAAATAGCCTCCTAGACCTTCACTTTGGTATTTGCTGAATCTTTTAGCCTGATCTACAGGCTCAGGTCACAGTCCATCATCATACTTACAGGTCTTACTTGAAGAGGACTCCTCAACCTTAGCTGGAATTTTTCCAGAGATGGATTCTAGAATGTTTCCTTAAGTTGTTTTGGCAACCCCACAACATTAGCTGCAGATAGCACAATACCTGCCAACATAAAGTGAGCAGCACAACTTCCTGCTTACTGGAGAGGCAGGTCCTGGCTCTTCAAGCTTTCTTTGAAGAAACTTGCCTCCTTGTCAACCATTTTTGTGTTCATGAACCTAGAAAACAAAGAACAGTTGGTTTCTTGGAGGAATGTTGAAACTATTAGCTAAAACAAGGCCTGGGAAAGAACCATGGCTTTCTTTTCCAAACCTCTGCCTCAGACAACTAAGAGCTTATGGCAAAGCCTTTGGAGAAGTTTTTAGAGAATTTTCTTTAAGAGCACTTATTCATGTCTTGGTTTCATTCATATATTCATTCAATAAATATTTGTCAAGCATCTCTTATGTGCCACTGTTCCAGACCCTGGAGATATACCAGTTAACAAAACTGATAAGCTCCCTTTCCTCATGAATAGTATAGCCTAGAGGGGGAAGTAAACATTAATAAAATAATCATAAAAACAAATGTGAAACTGCAAAGTGTTGTATGTACCATGAGAGTGACTCAGGAGGTCAAGCAAAGGCTTATCTGGGGAAGTAACTTTTGAACTGACATCTGAAAGGCAAATATTGATTAATTCAGTGATGGTGTTGATAGGGGGATGGAGTCAACCACACACTTGACTTAAGGCTCGGTGACCTGGAGTAAATAACTGGAGTCTATGATCTGGGGACTTTGAAAGGAGAATCCAGGGTTTAACATAGGTCTTAGTTTATTAAGGTAAATTTAGTATTTTCATCACTATTCCAAAGACTACAAGATCCGTGAGTCTCATTTACATAAAACTCTCTAAAACAGTGCCTGTAATGTGCTTGTAAATCACCTGAGGATCTTGTTTAAACACATATTCCTTGGGCCCAGCCCCTAAAGGTTCTGATTCAGGAAGTCTGGAGCGGGGCTCATGAATCTGTATTTCTAATAAACTCCCAAGTGATGGGGAAGCATGCGTTGAGTGGCACTGCTCTACAACACAGTATGACTTTTATTTCTTTAAATCTCTATTTCTTTTTCAACCCACTCCTTCATGACTTTTGAATTCAAACTATATTCTACAACATTCTTGTGATTTTTATGGTCAATTCAGTAGTATCACCAGAATAAAACAATGTTGTGATAAATACATAAAACAATGCCATAAGCTAAAGATCTCAAATATTTGGAAAGAATGAGCAAAATAACAATTAGAAGCAAACTAAGGTATCAGTAATGTAATGAAACTTCACTAATTTGCCCCAGTGAGGTGGACTGTCAACCTTACATAGTGAAAAGTCCAGTTGACAAAGCAGTTTTAAGGAAATGTAATATAAATTAACATGATGTAACTAAGGACAGGAAATTTCTATATGCTTAATGACTCTTTCTTTAACAGGTACACTTTCAATTTTTGAATGAAGCTCTGGATTTTACATAATATGAGATAAAAATAACCTCCCTTTTTAGGTCTCTGTTTCTTACTGCTGAACACAATTCCTGCTGCTATGCCATGTTCCTGCTGGTGCACCTACATGAAAGGACACTATGAAAACAAACTGGTGAGAGACCCAAGGTTTCTCTGGATTGTTACCTGAGAAGGTCATGAAATGAATACAGAGCCTGGAGCAAGCGACTGTCATTTTTAAAGCATTAAAAATGAAGTCTTTTGCAAGTAGTAACTCTATAGCATCTAACTACGCTGATAGACAATGACTGCAATGTGGGGGGGGGTGGTGAGGACTTGATAATGTGGGTGAATGTTGAAACCACAGTGTTGTTCATGTGAAATCTTCATAAGATTGTATATCAATGATACTTTAATAAAATTTTTAAAAAAAAAAAAAAAAAGGAAGTGTTCCATACATGGAAGTATAGGAAGATTAGGAAAGGCAACCAGCTTCCTGTATTTCACAGAAACAGCAGCTCTGCACTTAACAGCTCTGTATGAGCTTCGGAAAATTATATAACATCTCTTTGCCTATTTCTTTGAAAACCAGGATAGAAATAGTACCAAGCATACTGGGTTGAAGTAAGGAATAGTGAGTTAATACATATTGTGGTAGCCATTGATAGTTGCCTGATATCCATTCTTCCTTTCTCCTTACCAATAAAATCTCAGCCAACAAAACCCGATTTGCTAGATTCCGTGGCAGTTAGGGATGCTCATGTGACACATTTCTGGCCAAGGAGATATAAGCAGAAATCTACTGGCTGAGGCTCCCAGGAAATGCTGTTTTCCTGATATAAAAGACAAGACTCCCCTGGCATGAACCCATCCCTCTTTACCCTTCCCCCTTCTGCCAGGAACCAGGATACAATACCTGGAGGAGGAGCAGCCCTCTTGTAAGCATTAGGAAGAGAGCCTCACGCTGAGAATGGTAACTCGGAAAGGTCAAGGGTGGGCCTGAGGCTTGGGTGGGTGATGTGAAGATAAAAACCAGCCCCTCGTGTTAAGTCCCTGCTATTTCACATACCTTATTACACGCAGCCAACCACATTCTCTAACCAATACACCTGTAAAGCAATCTGAGTGGTGCCTGGCTCATAATATTCAATAAATGTTAGCTGTTAGTATTATGATTTGCCCAGCATTCTGTTCCTTAGCCAGATAGCTAATAAGTATTCCCCTCGCTTCCTTACAAGGGTACTCTAATCTTCCGTTTTAAAATCAACCCCATCCCCATCCTCAGCCCTGTGGTTTGCAGGGGATTACCACCTCCCACTCGAAGTGTGGGCCTTGACTGGCTTAAAGCAATTAGTATATGAGCCCACTTCCCAAGCAATAGTGATTTTCCAGGGATGGACACATAACTCAGGCCTGAGGAAGTGAGCTCCTCTTCTCCTGGCAAAATGGAGTGTTAGGGTAGGCACATAGCTAAAGAGAGGCCATATGAGTGAACCTCAGGGCACCTGGAGAGAGTGCTGGGACGTAGACTTGTTCTTCTCCCCCAGGCGTGGTGCTCTGAGCAAGCCTGTCAGCATGAGGAGAGCCAGCCTCGGAGGTGCAACTGATCCCTGCAGAAGGGCAAACCAAGAGGAGGGCAGAGAAATGGGGCCGGAGCCCTCCACTGTAAATCTCTGGATGAAATTTTACCTTTGGAATTTTCAAGTCAGATGCATCTGAGACTGGTTTTGCTAACTCAGTTTGGGCTGAATCCTCTGGTACTTGCAACCACAAGATTCCTTCTGATACTGCTGGGTGAAAAAAAGAATGAATTAACATCAGGGTCACAGACCTAGAGGGGAACTTCCCAAACTCTGATCGAGTGCATCTATTTAATCAGCTCTATAAGTCAAGTACAATATAAATTCCTATCAAATCTCCTTTCCAAAAGAAAAGAACAGCAATAAAATCTGTAATTTGCAATTGTGTAAATTCATTCAAATTTCCCTTCCAGAAGAAAAAACCCAGCCAGTTCAAAGTGTGTTGTTCTGTTTTGTGTTTTGTAAACATGTCCAGGAGAATTTCTTTAAGAACAGATGTGCATCTGAGTTTTAGGATGAATGCTGGACTCAGAGGGAGACACTGGAAACCTATGACTAACACTCAAACAATATCCAGACAGTTGTCATGGCAGCCTGCTCATTCCGCACAGAGTAGAACCCACTGCATTTTAACAGGATTTAGCAGAAGGAAAGCTGCTAGCCTGCAGACAGTCTCTAACAGACTTAAGCAACCTCCTAATTGGTTTTGGGTTTTGTATTATATATAGCCTTCAGACTATACCCTAACTATATCCCCCTAAATCACAAATACTTAAAAGTACTAATAAAAATGCATAATATGATTTTTGTTGAATGCCTGCATAACTCCTGAAATCGTCCATCAGAGTACGAGGCACAGCTTTGAGGCCAGTTCTGTTGTCTGCACTGTTGGATCTCATAAATCTAAAGAAGACAGTCAAGTGTTGGGCAAATAGAAAGAATAGCCAATTTCATTTCCATCACCAATTAGCACTGGCTGGATGCTGCTAGCAGACATTTCCTTTTAAGTGGGGTACTGGAGGAGTGGGGAGTAGCCAAATTGTTCTCTGTTCAGTTACACAGTCCCATGGGAAGGACTTTAGAAATCAGAGGCATCTCAAGGCATATAAATAAAGGAGGGGGAGACAGAGTATTTTGAGTTGATCTGTTCCTCTCTTGAGTGGCTATCTCTATCAAATCTAAGCTTGCTGGATGGGATTTTTGGGTAATCTTGGAGATTATTGAGAGCTGGTGTTCAGAGGAATACCACAAGGCCATCTTTACCCTTAGACAGGTTTTTGCATATCATCCTACACCCTTGCCCCTATACCTTTTCCTTTTTTGAGTTTCTTCTTTAAGAAGGAGGAGACTGGGTCTAATTAAAATCCAATAATATCCTAAATTAGGAAAACCACATCAAGCCATTATCATCCATTAACATCTTAGAACAAATTAGTCCTTTGGGTTAATTAATGTTCTTCAAACTCCTGGTGATGGGGCCATGCCATGCACTTAAAAAAAAAAAACTTCCCACACTGTCCAACACTGTGTTCCCAGACATATTGCAGGCATGTGACAATAAACAATTTCAATCAAGGGACTGGAATTCAGGCTGGTCCCTCAGTAGCCAGTGGGCAGATTTAAAGACATTGCCAAAATGGTATAGAAGACAGCTAAGGGTGAGAAATGTGAGAATGTTGAACGAGTAGAGATTATATTTTCCCTCAAGTAACTGAAACTCCCACTCCTAAAAATTAGGAGTTTTGTTTTTCATACGTAAAATGAATCTAGAAGCAGGAAATCCAAGGCTGGGACCCAGGCACCTTCCTTCTTTTGTCTGAGCCATGTAGCTTTCTTCTTCATAACTGTCAACTCATAGTCACAAAACGGATGCTCTACCTCCAGCATTGCATTTGCATTCCAGACAGAAAGTGAAGAACTAAGGGCAATATGGGGCATACCAGCTGAGTCTACCTCCTTTTAGAGAAATGATTGTGGAAGCCAACCTACTTCCACACACTCTTTGGCCAGAATTGTGTCACAGTCTCTTTTAGCTGTAAGGGAGCCTGGGAAATCAAGCTGTTTGAGCTGGACTATTGGCAAATCAAACAAAATCAGACAATACAGTACAGAGGTTAAATACAGCTTAAGAAGCCAGATGGCCTGAGTGTAAAACCCTGCTCCTTTATTTACTAGCTACATGACTTAGTCAAGTTACCTAATTATTCTATGCCTCAGTTTTATCATCTATAAACTAAATGAAATAACAGTACCTTTCTCACAGGGTTCTTGTGAGGATTAAATGAGCTGATATAAGGGAAGAGTTTAGAATAGTCTCTAATACATAGCAAGCACTATACACGTGTGTATTGGATAAGCAACAAGCAGTTCTCACCACAGATGTGTTGCCTGTAGCTCTGTAACTTTACCTGTCCTGGTCACTGTGCTATGTGTGAGCAAGTGCCCTGCTGTTCTCGAGCACTGCTGGCTCCCAAAATCAGGAAAACCAAAACCCTGCCCAGCCAGAAATGGCTGCTCCCCTGACCATCAGCCTCTCTCCCCATTTACTGGAAACTGAGGGCAACCAAAACCTCCCAGAGTCCAGGCCAGAGCAACCCTGCCAGACACCGTGCTGATGCTCATACATTTCAGACATGAATCATCATGACTCCTTCTGTTCCAGGTGTCAGTACACACAATTCCAGCTGGCCTAAGCAAAACTGGGAATGCGTTCTTCAAATACTTGAAGGGTCAATAGGTATACTTAAGGTGTGACTTGGGGGAGGCCTTAAAGTTAGCACCCAGGCATTCTATTTCTCAGCTCCAATCCTTTGCTGTTGGCTCCATTATTCTATGCCTCAGCTTTATCATCTATAAACTAAACGTAGTAACAGTACCTTCAGGCAGGCAGGGGATGCCTTTCATGCTTTGGGGTCACCCATTAACTTCTCAACATCCTCCCTATTTTCGTCACTCCCCACGTTTGACACCTGCCTCATTGAAGGAGAAATAAAAGAAAGACATTTGCTTTTCCAGCCTCCCCATAGCAAGAGCACAGGTACGTAACCAAGACTCTGCCAGAGACCTCAGCTTAGAAGAGGGCAGCACAAGGAGTCAAGGACTTACAAAAGCCTTCTTCTGATGAGGTTAGTGGCCAACGGGTCCAGTTTTCAGAGACAGCAGTGACAGAGACTCTGGGCCCCATCTCTGGCTCTTTCCAAGACCTTCTCAGAGATCCGATGAGCCTCTTAATATTCTGCGATAAATGCATTTTCTTCTTAAACTAGTAGGACTGTTAAATCAGCTTAGGTGATGTAATGCTTTGGTAACAACGCCAAATCTTAGTGGCTTACAGTGATCAAGGTTTATTTGTCACTCTTGTTCCATGGCTAGTGTAGACTGGCTGCACTTCTGTGACACATGCCTTCCCTCTGAACTCAGGCCAACCTCTCTCTGAACCCTTGCTGTTCTCACAGCAAAGGGAAAACATCAAAATAGTGAGCCACAAGCTGGCGGTTTGTGCTTTTGCTCGGAAGTGATACACACTTCTGTCCACATTCAAGTGGCCACAGCAAGTCATGTGGTCAAGCCTATCAGTGGGGCAATGGTGTAAAAATCCTACATGGGGAAGAGCAGTGAATATTTTGAACATGAGGGCTCTGCTGCATGCAGCTAAGAGCCCTGTCTGATACAGTGCAATAATAAGATGGCAGCAGAACCTCCAGCCTCTGGGTTATCCAGGGTGAACAAGGACATCTCTCTTCTCAGGAATTCAAGCAAAAGCCCCAGGATAAGCTCTGACTAGAACTGATTGCCTTGGTTTGAGTCATCCCCAGCCTTGAACAGACTCAGTCAAGACATATTTATTGAGCACTTACTATGCATTAGGCACTACTTTGGCTCTGTGGAATACAGCAGTGAACAAGACCAAACCCATGTCTTCATACAAATTTCATTCTAGCTGAGGATGGTGGGCAACAGATAATCAACAAAACAAATAAGTATCTGGAAAATTTGATGATGATAAGTTATAGATAACAAAGCAGGAGAGAGGGATACTGAGTTTCAAGGGTGAAAGGGAAAGGAAAATAGCAATTTTAAATAGGGCAGTCAGGAAAGGGTCACTGAGAAGATATTTAGGCAAATACCTGAGCAAGGTGAGGTAGCAAGCAATGGAGTGACCTAGAGAAGGAATATTCAAGGCTGAGAGAAGCAAGTGCAAAGGCCCTGAGGCAGAAGAGGCCTAGTGAGTTTGAAGACCGGTAAGCAGGCAAGTGTGCCTGCAATAAAGTAAAAGAAAAGGCAAAGTAATAGGATATATAATTAGAAAGGTAACAGATGAGAGGTTAGATCACTTAGGGCCTAGCAGGCCACTGTGAGGCTCTGGCTATCATTCTAGTTATAGTGATGAGCTATTGAAGGATTATGTGCAGAGGAGTGACAAGATGTAACTTAAATTTTAAAAGGATCACTCTGGCTTCTGTGTGGAGAACAGTCTGTAGGGAGAAAAGGGCAGAAGCTGGGAAGCCAGGATATGAGGGTTGTGGCAATGATCCAGGCAAAATGCGATGGTGGCCTTGATTACTATGGTAGAAGAGGAGATACAGAAAGTGATCCAATAGAGAAGGTAATTAATGATGCAGGAGAATGAGGGGGCTATTGTTAGAGTGATTTCCCTGAGTAGGCAAGAGCAGGTGGAGGGCTGTGCCTCAATAAAAATGCAGACAATTCATCTAGGGCAGGATTTCTCAGCCATGGCACCTCGGGGACTGGGTAACTTCTATTGCGGGTGGCCATGCTGTGCACCACAGGGTATTTCACCACATCCCTGGCCTCTACCCTCTAGATGCCAGCAGAACACCAAGCACCCTCCAGCAAGTCATGACAACTCAAAATGTGTGTGCACACATTGCCAATAGCCCCCAAGATTTTGCCCCCCACCAGGGGACATTCTGGACTGTCACAACTGGTGGGTGGGGTGCTATGGGCATCTGGTGGGGGGAGGCCAGGGACGCTGTGAGACATTCTGCAATGTATACAGGACAGTCCCCATGACAAGGAGCTCCTCAGGGTCACCGGAGGTGTGAGTAAGAACCCTGATCTACAGGAAGAGCCCTGTTCTAGATCTGTGAAGACACAGATACAGGTAGGTGGGCAGGTGCTGCATGTACTGCGGAAGTTCTCTTCTTACTGCTTCCATTTTTTTCACTAAGATAAGGAAGCAAGTTCATCAGCTGTAAGCGAAGTTGGGGAAGGAAGGTACAGGAAGTATAGGGAGGGAAGATATGAAACTGTCCTTTAGGAGAGGTAGTCAATGGATAGACAGGGGAAGTGGACACAACACTGGACTACATTAAGGGCTCACTTGAGTTAAGTAGTCAAGAATTTAATGTGAAACCTGTTAGCCTGGATGTGTGTTCTTGGGGCCATATTCAGGGATGGAGTAGAGAGAGAGTTGGATTTAACAGACTGGTTTTGCCAACAAGTACAAGCAACAGAGAGCCAAATGAGTCATAAAAATGACCATAATTTGACCTAGGTAAGAAGACACGGATGTAAGTGACCACGAGAAGGTAGATGAGCAAAAAGCAACAAACATCCATTTCATCAGACTAATTTCAAATGTTCTGAACATAATGAGCCATAAAAGGGGAAAAATAAGGTGAGCTCTGCCATACTAAACTGATGACTCACTCTACTTAATAAATACTTCAGTAGTCCACTGAAAGACAGAGCATAATTGTTTCTAAATGAAATCAGCGAAACTGAGCTTCCTAAACCAGCTCAGTACCTGGGACTATGCTTTCTTTGGTCGAGATACTCTCCATTGGTGGAGCCATAAAACACCGAGGAAATCGCACTAAACATCTGAGAATTCACAGGACTCAAAAAGTTTTAAGTGACTTCTAGTCTTTATTTACAATTTTATATATTTGTCTTATAGTTGTTCTTATAGATGCTTATAGTTGTCTTATAGATGCTTAAGGGCATACCTGGGGGTGTCAGGCCTCACAAATCTGACTGAACAGACTGCAGTGCCAGGTGAAACTGGCCATCTGAGGTGCTCTCCATGATGCTGGTGGTTTCAAGGTGAAAGTCATCAACACTTGTTTCCAGCAAGCTCTTGGTTCCTGCTTTGGAGGATTCTGTTCAAAAACTATAAAAGATTTTTTTTAAAAAAAGGTATCCATTTCCACAAGAAACATGAAATGCTGGCAAGGATGTGCAGAAAGGGGAACGCTCCTACACTGTTTGTGTGAATGTAAATTAGCTCAACCATTGTGGAAAGCATTGTGGAGGTTCCTCAAAAAACTAGAAATAGAAATACCATTTGACCCAGAAATTCAACTCCTAGGAATTTACCTGAAGAAAACAAGATCCCTGATTCAAAAAGACACATGGACCCCTATGTTTATCACTGCTCTATTTATAATAGCTAAGAAATGGAAGCAACCTAAGTGTCCATCAGTAGATGAATGGATAAACAAGATGTGGTACATATACACAATGGAATATTATTCAGCCATAAGAAGAAAACAAATCCTACCATTTGCAACAACATGGATGGAGCTAGAGGGTATTATGCTCAGTGAAATAAGCCAGGCAGAGAAAGACCAGTATTAAATGATTTCACTCATCTGTGGAGTATAACAACAAAGCAAAACTGAAGGAACAAAACAGCAGCAGAATCACAGACTCCAAGAAGGGACTAGTGGTTACCAAAGGGAAAGGGGGTGGGAAAGGAGGGCAGAAAGGGGGAGAAGGGGATTAAGGGGTATTATGATTATCACACATAAAGTAGGGGGGGGCACGGGGAATGTAGTATAGCACAGAGAAGTAGTGATTCTATAGCATCTAACTACCCTGATAGATAGTGATTGTATGGGGTATGTGGCGGGGAGTTAATAATTGGGGAGTAATGTAGTAACCACAATGTTGCTCATATGAAACCTTCATGAGATTGCATATTAATGATACCTTAATATAAAAAATGTTTTTAAATAAAGTAACAAAACAGCAGCAGACTCACATACTCCAAAGAGGGACTAGTGGTTACCAAAAGGAAGGGGTTGGGAGAGTGGGAGGGGAGAGAGGGAGAAGGGGATTAAGGGGTACTATAATTCACAATCACAATATAGGTAGGTCATGGGGAAGGCAGTGCAGCACGGAGAGGACAAGTAATGACTCTATAACATCTTATTATGCTGATGGACAGTGACTGCAATGGGGGGGAACTTGATAATATGGGTGAAGGTTGAAACCACAATGTTGTTCATGTGAAACCTTCATAAGATTGTGTATCAATGATACTTTTAAAAAATTCATACAACCAATAAATAAATAATTTTTTTAAAGGTATCCATTTCCTCACTTCATATTCATGCATATGAAATAGCACATGGGAACGTGTCGCCTTTGTGGACATGGGCCTCCTGAAACCACTTAGGTATCAGAAGGCTGAGTATGAGCCCAGCCCTGACCCTCACCAGCAGACTGGGCTCAGGCAAAACATTCACTCTTCAGCTGAAAAATGGAGAAAGTAATACTTACACAAAAATGTATGTGGAAGTGCTTTGTGAACCATAGTGCACTTTACTAATTATAGAGATTGTGACTACACCTGGAGGGCAGTGGAGGAGTGGAACAAAAGTTTCCTTCCCTGTCAGACTGGAGAAGAGGAACAAGAGTTTTTCACTAAAAGGCAGAAACCTGTGTTGCATGCATCAGAGATGAGCCAGCTTCTTTCCTACATGGAATGCATGTGTGGGAACTTGGTCAAAGCTTGCACTTGGTGAATTCACCCTTCCAGCAAGGGCAGACAGAAAGCTGCAGGAGAGCAAAGCATTCCCTAGAGACAAGCAAAGCATAACTGGTGAGTGGAATGTTAGGCCCAATTCTTGGCTGCCTTGTTTTGAACTGACCAGAGTTGGGAAACAGGTAGATAATAATTCTTATTGGGCATCCTGGAGTCACTATGGCTCTCTGACCCGCAGGAAAAAGGGAGCTTTCATGAATTCATCCTCTAGCTGGTGGCTGTCCACTCATGGTCATCTCATGGCTCACAATTAAGCTTCAAGTGCTCAAGAGGCCTCTCGAAGTGTGTCACCTAAAAGGCATTCTGGAAGGGGCCCCATGATTACACGGAGCCAACTAGGACATAGGACACCTGGTACTACAGAACCCAAGCCAGCTGCAGGCCTGCCCCTATTTCTGTGGAAAAACTTACATGGTGGGTAACTGCCTCCATTTTCCCACTTGGAAAGTAGGGATAACATTTAGACCCAAAGGGGAAAGCAGGGCTGTCGACTCCAACCCATGTTCACGAAGAACACCGAGGCTTAGGAGGTGAACTGACTAGTTCAAGAGTACACAGCTAGTGAGTAGCCAAGACCAGAGTAGAATCCAGATCACACTCCCAGGTTAGTGCGCCTTCCAGCCACCTGTTTCTTCCACCGGCCTCCCCAGTAAGACAGGAGTTGGCTGCAGGGATTGCTTTTATACGATCAGTATCATTTCTCCATCCACTCTGCCAACCTCAGAGGAAAATGCTAGGGAAAACGACACTGCAGCCTTCATCCATGTCCAACTCAATACTTAAAAAATGCCCCCCAAGTGGTTTAAAGTGGGTTTTCAAGTCATCCTAGGATCGTGACGAAGATCCATCTAGAAGCACCGTGGAGGGTAAACGGCACTGACAATGAAAACCAAGAACCAACACCACATAGGCACCCTCTGTAAGAGGGTCCAGCACCTCCATCAGGACCACAGTCCCGGAAGCAGAGCGACAAGGTTCACGAGGCAGCACTGAGTTTAATGCTGGGCTATCACCGTTTTGGAATTATTAATTACTTGGGAACAAAGAACCTGGCAGCTTCATTTTACACTGGGCCCCTCAAATCTTGGGGCAGTCCTGCTTCCTCCCCTTAGCCAGAGAGGGGTGGCCTGTCTACAGCGCCCCTCCCAACCCCACCCCAGCCCTGGTCAAATAGGAACAAACAAAAGCCCTGCAATTTTTAGCCCTTCTGGGGCTTCGGGGGTGGGGGTGGGGGTGGGGGTAGAATGCCGTGGAAAATTGTCAGGGGAGCATGAAGAGCCTACACCCTCGGACTGACCAGCGGCTTTTCCCAATTCTGGCAAAAATAAATGCCAACATAAAAATGACCTTCAGCCCACCCCAAACCGCGCGCTGCCTGAATCTCAGGCTCCAAGTGGAGCTCCCGTCAGCTCTGCTCCAGACTCAAGGCCTCCAATGCTGCCGGACTCAGGGTCTCCGCGGGGAGAGCGGGGAAGGTACACGTCCCTCACGAGCGGAGGGAAGTTGTTCGTGGTACAGGGCCCGGGGCAAGGTCCGCTTCCGCCCGCCCCGCCGGTCTTGCCGACGCCCGGCCTGAGCAAAAGTTTGGGGTCACGTGATTAGCAGGGAGGCGCTCTTAGCCAGGAGGGTAACCCCGCCCTGGTCTTGCCCTGGTCACAAGGGTGACGACTGTAAAGGGTAGCTTGGGCGAGCGGCCAAACGCCACAGCCAGAACGGAGACGCGGTCGCGAACACCGGGCCTTGCAGGCGGGGCGGAACGGGGCAGGGCGGGGGTGGAGTTACACCGCAGGGCGGGGTTTCAGCGGAGACGCTATTTCCGGTAAGAAACTATTAATAAAGATTGGGATAACGACCATTCCATGGAGGTTCCATAGTGTAGTGGTTATCACGTCTGCTTTACACGCAGAAGGTCCTGGGTTCGAGCCCCAGTGGAACCATGAGCCTGGCCTGGTGATTTTTCACTTTTTAATCTCTCCAGTGCCCGGGTAAAAAGATGAAAAGCAAAGCTAAGGTGATTCTCTTTCTTTTTTTTTTTTTTCACATTTACTTTATTTTTCTATTTTTTGGCACATTTTTATCGCAAAAGCGTAACGACACTTTTTCTTCCACCCCCGCCTCCATCGCCCGACCTGAGAAATAGCAGAGGTCAGGACTGGGGTGGGCGGTGGCCTCGCCCGGCCGGCCCCGCCCGGCCCTATCCCCACCTCTCCTCGGGTACTCGGGCTGGCCTCGGAGAATTCGGGCCTCGCGGGACGCAAGACCACCCCTGGGCGCAGCCCTTTTGCTGCAAACCAGGACAGGGCAGGCCTCCAAGGCCTCCATGCGCAATACAGCAGGCATAAATTATTACAGGTTTATCATTATTATTATTATTAAAGGTTTAATTTGTCATTAAATTCTAATACAAGCAGGGGGAAAAATAGTCCTTTTCCTTTTAGTACAGCAGAAGTGTTTGTTGAAGGGACCTTTTGTGTGTTTAATAAAGAATACATAGGGACTCTCTAGTCCCCTCCTGGCACGAGCTGGGAGCTCTATCCTTTCACTTTATCTCTAAATAAAAGCCTGTACCTTGCTCTCCTACCTTGAAAAAAAAAAAAAAGAATACACAGCATAGAATAAATGTCAGGCTTGTAGATACCCCATAAACGCTGGTCGAATGACTAAATGTTTCTGTAGTTCCTTTTTGTTCCTCTTTACTAGTTCATTACAGTTTCGTTTCGGGGCGGGGGTGGGGGGGAAGGCTTTATTATTCTTTCTATTATCTTTTGGCCTTTTTCATCTTTAACAAGAGGAATTAAGGAAAGGCATCTGGGATCTTGGGGCTGAGGTAAGATAGTGGTGGCCAAGAACTAAAAAGGGAAATTCAGTATTTTTCTCTGCATTTTTCCACATAATTTTGCTCAGAAAGTGTGTAAGTTTGTATCCTTTTCCAATGCAAGAGTTTAACACGATTGTCCCTATTATTACAGTTACTTCATTAACTTTGTTCTTTTTTTAACCGTCTTAATCATTTTTAACTATTCAGTTCAGTAATGTTAAGTATATGCACATAGTTGTGCAGCTCATCTCCAAAATGTTTTGTCTTGCAAAACAAACTATGCTCATTAAAAGGCTCTTTTCCCCCCATTAACTTTATTCTAATAATGGCTAATGGTGTCAAACATGTTCTAAGTGTATACGTGTATACTTAGAGGATACATTTATATATGTATATATAATCCCATTTAAGCCTCAGGCTAACTCTGTGAAGTAAGCATTATCATCACCATCCTACAGATGAGAAAATCGAAGCACAGAGATCTTAAGTAACTTACTCAAGGTCACAGAACAAGTGGATGAGCTGGGATTTACACGCAGTCTGGCTTGCGAATCTGCTTTTAACCCTGTCTGCTGTTACATGAACCCCCTAGGCTTGGCCATGTAGATTATTTCCATTTTTTTATTATTATCAATAATAGCAATGTACACCTTTGTGTTTAACTGTACTGCCCCCCAACTTTAGTATTTTCCTGAGTGAACAGGTATGAACATGATGTAAGTTGCTTTCTAAGAGAGGAATCCATGGCATTGTCATAGAATTTGAGAATGTTAGAGCTTATTTAGCAAGAAATTGCTCAAGGTCACCCCCTAGAAGATGATGGCAGAGAAAGGATTAAGACCTGAGTCTTCTGCTTCTCGTTTGTTTCCCTCCACTGTTTCCCTTACATTTAAAGACCAAATAAAAGCAGTATCTTCCTTTGCTAAACCAACCTCAGTTGACATTGGACTCTTCTCTGAGACTTCCTTGTTAAGGCAGGTAACTACATGGGTTAACTTGGTGGGGCTCAGCCAGAGCCCAAAGACCTAACTGGAATAAGATGCTTAATGAGGCCAGTGCTCAAGATAAGCTCCTGCTCCTGGGGAAGCTCTCCACTTCAGTAAGACAAAGCTGTGACCAAGGACAAGGGAAGAATGCCCCACAAGATAGAAAGCTTCTTGTTTTTACTTCTCTTTGGCTACAAAGGTATGTGCTGTCCAACCATTAGCATTCATTAAATATTTAATAATACAGTTGGATTACTAACATAGCTGATTAATAGAAATGCAACTTGAATAATTAAAATATCATTAATTAGCAAGGCATGTTAATTAATATGCATTATTAAGGAACAACAGTTGTCTTTATGTGGATGCAGTTCTCTTTGTCTCGCTACTTTCTGGTTCTGTGAGGAGCCTAAAGTTCAAAGGATGCTTTAAATGGAACAGAAAAAAGAGTCTCAGATATTGTGTAAACAAGCAATTAATTGCAACAATTATTTTAAAAGTGTGGCGTATTCTTGAAAATGTTTAGGAGTCAAAGTTTGAGTGACCATAGAATTTAATTTTCCAAAGCAAGATGTTCCTGAGAGTGGAAGAGAGTGCTACTAACAATTGCTGGGGCAAAGGGTATAAACCAGGACTGTCCTGGGCAAATCGGGACATGAGGTCACCCTAGTTTAAATACGGATTAACATAAAATGCCGAGTACCACTGGACTCTAATAGAAAGCATAATCCAACTGAGAGTCAAGAACCTCTAAAAGACTCATTACATGGACATTTGTAAATTTCTAAACATGGCCATGGCAGGAATGATATGCTTAAACAAGGAGAAATCATAGGAAAATCTCTAAAATGTCATCCAATTCAACTTTGAAATTCTCTCAATCTTTGAAATAATTACTCTTTCATGCCTCTCTCAGCTCTCAAGGCCCCATCAGCACAGAATTCCTTTTTAGGTTCATTCTGGACACTGGAAATTGTTTGAATGTCTTCTTTGTGGTCATGTGTATTTATGTGTATTATAGGAAATAAATAAGGAAGGCAGGAAGGAGGAGGCCTCTCCACTCTGCAAATGACCTGGTAGGCGACGTGATGAAAACTCACACAAGCAGAGTCGGAAGTCCTGGTTTAAACCATTCTCTCTACCTCTATTAGATTTTACTGGTAGAGGACTCACTCTGATTCCCCAGTCTTATGACTTGTTATTTAATCATGTTTCTCAATATTTGGAAAAACCTATAAAAATATAATCCCAAGGTCATTTGCAAACCCAAATATATTTCTATGCAGAGATCATTTAGATCAATTGTCTGTTTTTTCCTCCCTTACATTTAAGTCAGCAACTTGTTCCTGTAACACCTAACACTTTAAGATGCTCTGGCGGGAGGTTGTTGATTTTCCTTCACCCCTTACCCTTTCCTCAGTAAGAAAATCTAAACAGAGTCTTCAAGGCTTAGATCCCCAAACCCCTGGTTCTTAGGTGTCCAAAGGGCTCACCCTCAGATTTCTCTCCTTTGGGATTGGCTTTGAGATTCATCCATCCATCAGTCCATCCATCCATCCATCCATCCGTTCGTTTGTCAGGTGATTAAAGAGCCCATCCCAGAGTCCCTGCTACGGATCAAACATTGGGTAAGAACTTCAAGGCAGATCCTTGTTGCTTTGTGTTGAGTGTAACAATCCTGTGCTGTGACCCCAAAATTTGAGGAAGCCCTATAAAAGTTTACTAACCCATTTTTATATGAGACCTACCCATTCAGGGGATATCTGTAATAACAGACACATTGTCAGAAGACACACAGGACAGCACTATATCCTGTTCTATAGCTTACCAATCTGTGTGCATGGCTGGGGGGCTCCAGAAATTTCCATAAAGAGCAAAGAATACCATCTGTGCAGGTGAAATGGAATGTGGTCTAATGCGTGGTCCAGCAACCATATTTTATGGTCGGTGTGGTATGGTGACCTACGTGTGCTCTGCCCTGAACTAGAGGGATGCCCTAGGAGATAAGAGAAAATGCAGACACAACAGCTACACTTAATCAGCTTACACTCCAGATAGAGAAAAAAGGCCAAAATACATGGGAAGATGTGTCCTGTTGCACAACTGGGAACCTGAACACAAGGTTCTTTGTCTAATTTACTCTTCAGTTTCCGTTCCACGGTGGCTCCTTAGTACAGCGAAATAAGGTAAATGGATTGACTCCACTTATGCACTGGATGAACGTTCATTTAGGAATGCACCGATCACCTTAGTAAGACACTCCCTATCTCTTACAGCTGAGGCAGGCTTCTGGCTATCTTATATTGCCATTTCTTATTCAGTGCAAATGATGACCTTAAAAACATCCACCTTATTAGCATATACAGGCCCATTACTTGGTCATGTTTATCACATGAAAAAAAAATCAAGTTTCATCTTACAGGTGAGCGTGTCCCCTTCACCAGTGCATTGACCATAAGGGGTAGCAGGGCTTTTTTTTAAAGCAGTGTTGTTGAACTATAATTTAGGTACCATTAAACTCAGCCACTTAAAGTGTGTAATTCAATGATTTTTATATATTTGCAGAGTCGTGGAGCACAGAATCTAATTTTAGGACATTTTCATCACTCCAAAAAGAAACCCGCAGCCATTATGCCCTCGCTTCCCATCCCTCCTCCCGGCCCCCAGCAGCCACTGGTCTACTTTCTGCCCCTATAGAATCTGCCTATTCCAGACATTTCAAATTTAAATGGAATCATGCAACATATGGTCTTTTTTCTTTCACTTAGCATATATTTTCGAGATTCATCTGTGTTGAAGCATGTACCAGTAACAGATTCATCCATGAATATGCCTGTAGTCTAAAATAGTAACACTTTCACACTAGAAGCAGTTTCCTTCTTTCTTTTGCGAGAGAGGGACATTACTGCAGCCTGCTGTTTTTCTGCTGTGTCTTTACTCGTGTTTCTCAAGTAGATTGGAAACTGGTCACAGACAGGTTTTATCATTAATAATTTTATGCCTTTCTCCTTGGCTTCATCTGTTTCCATGGGAAGGAAAGTTCTGTATTTAGTGACAGCCATCAAAAAGAGACTAAAATAGTCTGTCCTATGTGTGTCTAATGCACACTTTTCCTCTTGGGTTTGTAAGGTACATCTCAAGAAACAGGCATGCCTTGAATTTTCTTGCTGTGGTAGCAAGAATTTCCCCATGGAGCGGACCTTTGGGCAAAGGGGAAGAATGATCCCATATTGCATAGATCTAAGATTGCTGAGGCGCAGGCACCTCACTGGGTCCCAGCAGAAACCTGCAACATGTGGAGGCATTGCAAAAATAATCAGAGGAGGGAGAAAAATATGCAACCATATAATCTAACTCTTTTCCTTTTTCCTTTAAAGGCTGACCCGTTTACTTTTGCTCACTCCAACAATGTTATTCTCTGGTATTATGAAATGTTGTAGTCAAACATGCTTTTGCTTTTGTTTGCCGGCTTTTTAGGTGATTAAATCACTTGGGAGGCCACAGCAGCCCCATTGCTGCCCCCTTGGTGACAGCTTTTGCTGTAAAATTCTTGTTCTTCCTCTGCTCATTTCCATAAGGATCTGGTGCTTCAAACCCCCAGGCTGTCACTTCTAGAAAAACGCTTTCCTGGGAAGGGGAAATAACCACCAGAAATCTGCCCAACATCCCGTGGAACACAGCAAGTGGCTCTGAAACCAGGCCTCCCCTGAGGGGCTGTTCCTCTCCACAGGCGGGCAGTGGCTGGGTCTCCTGCCCTTTCCTCTTTGCTTTTTGCTTTGTTTCGGCAGAATGCCGAGCACCTTCCGGGCCCACCTGTGGACCCAGGCATTACGAAAAGCCCTGGCGGTCTTAACAATTAGAGGGGCCTCATTCAAACTCTGGGTTTGCTCAGTTGCAGCTGGATAGACTCTCTTCAGTGACAGACACAGTCTGCAGGCCAAGCTGATTTGGTTATTAAGGCCACACTGTCAGTGACCTACACGCCTTTGGTCTCCCCAAAAGAGGGTCACTTGGTGTTTGCTCACAGTTCATGCTTGCCCAACTAACAGGGCCTTTCTGCCTTTCAGTGCTCCCCGGCTCCTCTTGCAGATGGGGTGAGCCAGTGATTCCTGGACTAACACCCCTCCAAATCAACTAGATGCCAACTGCTCATCTACTTTGCAGTTCTTGGGGAACAGCTGAGGGACTGAGGCTGTGGGGCCCATGGATGCTTTAACTGCTGGTGGCACAGGCCACCCCCTGGCCTATCTGGGCTTCCCGAGCTCCAGAAGCTCAGAAGCTTCTGGCCAGCTGCCCACTCAACCTCAACACTAGGGGGTCCCATAGGCCTCTCAGATGAAACCTTTCTACCCAATGACCCCTAGATCCCTGTTCTCCTGGAACCTTCTCCTTCCCCAGTAAATGACAGCTCCATCCTCCCAGGCACTCAGGCCTCGAACCTCTCTCTCATATGCATGTCATCTGTCAACAATACTGTTAGCACTACCTGCCAAAGACAGGCAGAGACCAGGCACTTTCATCACCTCGGCTGTCACCGCCCTGGCCGAGCCATCCATCGCGGGCTCTCCTCTGGATGATGGAACTCTCCTTGGCCAGGCTCTCTGCTCCCCGCCTTGCCCCGGGCTACTGCCAGCAGACCACAGTCAGTCTTGTCCCTCCTCTCCTTCAGCCCCTCCAAGGTCCCATGTGCCCACAGACCCTGGACTGACTCTTTCCCCACCCAACCCATACCCCAGACCCCTAAAACTCACTGGCTCCAGCACCTAAGGCTTGGTCTGGAATATAATAGATGCTCAGTGAATGTTAGTTAATATAAATGCTTTGGGGCCAATCATTCTCAGCTATCTTTTATTTCAATTTCTATAAACGTATGGGTGCTCAGATAAACCTGTGGACAAGAAAGAGGTGGCACACAAAGGCCAGAGCAAGTGGTGAGTTCTACACAGGGGACAGAAAAAGTCCTCTTCATAGGGAATGAACTGAGAAGGCAGAAAAAGTTGGGAGGGGAAGGCATTTGAGGCCAAGAAATCAAACAAAGGCATGGAGGCATGAAGCAGCCTGGCACATCTGATGAATTGCAAGTACAGAGTGCACAAGTCTGGAGAGGTAGGCAGGAGGTAGATTTCAGCGGCCCCTTCAAGGGCATATTACTATTAAACCCACTTCTGGGATGAGGAAATCGAGTGCTATGGCCATGCAGCTAATAAGCATCACAGGTGAAACTTGGACCCTGGCAATGGGGACCCATCAAAGGGTTTGGAGCAGGTAAGTGAAACCATAAGGTTTGCGTTGCATTCCAAAAGCAGCGTGGAGAATGCATGAGGCAGGGAGAGCATCTGCAGGAGAGAGGGCAGAAGCCTACAACAGGAAGTGGGCAGTGGGGACGGAGAGGGGAAAGGCCCCTGGTAGACACCAGATGTGGGGGGTTAGGAAAAAGAGGTGACTCAGATGAGTCCCAGGTCTCTGGATGGGGTGGCAGGTGAATGGCAGACAAAACAGAGAAAGGAGAACAATCTGAGGAAGGATATAATGACTGTGGTTTTTAACAAAACTTTTGGTTAACGTATAACATCCATGCATTTATTTAAGTACAAGATACATACAGAAAAGTATAGGTAAGTGTACAGCTCAATCAGTTTTCACTACTGAACAGGTATAAGTGACCAGCACTCAGAATAAGGAACATTACCAGCCCTTGAGATACTCTCCCTGGGCTTCGTCCCTGCCCCTCTCTGCCCCAAATGTGACCAGGCCCCATGTTTAGTGGCATAGATTACTTTTGCCAGTTTTTGTACATTTTAAATGGATTCATATGGTGTGTCCACTTCTGCATCTGACCTTCCACTCAGCATTGTGAGATGCAGCCATATGATGGCGTGGAGGTATAGATCGTCCATTTTCATTGCAATATAGGGTGCCACCGTGTGAACTTACTACAGGTAACATCACACTGATAGGCATGTGAATGCTTCCAGTTTGGGATTATTACAAACACTGTTGCTGTGAATAATCTAGTACATGGGTTTGTTTGTTGGAGAACATATGTATGTATTTTTGGTAGGCACTTAGAAGTGGAATTGCTGGGTCATAGGGCACATATATGTCCAGCCTTAGTATAAATTGCCGAACAGTTTTTCAAAGAGGCGAGACCACCTTACATGCCCACCAGCAACATATGAGAGTTCCGGTTGCTCCATGACCTTGCCAAGCCTCGGTTAGGTCTGGTTTTAGGTAGTAAGAGACAGCTACCGGGAGACAGCCAGTAAGCCATTCCTTGCAAGAGGTGGAATCTTGGGTTTAGCGACCTTTATGGCATGGGTAAGAGAAGCAGACATCCCAGAGGAGACTGAGAAGGATGATTCAGAGTGGTGGGAGAAAAACCAGGTGAACAGTCTGGTGGAAGCTAAAGGAAGATGGGAGAGACTGACGAACCCAGTGTTGCCGCGTGAAGACGTAAGGCCAGTGTGGGGAGGAGTACATAGGATAGGAAAATACAAAGCCTTTGGTAACTTACTTTGCCAGCACAAGGCTAGGCCTTCCACCAAGATGGTGCTCCTTAACCTTCACTGCTACCTAAGGGGGCCAATTCTGCCCACAGTGAGTGAATCAAGGAGTCTCTTGGAATGAATAGTCAGTGGACAAAGGCCCAGCAAAGCTTGGTGTCAACAAGTCACAGTTTGGTGACTGTAGGTGAGGGGTGGCCCTGAATCTGCCTTGAATAAAAGATGGGCCCCCTTTGACTGAACCTGGTGGGGTCCTGGCCACACACATTATCCAGTGGTCTGTCTTCTCCTGGGTCCTCAAGCCCCTCATGGGCAGAGAGCAAGGCTTTCATCTCAGGAGGCGCAGGCCGTGGTGTAGTGCCAGGCTCACAGTGGACATGAGGAAGTGTTTTGCCGGATGGATAACTATGTATAGTGAACTGGAGGCACAATTTGAAAAAGAGAGCTTTTCTAGTCATGACAAAAAGGATGGGAGCATTCCTTTACTCGCTAAAACAACCTGAAAGTTTTTGTAGGCATCAGATTCTATTTTTAGATAGGAACGTGGCTGAGGAGGGACTTTTATTTCCTATTGTCTACACTCAGGTTTTGTTCAATATTTTTATAGTAGGTATGTGTTGCTTTTCTAATCAGAAAAGAAATGAAGGTATGTGTTTTGTTGAAAATAGGAAATGAAACTTCAGTACTTTAAACCAGCGCTGTCTAACGCAACCTTCTGGGATGACGGAAATGTCCTGCACCCGTGCTGTCCAGTACAGCAGCCCTTAGCCAACCGTAGCCAGTAAACACTTGAAATTTAGTTGGTGTGACTGAGGAAATGAATGTTTAATTTATTAATTTTAATTAATTTAGTTGCAAATAGCTATACATGGGGACTAGTGGCTATCACATCGGGCAGTGCTGCTTTAAACAGTTTATGCCAATATATACAAACTCTGTTCCTATTACATAGTGTACTTATTCTCTTTATTCATAATCCTAGAAAGATAATTTATATGTTTGTTTTATGCTAAATTTTGCACAGTTTCCCCGCATTATTTGTATGGTATTTATACTTTGTGGGAGATGTTCCAAACAATGTCCTAATCCTAAATAACTTAAATGTGTCACAGTGGGGTAACCGGGAACCAACTCCTGAGCCCCCACCTTTGGCAGGCATTAAGGGTGATGAAGAGTTAGTAAGTAAAGGGAAAAGCTTGCACTGTTAATGTTAAATAGAAAAGGGAGGCAGGGCAGGACATGGGACAAGCACCAGGATGAACTTTTCCTGCCGATGATGAAAAATGCCCAGATATAAGCAGTACAGTAAGAACAGGAGGGACTCCATCTTCTCCATCTTAAGCCTAAGATTCCATTTTAAAAACCAGGGAGTTAGGATGCACGATTCCTAACATATTTTATTGTAATTAGGCAACAACCATTCCTATCTTAAGGCAGGGCAAGCAGTCCTAAATGGTATGTTTCCACTGCTTGAGGGTAACCACTATCTTGGAGAAGAACAGGACCAATAAATTCCTTGTGGTAAGTTTATCTTACAGAATATCTACAGGACTGACTGTAGATGGTGACATGATGTCTCTCTCCCATGAGACCACATGTCAAGCCTCTCACACCCACCCCTCTGCCCTTTGCCCCATTCATGAAGGCATTAAGAGACAGAATCCTAAGCCCTTAAGCTTGCCTCCTTTCTGAGGTTGCCCACACTCCCCTTTCTTCAAGTGTGTACTTTTTGCCTAAAATAAAGCCTTTTCACTGCTCAACTTATTGCATCTTATCTCTGTGCTCTTCCAGTGGTGTCTTTGTCATTTTGCTATTTCACTCTGTTTTCCAGACTTAAGCACAAGTCCTCACTCTGTCTCTGTTCTACTCCACACAAGTAGGGAAAGGCTGCTGAGAGCTCTGATTTGGTTTTGCAAGGTTCTGTCGCCTGGGTGACCGGGACAGGCCTGCAGCTGTACGATCATGCCCTTCAGCAGCCTGCCCGAAAACCTCCTTTCTTTGCGTTTGGGAAGTTCCCAGAACATCATCTCACGCCATCAGTGCTCTGCAGCTCCCCCAAATCCCGGGGTGGGAGGGACTCAGTTCCCACGATGTTAAGATTTAAGCAGACCCTGGACACCAGGTGACTCTGGCTTCAGGAGTTCTGGCCGGGATTATACGAGTAGGCCAACCAGCAGTTCCATGAGCCTCCCTCTGCTCTGCCTTGCTCTCTGCTGCCTGCACGCCTGCTGCCATTCCCTGCTACTCTTGCTTTAATGAATTCCTTCCTTACCTATACTTGTCAGACCTGTTCAGAATTCTTTCTCATTCAGAGTCAAGAATCCTCCCTCGTCCAGCCTGAGGTTTCACCTAGTGCACAGGGAGAGACCTCCCCAGACACAGCTGCCTGACAACAAAAGGAATGTTGTAAACATTGTTTAGATGGTAGGCTCTCAAATATGGTTTTAAAAATGTGCATAGAAAAAAGACTGGAAAGACACTAAAATGTTAACAGCATTGCCTTTGGTGATAATAAATAATAGATGCATTTATTTTTCTTTTTGCTACATTAATGTACTTTCTAAAATTCTATAAAGAACAAAAACTGATAATTATTCTTGTCTTTCTGTTTAATTTTATCATCCCTAGTTTCTCAACATGTATGGATGTTTTTCCTGGCACATATTTATGTAGTTTGACTACTTCCAGAAGGAACTTTGTTAACTTTTCTGTGACTATATTCACTTTACTTTTCCATGTAATGAATCGTTTTCTTGAATTTCCCTTTCTTTTTTATCTTGATTTTTCTTGTCCTTTTGCTCAGCCACACTGGGATTATCATCTACTGAGGTATGTTACAGTAAGAAGGAATTGACATATACTGTTTTCGATGACTTTCCTAGCCAAAAATAAAGCTTAGGATATCACCTTTTAAAAAGGTGTTTTTAAAGGTATTTCTTCCTGGTGGTGGCAATAGCACATTTTGTCTGGGCAAGTTGCAAGATTATGGAGAGAGTGGAATTAAACCAGGTCTTAATTCAGATGGTGTAATCTCGATCCCAATATTTTTTAAAACTGTCCCAGAGGAAGAGGTGGCTAGAGGTTCTGGGCTTTGACCCTTGCAAGGGGAGCCCCTGGTAGGGGCCAGAGCTCAGTGGGAACATGCTTCCTTGAAGGGAGCTGGCCTTCAAAAATATTTTTTCCCTTCCCTAGAAGGGAAGTCCAGGGGTATGAGGCACTAGACCTTGGACTGGAGCTCCCCAAGCTCCTGAAGATAACTATAATGGGGTAAACACTGCCCTCTACACGGGTGTCCATGAGATTATTAGGGGGTCATCCACAGTGGCAGACATTTGTTTATCTAGACTGAAAGATGAGTGGCAGCTGTGTATGTTAAGGCTAGATCAGTAATTCCGTTGTGCTGTTGTAGTGCAAAGCAGCCACAGACAATAGGCAACTAACGAGCCAAGTTTTTTGAACACAAGCTTTTCCAGTGGCACGGACCACAACTGTCTTGACTGTGACTTCTCTGACACTCCTGTGCCTCCGGCTTCCTGCAGGATGAGGGTGAGGACCCCTGGTACCACAATGCGTGCAAGTGCGACTGCCAAGGAGGTGCCAATACCCTGTGGTCTGCAGGCGCCGCCTCCTCAGACTGCATGCCAGGTGAGTGTCCCCTCTCTTCGGGGCACCAGATCCTTGGGCACACCATTTCTCCTCTTCCTTGCAACCCCTCAAGTGCCTCGCTCTGGGCTTTCTCTAGTTAGCCTCTGAGCTGCAGATCTCACAACTCCACCGCTCCAACAGGCCTCATGTCATTGTTCAGAAACAGCTTCCGGGATCTCTACTTGCCCTAGGAGACATGGCAAGGTGGGACCTACCTTTCAATGAAGAAAACTAAAGGAACCTATTAAAAATAAGCCAATGGTAGGCTGCAGGGCATTTTGGGAAGAGCACAGGCTTTCCAGCCAGAAAGCCCAGAGATGGAATCTTGGCTGCCTCATTTCTTAACTCTGGGACTCCTGCTTTCGATTTTTCCTGTCAAATGGAGAGAATAGTACTGTGCCTAGTGATTTATTGCTCACCAAACCACCTTGTGCTTCCCCGTATTCCAGCCCCCTTGCAGTCAGGTGGCACCATATGTTCCAGCCTAAGTGGGCAGTATCTCTTAAGAGCACCCTAGGGATGCACCTTGTGGAATTGTATAGAATTTCTGAACAAGAGCAACTCCATTTTGAAGCTCCATTTTCCTTTCTAACTAATGAACTCTTGAACTGGGCCAGAATCAGTCATTGTTTTACAAACAGTTGCTTATGGAACCCAACAGACCAACTGGCATTTGGACCATAAAACTGTTGATGTGAACTTTATGATGACAGAATAGTTAACTAATGCATGCCAAAAACAGTTTTGCTGAATGGCACCATTACAGTGTATTAGAGGGTAATCAAAAGTGGCTCAACCACCTAGCACCAAGTCAACAAGTTTGTTTCTCCTCTCTTCATCTAATCACGTAACTGCCCTCTTCTTTCCCACAGAATCCCATTGCTTTCCCCACATGAGCAGGACCCTTTTCCAGTTACTACAGAATCTGTGCTTCCCAAATTGCAATTCTGAGGCCCCGGAATAAAAAGCTTTTGCTCTTTCTGAGTTTCACCTCCTTTTCTGGGTTGACAGACTCAGCTCTCTCTTCCTCTGCTTGAGAAAGTAGCTTCTCCCTCGGCCTGGGTCCCAGGGCGATGAGATGGAACAAACCCGCTGTCAACCCACAATGGACAAGTTGCCTGAGTGAAAAAATAAGCCTTTGTTGTGTTAAGCCTCTGAAATTTCCAGGGTGGTTTGTTCTGCAGCATAACAGAGCCTTTCCTGAGGAACATGAACGCTTCCTCTATGGCAGGGCCAGCGAATTTGGTCTGTAAAGGATCAGGTGGTAAATCTTTGTGGCTTTGTGGGCCACGTGGTCTCAACTCAGTTCTGCAATTGTAGTGCAAAAGCAGTTACAGTGTGTGAAGACATGAGTATGGCTGTGTCCCCATAAAACTTTATTTACAAAAACAGTCAGTGAGCTACATTTGGCCCAAGGGCCACAGTTTGCCGACCCCGGCTCTAAGGAGTTGTGAGGAATAAATCGGATGAAGCATAAAACACCTTGTGTTGTACCTGGCAAGCTGTAGCCTTTAATAAAGGTCAGCTCCTTTGCTTCCTCACTCAGACTTTCTGAGGCTTGAGCAGGCCAGCAAATATTTGCAATGCTGTTCTTTCCAGGCTCAGAGCCTCTTTTGCATGAGACTGTCCTTGCCACCCCCCTCCAGGGTCATGATAGTGCCGTGCCACGTCACACTTTACATAATCGCCTAATAATATCTCCGGGAGAGACAGGTTTCTGTGTCCCTGTGCGAACTTCTCTTCATTATTTCATTAAATTTGCATTAAAGCAGCCAACTGTGAGGGAGGCAGGGGAGTCTACAATGGCTTTTACTTCCACGGTTTCCTTTTTACCAGTGTGGTAGGAAGTGGTGTCTGCACTGTCTACAGAAAGGGAACAGTGGGGTGCTGGTAGTGGGGAACGCAGTAAGCACTGTCGAGTCTGGTGCGGTTCTGCTGGAAGTCCTCTGCGCTCCATGGCAGGAACCCTTGCAGCCATGACATGCGGGTGTAACCTGCCTAGTTAATGTTGAAGCACCCTCCCAATGATCCATTTAGAATCCAATTCCACCCTCTTTGATCTTGTGCCTGTTACACGTGCCAGACACTGATGGGGAGACAAAAATGAAGGCATTATCTCTACCTTGGAGGAGTTTACCATTTAGTGGAAACAAATGTTCTCTTCACTAGAGACATGTGACCTACTGGAATTCCATTCGACGGAAGTTCTTTCTAAGAAGAAATTGCAAAGAAATTATTTATGTGGATTGGCTTCATTAACCCAATCAGCTGTGAAGCTGAGGCTCGCCATGTGTTTGAGGAATGTGAAGACTACCCCGGGGCCCCAAGCTCTTCCCCTTACACAGTCACCATGAACTCCAAGCTCTGAAAGCAGTCTTACAGTTGAGGTGCTCTCCTCTCCCCACTAGGTTTTTGTTTTTTGTTTCTGTTTTGTTTTGTTTTTTAACAACACAGGTATTTCCAGGAAGGACAGATACACAACCTTTGTGTTAAGTGCTTGATTCACTGGTGTTAATGGGTATTTCTGTGAAAAAGATGGTGCAGGAGAGCAGGCCTGGCCACAGCATTCCAGAAGTCACTTGCCTGTCACGCCTCAGATCCTCACTGGAATGCTGGGAACCCGGCTCGGTCTCGCCAGCTCCTGAGATACAGTGCTTAAAGCCGACCTAGGGAGGGAGGAGCCTAAAAAGTACAGAAGAACAAGAGGGTCACTCAGAGCTACTGCCCAAGGGCTCCAACCACAGGCAGAAGGTGACAGGCTAAGTGCATTATGGCCCCTAATCCTCAGCTTAACCCTATTAAAAATACTAAAAGGTCTGTCTTCCACAGGTGAGTGAAGATTACCTTCGCCCTCAGAGGGGAGGAATAGGGTAGGGAAGGTATCAAAATATAAGAAATCTAATTACTCCTTAATGCTTTACTTTTATCATACATTTTATATTTCTATATTATATCTGAGTTTATATTGTATTCTATAAATATTCTGTATTTACATATCGTCACATATATTCAAGTCTAATACATATGCATAATAATATCCACATCTCCCCTGTCAAGAATGTCCCAGAACTCTGTGTTCCATTAGGTTAACATTCTTTATAAGCATGTCTGGCCTTCATGCCTACAAATCAAGAAATTATCTACTGAATGAGAAAGGTTAGTACAATAAATATACACAGCCTGGATTAGCAGCACAATATGGATATGCCTTTATCCATCTAATTATCGAATCATTGCTCAAAAGAGCCACTTGTGCCACAAAAAATGCAGGTTTTCCCTTAAAAAGAGTGTAGAAACATTCCTTTTCCACTTACGATGAGCGTAGAAATGGGCATCATAGCTATAGTATCAGACTCCCACCAGGCAGAGAACTTGGGAAGGCCAGTCTGTGTTTGTCTGATGAGTATCCCCTTAATTCCCCCAGCAACATTATTCATGTTGCTTACTAACAGTTTATACTCAACTGACAGTTTCTTTTTCATTAGGCCGGTGGGAGATTTCGGGGCCCATCAACTTCTACTTCCTCCCTGAGCTTTCTGCTTCCTGTTTCTGCCATTTTCTCTGCTTATCCGCAGTGGCCATCCAAGATGGACTGAGAATATTTATTTACCCCTTCATTCATCCATCCAGTCAATAACTACCAAGTACCTAGCACATGCAGGCATTCTGCTCAGCTCAGAGGATAGAATGGATCAAGGCAGACCAGCGGAGCTGACAGCTAAATACTGATGAGGAGGTGGGCAAGTGACAGGTGTGGGGCGTCTGGGGAGGCAGCAGCTGGAGCCCCTTCCCCAGCTCTTGGTGGGCAGAAGTCAGCAGAGATCTGAAGGATGAATGGAGTTGGAGAAGGGGGTGGACAGGGGACAAGAGTGTCACAGGCAGCAGGAACAACCTCAAGGGAAGGCTTCCAGGCCTGCATGAGGACCCACAGGGAGCTCAGCCAGGACCATGGAAGGGGTGGGGGTAGTGGGGCAGGGAGAAGGGGATGAGGAGGCATCAGAAAAAATAATGACTGGCGTGCAGTTTATACTGCAGCACACAGAGCATGAGAAATGTCACACGGTCTATTTTCCCAAGTTCAAATAACTCCAGTTTTGAGTCCCCCTTTGTCATGGCCTGTGAGGAGTCTAAAGACAATATTGTCGAAGGTCCTTCCTCTGTCCTTTGGACTATGTGAAACCCCCACAGGCTCATGACGGCAGGTTCCCTGCCCAGCCACAGCCCCACTTGAAGGTGGCCACCTCATAGGTGGCTCTTCTCCCTCTGAATCGGGCTCCGTCCTGAGGACCTTCTCAAGTTTCCTGAGGGTGTCCAGAGCTCAGGGCTCCCAGGCCCCATCCCTGGGCCAGCTCCCTTCAAGGAAGCATGTTCCCACTGAGCTCTGGCCCCTACCAGGGGCTCCCCTTGCAAGGGTCAAAGCCCAGAACCTCTAGCCACCTCTTCCTCTGGGACAATCAGCTAATTCCTATTGAGGTTTAGATCTTCCAAATCCATAAGCCCAAGAGATACACTGTCAACAGGCTTTTCCTCTCAAATTACACACACACACACTTCTAGAAACATGAAGCTGGCATCCTTCTCAGGGAGATGTAGGGGGATAATGAGGGCAGGACAGGGTGGGGAAGAGGGGTGTTGAGTATTCACCAGAAAAACAAACATGCAAAACTCAGAAGACATCAACATATTCTCACGGATTCACCCTGTTACACCAACATTAGCTGCTGCTTCTTGGCTGGGCACTGTGGGCTCTACACTCTACTTTATTTCACGTCATCCCACAGCAACTTTATGGAGGCAGATGCTACTGCTCTGCGCATTTCAAAGCACAGGAAACTGAGACCCAGAGAAGTCAAGCGATGCACACAGAGGGAGAGTGGGGCAAGCCCAGGTTACACTGGCTCTAGGCAGGCATTCCTGACCTTGGCTGCCCATTCCAGTCACCTGCAGCTTTACCCCACGCCCAGGTCCTGCCCCAGACAAATGACATTTGAGTCTCTGGTGTGTGGCCTAAACATCAGCACTTCAGGCATTCCCCAAGTGGTGTTGGTGAAGAGACTCACCACTGGGCCTCTCTCTGTGCCCTGGGCCGCACCTCCAGGGTTCTGGGCTAGCAGCTGGGGAGCCAGAGGCCCCAGAGCCTGAGACAGGAGCGCTGGACAGCGGTAGCCTTGGAGCTTGGAGGTGGAAGGGCTTGGTTTTGGACATCTGGGGGTGAGTACCTTTGGGTCACCCCAATGGAACTGTTCACCTGAAAAACACTCAGGGGGCAGTGGGGCGAGGCTTGGGGCCTGGGAGTCAGGCTCTGGCTCTTGCAGGCCAGCCAAAACCCTGGGCACAGTGAGGTCATCACCTCCCCTGGAGAGCTGTGGGTAGGGCCCATGTCTGGACAAGCCCTCCCAGGCCTCTAAGGCCACTGCCAATGGTCAGGCCCCTGCAGGTCTACAGCCCATTCTCAATCATTAGGTGAGCTAACTGGGGAGAAATGGCAAAAGAGTTATGAAGGGGAAAGACAAGGAGCAAACAGCCAAGAATAAAGCGACTGGGGCCAGAAGCGGGGTAGCTTTCCTTCCTCCTCTGACCCGTCTCCGAGCTAGTGGCTCTGGAGCAAGAAAAGGGGGGTTGGGGATGGAGAGGCCTTAGAGACATGCACGGTTAGAACTTACGGGCCCACCTGAAACCAGCTTTCTGACACAGGGGCCTCGTCCCTCCTGCTGGCGGCACAGGCTGCTCTTCAGGCAGAAGGAGAGCTGAGGTGGTGGATGGGCACCCAAGGCCACGGGCACAAGGCCCCCTGAATCTGCCAGCCAACAGATGGCTCCCCTGGCAGGCCAAGCTTCCTAAAGAGCACCTTCAAGTGTGCTTGTTAAAAATGTGGCCACTCTGGGGGTTGAGTCTTGGGAACTGCATTCTTAACCAGCCCCCTATGGATTTTGCCACAGGGGCCTGAGCCAGTGGCCCAGAAAGCACTCTGGTTCCATCTCCCAGGAACTGACATTATTTCCATAGGCCCCCTGAAGCCTCGGGTACGTGCTGAACTGCAAATTTTGTCCCCTCACCCCAGACCCACTGAGCTGTAGCGACTGCAGTGGTCGGAGTTGGACCTACTCCTCCGGCGCATTGGTCAGAAAGGCGGGGCAGGCCCTCTGGCCAGGGGCCTGAAGTTGTCCTGTCTTCAGGTTCTGGGGACAGGTCGTGACTGTCCCTACAGGCATTCTGGAGCTGAGGATGGCGTTCAAGCTTTTGCATGCTTCACTCCATTTTACTGACTTGGAAATCATCCCCCAGAAACCCTCAGCACGCATTATACTGTGGAAGGTGATTATGCCCCAGTAAATATGTTTAGCTCTTGAACCTGAGCTCAGATTCACAGGTGGAAAAAAATAATTTGATTTACCTTACTTGAAGTTTATCATTCACAATCAGAAAACTAGGAGAATGTAGTTACATAAGTTTATCGAGTGTTTCCTATAGAAATTCATCTAGAAACAAGTTTGGTTGAAAACAAGACCCCCCCATCCTCCAAATAACGGCTTTTTGAATTAGAAGTTTTGTTTTGACACACATGGTAAAAGACCTAGGCATAGGGAGTTGCTTAATGATATTAGGACTGAGGTCTCTGTAGTACTCTTGGCCTTACCCCCATGGTGCAAGATGGCTACTGTTGTACCAGCCATCAAGTCTTCTTTCTAGGCAACAGAAAGAAAAAGGGGCAAGCAAAACCTGATCAGCAATCTCTAGCAGACATCCTCTTATGTCTCACAGGCCAGAAATTGTGTCACATGGTCATTTCTACCTGTGAGGGAGGCTAGGAAAGGTTGTTTTTTTCTAAGCTGGCCACATTGCTTCCCCCAACATAATTAGGGTTGTTTAGTCAAAAAGAAGGGGAGAATAGATACTGGGCTGGCAATTTGCAGTCTCTGACCAGGTGACTCTCACTAAATGTGAGGAAATACATGAGAGCAGCAGACTATTAGCATGTAAGAACCAGGCTTGGCTACTCTTATTTGAAAAAGGCAGTTCCTTTTAACTGTTCCTTACTCAACAGTCACTGAGATACGTTTTACCCCTTTTTTTTTTCATTTTAGACTAGTGGAAAAACTGCAATTTAGAAGTGGGAAGTTAGTCTTAATATATAATTGCCCTTCTCAGCATTGTTTTGTTCCTGTAATTGACACCATATGTTGCCTGGGGACAATTAGGGACCCGGATGTCCTCACACAGGGTGGCTAAACCTGTGTTAATGAGGAGAATAAGGAGTATGGCATTTAAGTATGGTATTTCACTGTGAACCTCTTGGTTTTTAGGTCTCTAAGTTTGTGGAGAATTATTTCTCAAAATCTCCCCCTCCCTAAGGTTGCCATAGAACCATTTCCCTCTTTCATGAAGGTTGTTGTCTCTATGGCAATCCCTCTACGTCATCTTCACTCTCTTCTTGCGAGAGCAGTGAAGAGGGTAAGATTCAGTTCTACCCACTGTGAAAACTGCGCTGGTGAGTAGAACATTCTCCATGTTCCGAAGCACCAACAAGATGGTGTGATGTGTCATTCTATTGAGCATTACGATGTGGTATGAGTGTCTCAATGTGCCTTGTTTTTCCTTTCCCAGAATGCCCATATCATAAGCCCCTGGGTTTTGAGTCAGGCAAGGTTACACCAGACCAGATCACCTGCTCCAACCTGGAGCAGTACGTGGGCTGGTATTCCTCGTGGACGGCCAACAAGGCCCGGCTCAACAGTCAAGGCTTTGGGTAAGCAGGGCAGGAGGCTCACGCCTTTTATTTTCATGTGATTTGAAAAAATAGGTGTTTATAATAAATGAGTAACAGAATGCATTTATTTATTCAACATATACTGAGTACCTTCTACATTCCAAGGACTGCAGATATAGCTGTGAACAAGGTAGATGAGGTCCTGGCCATTGAGAAGCACAGTTTAGAGGGAGAGATGGACTCTAAACACTCACACAATTGGCCATCTGGTGAGTGTGATGTGGAGGACACAAAGAGGGAAAAAAGACTTGGTCCATTTGAAGTACCAGGGAAGGCCTCCTAAGGCAAAGATATTTAACCTGAGATTTGTAGTTGGCTGGGTGGGGTTGGGGAGGCACAGGGTATAGCAGGCACACAGGTCCCGAATTGGGAAGATCCCTCAACGGCACAGGTGGGGACCATAAAGAAGGCCTGCACGTTTAAAGCACAGGTGAGATAAGGCTGGAGAGAAAAGCAGAAGTCAGGTCATACTGGCCCTTTTAAGTCACAGTCCTTATTTTGGGGATAACGGGAAGACCCTGACTGTGTGTTAGTTAGAATACAGGTTTATGTTGCTGTAACAAAAAGCCCCAAAGTTTAGAGACTTAAAAAGATAGAGTGCATTTGTTGCTCATCTCAAAGTTTCATTAGGGAGTCTAGGGTTATCATGGCAGCTGGATGGTATCAGGGGCCCAGTCTCTTTTTCTACTTTGTTCTGTCATCCTTAACATCAAGTTTCCATCTTGGGGCCCAAGATGGCTACTCTGACTTCCACTATCACATCCACATCCAGTCAGTAAGGAGAAAAAGAGCACAGTACACATACTTTTCCTTGAAGGATACAAACAGATCTCAGTTGGCACTTCTGCCCATGTTCCATTGATCAGAATTTGGTCAGACTGCCCCGCCTAACTGCACGGGAGCCTGGGAAATGTGATCTTAGCTGGGAGGCCATTTGCTCAGGTAAAAGTGAGGGGTTCTATTACTAAAGGAAGATGGGAAGAGGATATTGGGAGACAATTAGCAGACTCTAAAAGAGAAAGATCTAAAGTTGGGTAATATCACAATGAGATTTGTGTTTTAGGAAAAATCTTCTGGCTCCTTCAGGGAGAGCTGTTTCAGGGAATGGGGTGCAAGAGTAACCCAGGGAGACTAGTTAGGAAAGAAGCAGTCCAAGCAAGAATTGAGGGTGATGTGGGCTGCAGTGGAGCAGTGAAATGGAGAGAAGTAAAGACTTTGAGAAACATTTGGAGATAGGACCAATCAATGGATTGGATGTTTGGTGACAGAGAGGAAGGGGCCAAGGATGGCTCTCAGATCACTGGCAAGAACACCGGGAAGGATGAGAGTAGCATTCAGAGAGGGGGATACTAGAAGCACCGGGGTGGGGATAACTAGTAGCTCGCTTTTGGATGTATTTCATTTGAGATGCTGTGAGGCATCCAGGAGAAGCTGTCTAGCCAGCAATTGGTTCTCAGGATTGGGAACTAAGTTCTGAAATGGAAGTAAAAAGTCAGGAGCCACTCACGGGGCAGGTCTGGAATTAGAAGAGAAGGCAGCCAAGGACTGAGTCCCAAGAAGCTAAATACACAAAAATAAATGAATAAGTACCCCCAAAGTGGAAACTATAGATTTCCACAATTTATGAGGGACATAGCTAAAAAACTTTTCTGTTCCTTCAATAGTTGGTTTGCTTTACTATTGTTAAAAGCCCTTTCAGAGCGACTTGGCTCAGAGCTGTGCATGTGGCAGACACTCCCTGCAAGCCACGGATGACACGACCTGAAGGAGATGCAGAGATGCAGAAAGAGAGGGAAATGAAGGGAGAACAGAGTCATGGAGAAAGAAGCAACAGGAGGGACTAATGAACAGGGAAGGGGGCTGGAAGGGGCAATAACCACGGACTCACGTGTTTTGAAGAAAGACAGGCTCAACCACACTCTAAAGGTGATTTCAGCTACAAGTGAAGGCATTTCTTGGACAAATTAATTGAATCTGGCAATTTTTCCTTGGGCGTTGGAGGTAGAGGGAGGGAGAGAGAATGACACAAGTATGACAGACCCTTCTTGGAGACAAGCGTCTTGGTGCTTAACAGATTGCAGCTCAGACTGTGGGGGCTCTGTGGAGGCTCCTCCGGCGCTGGCAACCCCTTAGGAGACAGTGCCTCCCAGCTCTTCCCAGATGCCCACAGGGTGACTCATCCCCGCAGGTGTGCCTGGCTCTCCAAGTTCCAGGACAGCAGCCAGTGGCTACAGATAGATCTGAAGGAGGTCAAGGTGATTTCAGGGATCCTCACCCAGGGGCGCTGTGACATCGACGAGTGGATGACCAAGTACAGCGTGCAGTACAGGACTGATGAGAGCCTGAACTGGATTTACTATAAAGACCAGACTGGAAACAACCGCGTAAGTCAGGATTACCCCAAACCACCTTCAGCTCATACCCTCTGGGATTCCCGTCCCGTTACTGCCGTCACTCTCGGTCAGAGCACTGACCCCACAGCATGGTGAGTCATCCACGCTTCTTCCCCACAACACATTCTGCTCTCTTATGACTGAACAGGTGTCGTTTCTTGTATTCCTGGTGCTTAGAACAGTTTCTTTGTGAACGAGTGCCACTCTTGTGTGCAAATGTGAATTCTCATATCAGCATATAGGTGCTTGAAAGATCAAAACTGGTCATTTGGAGTATTCCAAACTCACTGGAGCATTGAACACTTTGCTGCATGGCTCTGACTTGATCTATTAGTGATGTGGGAAGGTCCTTGTCCATTTATGTAGCTACGGCTTCTCCTTACTATTGATTGAGACCAACTACTAGGAAGCTTTGGACAAGCCAGCAAGTTAGCCACTAAACTATGTAAATGGTGAAAACGACCCAAGTAGTGCAGACCCAGAGGAACTTCAATCTTTTAGCAACTTTATATCCTGCTAATTTCTGAAGGCCGAGCCCCATGTCTTGTTCACCATAGACTGAACACAGCAGGCTCTTGATTTTATATATATATATACATAACGTATAATTGCAATGAATTAAAAAGTCACAAGCCGTTTGGAGATGGTAACTGTCCTTTTGCCTGAGAGGCTACTGGGTGTTTAGTCACTTGGGTGACAAGTTGTACAACAAGACATTTATGGGTTGAGATTTCAAGGGGTTTGAACACAACAGGAAAAACCATCTTGACACTTGGACATTTTACTTTATTTTGTTCTTGTTGGTTGGCTTTTCAAAAAGATAATTCTTTTTCCAGCCCAGTCTGTGTTTCTGCAGACCCTGACCGTTCTTTGCTGAGAGGCACTCTGCTGAGGCACTTGTGTAACCTGGAGGAGCCTGTGGCATCCTACCTTTTCATCTGGCTCCTGACTTGAATAGGTTCAAGGGCAAACAGCTTGGACAAGGGGGTGCGGGATGTTGCTATTGGGAAGAAAGGCAGGATCATGGCATATGAGGGCCTTCTCTTTTTGTGGAAGGATGAGGCCAATGTGGCAGCCAGACTTTTTCAGGAGATAATTCCAGAAAGAAATGAAATGTTCCATCGTTACTGGGCAGAATACTATGACTCTGGAAAGAGTGCAAAGAATGGTTTCTTTGGAAATACAGCCAAATATCCACACACCTTTTTGTGTTACAGTCACTGAATCATGTTGTGTTGCATGAAAAACACAAAGCAAACCCTTTCTCTGGGCATTGCCCTCCCTCTTCCAGAATCTTCCCTCTAGTTTCTATGCCTTTTCCCTTCTTTAAAGCATTTTTCCGAGTCGAAAAAGTACTTGCCATTTGTATCTATATAGAGATACACACTTAAGCTTCACATACCTCATGAAGTTGACTCACAAATTCAGGGCCACTCTGAGCCCCACTTTGGATACCTTTGAAACATGGGAACACTCCTCTTATGTGATGTGGCCATTTTCAAAACTTTCTGTCAAAATGCAAGGGATTAAAACACAAAATTGGTTATTAGAATTAAGACATTTTCTATCAATGCCATCCAATAAAACTTGCTGCAATGATTGGAATGTTATCTGCATAGTCCAATATGGCAGCCACTAATCACATTAGCTGTTTGGCACTTGAACCACGGTCATTCTTTCATTACTGAGGAAGTAAACTGTTACCTAATTTTAATTTCTTTAAATTTAAATGGCCACATGTGGCTAGTGGCTACCATACGGGACAATGCAGTTCCAGAGGCCCCCAGAGAGTGACCTGGAGATGCCCGGAGCATGTACATGCTGGTAAACCACTCAAATTCAGATTTGTGGGGTCGGCATGTGCAAGTGCTTTAACCACTCTGAGATTTTCCATAGTTACACGTTGGGGCCAGCTCTAGATAGGAATTGTTCTACCTTTTCCCTCCCCTGATGTGACAGTGATTGGATTCTCTCCCTCTTTAGGTCTTCTACGGAAACTCGGACCGAACCTCCACAGTCCAGAACCTGCTGCGGCCCCCCATCATTTCCCGCTTCATCCGGCTGATCCCACTGGGCTGGCATGTCCGCATTGCCATCCGGATGGAGCTGTTGGAATGCGTTGGCAAGTGTGCCTGACCCTGGCCTCAGCTTGGCACCTGCCAGGGGGCAGAGGGGACGGGAGCAGAGCAGCCTGGCGCAGACCCTGGCCCACTACTATGATGAACAGGGCTGTATTTCACAAGCTCTTTCCAATGAAGGGCTGAGTATAGAATATTTCTTTCTTTCTTTTTTTAAAGATATAGTTTCCAATTTTAACAGAAGAAACAGAAAATGAATTTATTTCCCACTCAGGGCCAAAGAAAATGAGAACAAAGAAAATGTCACTAAAAACAATTTTCCTACAATAGCCTAAGTAGCAGGAGTAATTTGCTGCTCTCATTTTTTTTTTTTTTTGTCTCAGTGACACTGGAAAGGTGCACTCCCAGGGGAACACTAAGGAGCCCTGATAATTTGAAAACTCTTTTGCTTACCATATTCAAACAAGAACACAGTTTCATAAAGCCTCACTTTGAATGCAAAGGGGGAGCAAGCTTGCAGTTTCTACTGTTTTCATTAAATCATGGCCTTGAAGGACTTTAGAGCACCAGGTATGCAGAAGGAAGGTTTTTGTGTAACTGGGTGGGGCAGAGGAATATGGTGGATGGGGGCGCCTGTGTTCTGCTCTCCTGGGAGCCATACATGACCAAGGGCTTCAGCTGGGAGGGCTTCCCCAGCTCTGATTACATACACCTCCATTCTGCAGCCCATTCAGGCAAATTACCCCAAGTCACTATTTAGGTGAATACATGGGACAGACTGCACAGTAAGTAGTGATGTTTCCCTATATTTAGAAACCCGTAATGACCAGAACACACCAGAATTTCCCTTTATCTAGGGCTACCATTTTCCAGCAAGCTTAACACTTTGAAAACACTTGGCCCAGGAGCTATCACTGGCTGTGTGGAGGAGGCCCCTTAGCTGACTACATGCTTTGCAGGAAGTGCTCAGGCCCAACTCCTAAGGAGGGAGATGTGGCTACAGCCCTGGTGGTCTACACTTTCAACCTCTGTCCCCTTGCCTGACAATGCACAAACACATCTGCTCCTGACACTGAATCCTCCTTGGGAATGAATGGTCCTGGAATGCGTCTGGCCTGGCCATTCCCTGCTGGCGGAGCTCACTAAGGGAGCCTGGGAGAACGACAGCCTGTCTCCTTTGCTGATCATAGCTCAGTCTGAGTTTCCAGGCCCTTCCCTGGGAGAGGCTGGTGACATGGGGAGTAGGGAGGAGAGGTCTATAAAGAGGAGAAGCTGAGGGGGGTGAAATCCAAGGATAAGAGCCCTTCAGTGAGACTGGGGAATCCAAGACTGTCTGGGCCTTGACACAGAACAGCCTTCCTAGCAGCTCCTTTTTCCGAGTGGCTGTTTTCAAATGCCAGGCTGAGTGAACAGACTCACACTTATCACGATCCTGGACACCACACTCGCCTTCTCTGAGTGGGAAGCTTCCGGAAAGCCTCAGATCCCTTCCCTGGTGTTTTTGGGTTTAGAACAGTTTTATATTTAACCCAGTATCTTTCTAATCCCATGCTATATACATGAACCTGAAAAAAATGCTTTTCCCTGCTCACTCTCTTAAATTTATCGATTCAGGATGGGGAAATCCTTCTCTCTGGCCTTAGGACACATGGACAAATCCATTTTGAATAGATGCCTGACTAAAGACCCTTGTTGGGAAAGCTGAATGAACTTTAATCATGACATGGATGGTCAGAGGAAATGGGGGTAGCCTGGGAGTTCAGGTCCTCTTTAAGTGGCACAAGAGACACAGGAGGGGAGTGTAATTAAAGGAGAAAAAGAATGAAACAGTGTGACACAGGTATAAAAGTTCTCCAAATAATTGTTCATGTTGGAAATTTTGTTTTCTAAAAACTTTATTGTGAAGTCACATACCATACAAATTTCACCCATTTAAAGTGTACAATTCAATGACTTTTAGTATATTCAGAGTTGAGTGAACATTACCACAATTCTAGAAAGATTTCATCACCCCAAGAAGAAACCCTGCATCCATTAACCATCACCCCACAACCCACTCATCCACCCCAGCCCCAGGCAATCACTGATCTGGTTTCTGTCTGTAGATTTGCCAATGATGGACATTTCATATAAATGGAATCATACAATCTGTGGTCTTTTCTGTCTGATTTCTTCTGCTTAGCATAGTGTTTCCAAGGTTCAACCATGTTGTAGCATGTGTCAGTAGAAATCACTTTTTATGGCTGAGTATCATTCCATTCTATGGATGGACCATGTTTTATTTATCCATTTCATCCACTGACGGACATTTGGATTTTTCCACATTTTTGGCTATTATGAATAATGCTACTATGAACAACTGTACAAGTCTGTGTGGACACATTTTCATTTATCTTGGGTATATACTTAGATGTGGAATTGTTGGGTCTTACATAACTATGTTCAACCTCTGAAGAACTGTTAATTTTTCAAAGTGGCTGCACCATTTTATATTCCACCAGCAATGAGGGTTACAGGTTCTCCATACTTGTTATTACTTAATCAATTATAGCCATCCTGCTGTGTATTAAGTAGTATCTCCCTATAGTTTTTGATTTGCATTTCCCTATGATTAATGATGCTAAACCTTCTTTCATGCATTTACTGACTTTTTGTACACCTTCCTTAGAGAAATGTCTATTCAGATCCTTTGTGACCATTTTGGAATCCAACTTTTTGTTATTGAATTTCAAGAGTTCTTCATATATCCTAGATACAATTCCCTTATTAGATATACAGCTTGCAAGTATTTTCTCCTATTTTGTGGGTTATCTTTTACTCTCTTGATGGAGTCCTTTGATGCATATGTTTTAAAATTTTGATTAAGTCCGATGTATTTTTCTTTTTGTTGCTTGTGTTTTTGGTGTCATATCTAAGAAACTGTTGCCAAATGTAGACCTTGAAGATTTACCTGTTTTCTTCCCAGAGTTTTATAGTTTGGCCTTTTACATTTAGGTCTTTGATCCATTTTAATTTTTGTACATGGTATGAGGTAGGGGTTCAACTTCATTCTTTCCATGTGGATATTCCGTTGTCCCAGCACCATCTGTGGAAAAAACTATTCTTTCCCCATTGAAGGGCCTTGGCACTCTTATTGAAAAATCAGTTGACTGCAAAGGTGAGGATTTATATCTGGACTCTATTCCAGTCCATTGATCTATATGTCTATCCTTACACCAGTATCACAGCATTTGATCACTGAAGCTTTGTAGTAAGTTTTGAAATTGGAACGTGTGAGTCCTCCAGCTTTGCTCTTCAAGATTGTTTTGACTACTGAGTCCCTCAAACTTCCATTATTAATTTTGGGACCAACTTGTCAAATGCTGCAAAGAAGCCAGTTGAGATTTCACACTGGAACCTGCTCAATATTTCAGAATTTAACAATGAGATACTGAGATCTGTAAAATATTTATCAGCAGGTGATTTGTTTATGACAGCACATGATTTACCTCCTTTATGAAAAAATGTATAAAAAATACAGCTTTTACTGAGGGACATCTGAAGCCCTACAGAATCTTGCTAATAAATACATGAGCTATGTTTGCAGTTTTATTTTTTCTGTGAGGGAAATTATCAATTAAAATATACCTTGTGTAGCAAAAACCCATTCTCTTACCTTATATAATCATGTTTACTTTTATTTTCAGAAATGTTAGAATGTGGTCTACACTTACAGATTTATTTTTTTAATTGTGGTAAAACATACAAACTGTACCACAGGAGACTTTTAAACAACTAAATGAAATGCTAAGAACAAAGAAGTAGCATTAAGTATTGCCAAGATTAAGAAAAAAATCCGTGCTGATTTTGGTATTCAATGTAGGAGGAGGTTACTTGGATGAAACAAAGGTATTTCAAAATAAAGGTACTGCTGACTCCGACCTCAGAGTCCAGAATATGGTATCCCTGAGGCAAGCCTCTGAGCAGACACTGCCAGAAGCCCCCCTTGTGTCTATGTGGAGCGCGGCTGCCGAGGCCTGCTGACCAAATGCAGAGCTGCACAGGCTGTTGCTTCCCCTGTGATGCCAAGAGTAGCTCCAAGTGGGGTAGTTCTTACCTCACCAACTTCACAGGGCTGATGTGAAGATCAAACAGGACAAATGTATCTAAAGTGCTTAATGAGCTTTCTGTAACTGGCAGTTTAGATTCAGTGACATTCCTTTTCAATTTCATAGGGCTGCCAACTGGGACACAAATGGGAGCAATAATGTTGTAATAGCTGATATTTGTTGAGAGTCTTTCATAAAATCTTTTGCAGGTTATCCTCTCATTAAATTCTCACAACCATTCTCTGAAGTAGGTACTAGATTACTTCCATTTAAAGATAAGGAAGCTGAGGTGTAGAGAAGTTAAGTAACTTGCCTAAAACCACACAAGATGTAGGTGGTAACACTAGGGTTCTGCTCAGGCAATTCCTGTGCTTTTAGGCATTTCACCAGTCTCCGGACCTTTAGCGACTTGTTTCAGGGAAATGTTCTATTCTCAAATCAAATCAATTACCATCTACTAGGAGATGCGAGGAGAGGTGGCGGTACGGGAAATCGCCCCATGCCGTGAATCCTATGTCAGTCTGTATACATGAAGAAGCACTGTTCAGCAGTGTTCAAGGATACGGACTTTACAGTGAGCCTACTCGGTTTCAAATCCTAGCTGTGACCAGGTAACCCTGGGCATGTTAACATGAAGTCCATAAATGTCAGTTTCCTCATCTAAAAAATGGGGATACTAACTACTTCGTTGTGTTGCTGTGAAAGCTAAGTATAATAAAAACCATGCTGGGCATCAATTGGGCCCAGCCATAATAAGTGCTACCAACATAAAGAAAATTACAAGCCCCACAGATAGTTCGAGTCAGTCTTAACAGAAAGGATGTTTGAAATCACAGGCTACAAGTTTCCACGACACTTAAGGAGAAACTTGAGTGAAGAAGTTGGTGACACAGTGTTTTTACGAAAGCAAAGCACTGGGTTTCAACCCAATCCTTTGTTTAGAAAGGTGAAGTTGGAGAGTCTATGTTATCATAAATGTTCAGTTCTTTCCCCCCATTGAGCATTTACTAAGGTGATCCTTTTGTCCTTAAAGACAAAAGTGAGGGCCTAAAACAGGTTGGTAGTCTGGCCTGTGCCTGTCTTTGTCAATAAAGTTTTATTGGAAGACAGCCATACCCATTCATTTACACATCATCTATGCTGCTTTTGCAACAGAATGGCAGAGTTGTGTGGTGGCAGAGTTGAGTAGTCAGACACCTATGGCTCTCAGAGCCTCAAATATTTAATACTGGGCCCTTTACGGAACCAGTTTCCCAGCCCCCTGCTTTAAAACATGTAGAAATCTTTATTAAAAGCTGTCCATCTTTGCTTTCTCCATGGCACTGAGCAGGAGGCTGGCATCTCTTCCCATCCTCCCAAACCATCAAGGGAGCATCTGGCAACTTTGTGCAAAGGAGACAACACTCAAGTGCAAAAGAAACCAAAGTTTTCAAAATGCCAGAAGGGGGAAAAAAAAACTTTATAGTAGAATAAAAAAGTTCAACATCATTAAATTACAGGATTTGCCCTGCTTTACATTAACCTACGCCCCTTCAACTGATTCCAGCTTCATAGGCCCATTAGCTTTCATTTGTATTCACACAGAGTTCTTTACAAAGACGGAACTAAGCAGAGCCTCCTGCTGTTCAAACAGCAGAGACCACAGCGCTCAAGATGGGAACGCCTGGCAATCACTTCACTCAGTGCAAAATCTGCATTTTATTAAAGACAGTTGGGAAGATCCATTCAAAAATACATTGTGCTCAGTAAAAATTAACCATTTCATGCTGATAATTAAGGTTACCACGGAATAGATATTTGTATAATATTTACAGCAACAATAGAAATTTTACAGAAGTTTAGAATGGAATACATGCCAGAAAAAACTTGATTAAGATGTACCAACACATGATACAAAGAGCTATATAAACACTTTACAAATGGTTCATAATTAGCTTGTGAGGAATTTAAATATTCAACACTTCAAATTCAGTTTGGAATCAAAAATTAAAAAGGTTAACACATCACACCCTTGCCACACAGTAAAAAGTATGGAATTACACTTTGTATTATGGATTATAAATCTGTGCAATTAAGAATTTCCACTGGTTCTTCATCTACCACGGATTTGGATGCTACATCATTTTGATTTATCTCTATTTCTGTTTTCATGCATGGGCAAGGTTTTCAAAGTTACCCTGCCCTGTGTCTTCCCAGATATCCCCCCTTCACACTTCCTAGAGATTGAAGAAGCTCGGAATAGTCTTCCAAGTATATACAGAATAACTACCTGAATTCGAAATGGCACAAAGCAATTCTTGGAGATAGGAATTAGGGGCAACGATTTTGTCTGATTTAACTGTTTCTGTTGATCAATCCAGGTTGACCGTGAGAGTTTACTTCTCGCCGTCACAGTATTACCCCTCCAGCCTGACTCAGTCATTGGCCAGGGAGCAAACAAGGAGAGGGACGTTGAGATGCCTGCAATCAACTGTGTCATCTCTAGTGAAAACACATTTTATACAAGATTTGCTTTCCATTTTGGAAAATCTAAGCCATCGTGGAGAACTTCAAAGTTCTCCAGGAAGAAAAGCATTCCTTTTTTTTCTCCAAACTCAGAATACTGTAACTAGAGCTTTCTGACAACTCTTGTGATAGACACCTTAATCCCCCAACTGGGACAAAAGTCAAGGCATCTACCTTTTTCTGTTCCTGGGTTTGGTCTGAGTAGCCCTGAGCCAGAGCACTAGGACAAACTCGTCTACGCCTGAAATAAATCCGATCAGGCTTGTCGGAAAGTAAAATCCCAAACCAAAGGAAGTCCTGAGGAATTCTTAGCAGTCTGTCAAAATGGAGGGAATGGAGGAACAGGTAAGGCCTCTTTCTCCCTGATACTCTGCACTGGAAGAGTAGCAAACAAGGCAACTTCTAATCTGCATACAACGCGGAGACTCATTTTTTAAGATTCCAAAGAAGATCAAAATACGATCTAAGGATCAAATGGGGTTCAGAGTTTAACCTTGTGGGTAATGAGGGGCCTTAGAAGGGAAACTTAGTTTCTCTGGCCCTAGAAATCCAACGTGCAGACTTCTACAAATTTTTTCTGGCAAAACAAAAGACAAACCTCCCTCAAAGTTGGGAGTAAACAGTTAATGAATGAAAGTACAAGGCAGGTTGTGATCATATTTAATAGCCTACAAGAAATACACAGAAAAGTGGGTCAGTGCCTGGAGCGCAGAAAGGTGGAGTCAGGACCAGGCCTAATGCTGATGAATTAACAAAGCACTATGGGAAATGAGTATTCACGCAGTAACTGACTTGGCACAAAAGTCTATGATCTTTTATAGCACATTCAATTAAAAACAAGAGAATAGAATAGGGCAGCAGGCCCCGAGTTTCCTAGCCACCTTCCTTCTATCACATTGTGTGTGTAAAGACAGAGATCCTGTCATGGCTTCATTGTCTTGCATTTTCCCAAGGTTTCTAAGATAGATTTTTTTACACAACCAATGAACCCGACCTCAAGATATTCTATGTCTCAGCGGGTCAAGATGCAAAAGGAAGAAGAACTCAGAACAGCTTACAAGTTTTTGTTCTGTAAGTTGGCTCTTTAAGTCTCTGAGAAAAACTTCCTGTGAGATTCTGGCCCTGGGGATTAGCAACAGGACACTCACAACATTTGCACTGTCTTATCTGCAGCCCCTTTTAAAGAAACCATTTTTTTTTACCTGTAAATAAGTTTTCTCTGCCTACACACTTTATTAGTGATGAACTGAAAGAGGCAAGAAAGTATTTCCATAGTTTCTGACTTGGTTCAGTGTATCATACCACATTCCCAGTTCACAAAAGCATGAGTCTGTGGACCTTAGTGCTCACAGGGAGCTCAACATCCCACTGTAATGCAGGAGGCAACAAAGTTCTAGATATAAAAGCAGTGCTCTCCAGAACAAATGTTCTCACCAGGAGAGAATATGCAGTTTTCTGAGTCCCAGCTAAGTTCTAGGAATAAGTCACCACGAGTGATTATTACCCTTGCCTGAAAGTTGGGTCACTACCAGGACCTAGGTGAACAGAAATGGACAGAGCCTTCCACACACTTGAAAAGTAACCTTCTGGCTTTTAAAGAAAGTTGTACACTTATTGAGTCATTCTCAATACATAGCTAGGAGAAAATAAATGGCTTTTTTCCTTATTTAGTCTAAAAACTAGTTTAACAAGGAAGGATACTATGACGTTAACTAAGAGGCGCGGGGAAGGGAAAATGGGATAGCATTTCCTAGCAAAGTCCACTAATTTTCAGATTAGGAACATGCTAAACTGGCTAACTCTACAACCACAACATACTTTATAATACATGACGTGACTAGAAACTAACCAGCAGAGCTCTGAGCTTAGAAGTAAAGTACAACTGCATATGGTTAAGTCTTAAAGCATGTTTCAAAACAGATTTAACCAAAGTGTACAGCACAAATACTCCTATAACAGTCACATCACAACCACCAATACAGAGTTTTTTGCTTCTAATCGGTCTGTTATATGCCAATATTTGTAAAGAGCTATTAAATGATTTGAATGAAAAACAAAGACATTTTCTTTTGGGAAACACAGCTAAAAGCCATGGATGCCTTTGAGCAGTTGGTAAAAATCATGCCAATCTGCCAGGCTGCTGCTTGCTTCTAAATATAAGCCTCATGGTGCTATGAAAGATTTTCTAAGGATGCTGACCGAGAATTTAAGTTCTCAAACACCTATAACGTAACTCTGCTCTCGTCCCAAAGGATGCACCTTTCAGCAGGCCCAAGACAATGGAAAGGAACGAAAGGATTCCAGGGATTTAAGAACAGTGGCAGAAAATTCTTTAAGAGAACGCAATGCTGAAAAATTCATACCTGCAGTTTCGTAGCCTGGACAGAAGAAGGACAGAGCCCGGGTCTGCAGACTTGCAGGCTTACGTACGGTAGAGCAGGGTCTCTCAACCTCAGCACTACTGACATGTCTGAGTGGATCACTCTCTGTGTGGGGTTGTGTGTATGTAGGATTGTAGCAGTGTCCCTGACCTCCAGCCACTAGATAACCAGTAGCAGCCCCTACCCCCAGCTGTGACAACCAAATCTATCTCCTGATGTCCAACGCCCTGAGAGGCAGAACCAGCCTTGGTGGAGAGCCACTGCTGTAGAGGCAGCTCACTGAGTGCCTCAGCCTGGAGCAGTTTCGGTCTCGGGCTCTGGAGAGAGGCTGAACCTCAGGTAGAGACCAAGCAGGTTTAGTAAAAGTTCAGTTAGAACTGCTGAGAAGAAAAACGGGGATGGTGGTAAAGCAAAACTAGAAAAACAGCAGAGCACTGTCATTTCAAAAGATGATGAGTGATAGTTCCATAAAACAAAGTAATCCATAAACCTTCATTTAACCTGTTTATCCTTTTGGAAATTAGGGCACATCATAGATTTAGATGCTCTAAATTTTCCTTCCTAAAGAAAATGCAGACTCTTGTCACTTTAAATCAAGTCCTGCTTATCACAGACGGCAATCTTTGTGAGGTCAACAACTCATCAACCAGAGAAAAATAACAGTTAAAAGCTAACAGAGGAGCCATTAGATTTGAGAGAAACCTTCAGCATTCCCCGTGTGGGCAGGAAGAAAACTGTACAGGCTAGAAATGTGGATTGTAGTTCACTTATAGCTTACTGAGGTCAATGAAAAGTCAGAGTGGACAACAGCTGAGAAGAGGGTAAAAGAGCTACCTCAAAAAAGCTAGTTGAAAACATAGTAGATATTTTCTGGCTCAAATCTGGGAATGTACAAAAAGTGTATATTGACTCTTTATCAGTTAGGTTTACTTTGCTTTAGGTAGAAGGCAATTATGCTAGCCCTTCTTTGAAGAACCACCACGAATATAAATGTTCTGCAAACATCTGAGATCCCAGTGTTAGCAAGGATGAAAACATGGGAAACCAGCCCCTAGGTGACAACAAGCCTCAAATGCCACAGCATGGCAATGTGACTGCACAGTTTCCTAAGCACACAGCACAGTGAGAAGTCTTTCCAGAGGGAAACGTAGTTTCTGGTTTGCAAGGGGAAATGCTAGGTACAGATCTAATAGGAAAAAGAGTCATCAGTATCCAGGCAAACACTGCTAAGGGTCTGCGTCACTTATATAACTGAGCAGCTGCCTGGGGAAAGCCAGAATTCAGAGCTCCTTGAACAGGACCTAACTGGTGAGAAACAAGATATATAAAGAACTGAAGAGCATGCAACCTACTGGTTTGAATCAAATTGTTTAATGATAGTACCCAGTTGAGTTTCATTTTAGTGCCTATTACACTTATTAAAGTCAAATAAAAAGCACCTTAAAATGACCTCTATATATATCAATACACATCATTGTAGTAGTTATATAAAAATGCAATATGCACACAATTCTAACTTCAAAGAAACTAATACCTTTCCTTTATAATCTTCATAATTATCAGAGTTATGGTTCTCAAAATCTTGGGGGGAGGGGGAGCAGTAACCTCACACATTTCAATTACAGTTGACTTGATTCAGGGGCTGACACTCAGAATCCTGGGACAAGTAATAAGTATTGAGAAGTTCCCTCTTTTAAGGGTGGGAAGGGGTCTTTAAAAATATTATTGCTAAGAGACTACTTCCAAAAATCCAATACTCTTAGATGGATGATGGTGTTGAGGGTTGGGGTGATTTCTATCAAGGATGGCCTGGAGACACAGGGCCATAACCCTCATTGCCAAAAGCCTTGATGACACTTAGGAGTAACTGGGAAGTTGAAGGAGATCAAATGAAGGAAAGGTAAGTTTTGTTCTGACTATGTGTGTGTGTAAAATGGACAGTCATCCCAAGAAGAAAAAAGTGGGTATAGCAATTTTCTCAACATCTGGAATCACTTCAGGAGACTTTTAAGTATATTGGAAAGAGCAATAACAAAAAAAAGCATTTAGAAATAGAAATGCCACACATGCATCTCACACCCCACCAGCCAAGAGTCTCTGGTACAGCGCATAGGATTTAGGTGCATAGAGCTGGTTTACAAGATCTACAGACATGTGCCTCTTACAACCTCGCAACTAGGCATGTTCACAGGCAAATCTTTGGTCTATGCTACTAATGCTAAGTAGATACAGCAGATCCTCTCTACAAAGACCCATGAGTAACCCTGGATCTAGTCTCCCCTCAAGTGCATGAACAGGAACCAACTGTGTAAGGGTGGAGATGAGGCCTGCTGGAGTTCTCACTGGCCTAGCCGACTTTCTTCCCCAGGGGGTTTGAAAGAAGATGCTGCATCTCGTCTGCTACCAAGGATCATGTCTAGAGGCTACTGCTGGGGCCTGAAAGTTGAGCAAGGTTCCTGCTGTTATAGTCCATATAGCCACAATTCAACTCCCTTCATTAGAAGTATAATACTCACTTCATATCACAAGTGTATAAAAATATGGCAGATAGTGTCATAACGATACTTTCTTTAAATGATTATATTTATAAAACAGATATTTACTATATATATATTTATATATAGAATAAAATACTCCTGATGCAATATATAAATGTTAGTGTTTAGTTTTTATAGAAACTACTTTAGCTGTCCCACTGCTTCACAATGTTCCAAACAGCTCAAAATAACTTTACATTTAACATAAAAGGTATGATTATAACAGTACAATATTAATTATAAATAAACATTACAAATCCTATCAAATATGGAAATTTAGAAAACAATTTAAGACATACAGTTAGTTCATCTGCTAATCCTTCAAAGGGATATTCTTGGATTACCATAAACCCCACATTTAGCCTACGCAGAAAAACCTCTGTGGTAAGGGCGTTGGTCAACACGCATTTGTCTGTCCCTTGCAGTGCAAGTGTCCCTGGCTTTCCCAAGTTCAATCGGGATTGCACTAAAGCTGGAATGTAAGGGGGAGAAACTGGCAAGAATGTCTTCTTCCTTGATGGCACACTCTACCCATCTCACACAAGACCTGTGGGGCCTGGCCATCCCTAGGAACTCCTGTGGCTCTAAGATCCCTGACTAGCATTTGTGGCCGTGAGGAGCCAGATGGCTCCACACATACAATATTGCACGCACCTTCATAAAGCTGAAAATACTGGCTTACCCCCTGCCCCCAACCCAGCCCCTTTGCCACCCACCCGGCCCCTCCCCTCCCTTCCCGGCCCCTCCCCTCCCCTCTGTCTCTTTTAAATCATTCAGATTTGGCATTCGGGACCGATTTGTTCTGTTATAAGGGTGCCCGTTTGGCCCACTCTTGGCACCTAGCTGTTCAGAGTAGGAAGGCCCCTCTGTGGCACTTCGGGTCACTGAGGACACGTGCCAACCAGGGTCCATCTGACCTGGCAGCTGGAGGGCTGGCCTGCCCTTTGGTGTGGGCTCCTGCCGGATGTTACTGCTCCCGCCAGAGGCCTGGCTCAGGGGGTGAATCCGAATTTCTGAGAAGGAATTTTTGGCTTGTTGAGCTGTTATGGGTTGGAAGCGGGGGTCAGAGGCAGCCGGGTGATTTGAGGCTGAAGGGAGATGCAACAGCTTGCGCAGTGATTTTAATGGCTGGCTCTGAAAGAAAAGATGAAAGTGTGTGTAGGACTTAATTTATAGTAGACTTGAAAGCTTGGGGGAAACAGCAACAGATCTGAGATGGCTGCGTGAGGCCAGGGAGGGAGGAGGGGTTCGTCCAGCCTTATCTGTCCTTTTGGTCTTTTTCAAACGAGATCAAAGTTACTTTTCTGTAATGAAAAGAAATCCAGAGCTTGTGTGGCAGCTATCAAGGCTCAGGTGCTTTCTGTCTGGCTGCATCCCATGTTCCCCGAGGGGGCTGACAGGGATGCGGGAGGGTGGGCACACGCTTAACCTGCAGGGAGAAGCGAAAGAAGGGATATGCCCCTCCCCTTTGAGACACTCCACCCTCTCTACATGAAGCTGCCCCTGGCCGGACCTCAGCCATCCAGCCATATCTAGCTGCAAGACAAACAGAAACAAATGTAATGTTCTTATCTCCTCAATCTTCACTTTCCTTTGAATATAAAATCCAAACCTTCCCTTTCTGCACTTTTAATTTGTTTGGTTTTTGTTCTTTAATGTTTTTGAGGAGGGGGGTAGTTTGGGTATTAAAAATGCCATGCACAGAGAAACAACCAAAAGCCCTACACGGTCTACAACACAAATCACTCACAGGAGGCTTTCAATCCCTAACGTGGGTGACGGCCGCCCAGCCAGCCTGTTTGCTGTGGGGCCGGGGCCTGGGCCCAGTGTGGTGCTACCCTGTGGAGGGTGACTGCACTTCAAGACAGACCAGACAAGGGTCCTGGGAACATTGGCCAATACTACTGCCTGGCAGCCCCTGAGCCACGGCCTCTCCCTAGCCCCACCAGAAAGGTGGCTCACTCCTCTCTCCTCCACATGGGGAGTGGTGAAGAGGCATGGAAAGCACTCTGAAATTCAAGGCCCTCACCGGGGACCCCAGCACTTGGGGCACCACTCGTTGCCAATCTTCAAGGGCCACGCCTTTAAGGGCTCAGCAAAGTACAGTAAGATGTTGATGATCTCAAAGAACACTACAAGATTTGAAGGAACTGGGTGTTGGAATCCAATGGGAACTGCTTGAGAATTGACTCAAATAGAAATTGCTTCTGGGAAAGCATCCTCCATAGCAATTCCAAAGAAAGCTTTGTGGTCCCCGCGCGAGGTGGCATAGTACACTGCACATGGTAAATGCTCAAACGTGTGTGTTCTTCACTGTTTTTTAATGAAATTGGTACAATGATGCAATGAGATTCTGGGTGATATTTATCACATGTAACTACTGACCACAAGTAACTATTGAGCAATTACAATAATCTGGGTTCAGCCAGAGATACTAGGTTACGTGAAAACAACTACTTAGCAAAAGAAATGGCTACAGAAAAAAGGTTCTAAAGCCCCATATTCTTTTTTTTGCTTTTCAACTGGGACTAGATCAGGCCATCACTCAGAATCTTGTGCTTAGTTTGGCTACATATCCAATATGCCTTGGCTATCTGGTTCTCTACACCATCTCTACCCCTCAGCCTATATTATGTTAGAAGCAGAAAATATAAATGGTTGGGTAAACAAAATGGAAATCTGGGGAACTCCAGACAGCAGCTCTAAGTAACAGCTTATAGTTCAAAAAAAGCAAACAGACATACAAAAAGAAACCCTCCTCCTCCAGATGATAGAAATCTGTGGTCATTTAGAGGCACAAGTAACCCTATAGCTTCAAAAGCTCACAAGAGTTGTGGAAATTATAGTACACAGAAATACTGGATTTAGGAAATACTGAATATGATCAAAACACAGTTTAGATTATGTTACTGTGCTCATTATGGGACACTGAAAAAATATAGTATTAAAACATTTCCAATCAAAATAGTTGTTCAAAGGCAGTAAACCTCAATTACTTAAAAAATTGACTGATCCAGTCTCTCCTTATTCTCCCATTATGACAGATAAAAGTAATGGTACGATACAGTCTAACATGCAGTTCCTAATGCAACTGGTTTGCCAGTTTTCTATCAAAAACAGTATGGATTTCAAAGAAATTTAAATATTCTTTCAAGGAGTGCTGTATCTTGCAAGGCCCAATTTGTATGCTACCACTTTTAATGAAACCATCTTTCCACTACCTCCTCTCACCCTCCCGTTTTATGGTTTGCCTCACTTTTTACCATGAAATTATGGTTATGTATGGATTTTCTTTTTCTCCTAGGCTGCAGAGCATTTGTCGGCTGGGACCATGTCTTATTCCTCCTTAATCCTCTCTAACCCGCACCCCCCACACCCTGCCCTGTGAAGGCTAATGGAAGCTCACTTTTTTGTCCAGTAGAATATGGGTCATTGAAACAAGATTCATCTGGACTCCCAAGATGCATCTGACTATTAGTGAGGGTATATTCTGGGGAGGCTCTCAGCCTTGCTGTAGCATTGAGAGACTAAATTTCTCAACCCTGCTTTCCCCTCAGGAGAAATGGTCACTATAGAGTCTGAGAGTCTAGGAATAATGCAGACACCACTCACTTGGGTCTGCAGATCGGAGATCTTCTCAGGACGCCATTCCTTAGGCCTGCTGCTCGGGGTGCTAGCAGAATGAATGGCTTTCTGCAACGTCATAAGATCAGGGCCATCAGAGTTGGGCACCTAGAGGAGAATATGGACAAAGATTCAATAAGCATACCAATAAGCCTAATTGAGATATGCAACCACACCCCAGAGAAGAATGAAAGCAAATCAAACCAACCCAAAATTCAACCAAAAAAAAAAAAAAAACAATAAGAAGAAACCAAAACTCTCCCAATGTTCACAATGCAAGTGATGCTAGTTAAATTCTGCGGCCCCCTTAATAATTTTCCCTGCATTAGGAAAAATTGGCAGATGTCATGCAGCTTTGTTAAAACCTCAACCTTTTCAAAGCATTCCCATGCTGTTAGTTTTAGTTGCTGTAAGAGAGAGCAGTTAAATTGGGCTGTACCAGGAATTTCTGTCGTATCCTCATTCCATATTGCAGTTAGGTTATGAACCAGTTCAATAAAACAAAAATTTGTTGCTGCTGGGAAAATGATCCAAACACCATATTTGGTGGTGCCCAAGGAAGTCTAGCAGGCTTTCAAGAATAGCAAAGTGGGAAGGTATAGTTTGAATCACATTCCCAAGACACTGCCCAGTAAATCTGAGTTTAGCTTTATACACTATGAAAATGCTGGAAATTTGTGCTACAAATCCCAGATAAGTGCAATCCACTCACCAATTTTGGTGAACACAGGAGAGTAACACTAAATGCCAAGCAAAAGCCCTGGCTTTAAACTGTGACCAGCAAGAGCTAGAGCCAGGCAAGGAAAAAGCGCATCACCAACTAAGTTAGAAGCTGTTCATGGAGCCTGCTAGCTCGTTTGACTTGGTCAATTTGACTTGGTTTCGAAGAAAAACTGCCAACCAAGTGTTACAAACTTCGTGAGCCAAACGAAAAGACACTTGTTAATTGTAAATGTTAATCAAACTCTTTACAAGAAATAAGGGATTTTGTGAATGCTGTCTGCCGACAATTGGCTATCAGACAACCCAAAGTAGCTTTGCACTAGTTTGTTTGTTTAATAGCCTTTTATGCTTCAACTTCCTTAACTGATTCAGAAAATCCAGAATGGTAAAGAATTTATATCCCAGTGAATTTATGGAACTGGCTCAGGTACTTAACTAGCACAAGGAGAATATGACTCCATGAAAATACAAGACATGCTGTTGTCATCAGTAAAACAAGTTTACTGGAGCAGTTTTCAGGGCTACCATACATAAAAATGGGTACCATGGGTGGAGTGACTACAGGAAGCTTTTTCAAAGAAGAACTATGCTTTAAATGATTCTTTGAATTAAAAAGAGGAAAGAGGGATTTCTTGATGCTTGGATTCTCCCCGTTGGTGGAATCTGTCTGCAATATAAGATACAAATAAACTAATTGCAAAAAAAAAAGAAAAGAAAAAAAAGGTACTCTTATTGTAGCTCCTAGCCCTTGGAAGCCCTGAGATTGTTAAATATTAACAGTTATTCAAAGAATCTCAGTTGTTGTGTGTGCATCTACTGGGGTTCTGGGTCATTTCTCAACTGGACATGAAGATGCCAAAAATGAAGTTTCAAGACATACAAAAGCGTCTGCATTGTATAAGGAACGTGTGGTCATGACCAATACCCATAGCAGGAATGCTTAGAGACCTACACACGTCTTTATTTACATTAAGCTTACAAAACATTCAAGCATTTATTATCAGAAACATGATTATTATAAAGAATAGTGTTTAAAGAGCTAATTATGAACTTTAATCTTTGCATGATTGCTAGAGAGGACTTTAGCAACTAACGAATCTACCATGTAATATGCCTATTAGGAAAAAAAAAATACCGCAAACTCTTTTGAATGTGGTCAACTCTTAAACCAGAAAACAACACGTGAAGGAGGACTATCACTGTTGTAGGACCCTACCGCAGTGGAAGAGGCTGGTTCTATACTATTTAAGAAGTGTTCACCCCATGGAGAAAACCTGGTACAATTCAGAATCTGGGTTTTCCAACTAAAAAACAAAGTTCAATCTTTAAATTGAAGCATGATTACCAGTTAAGATACTAACTAGGATACAATTACCAAGTTGGCAAAGTCACCATATGCTCTGAGGGCTTATATAACTCTCTGGATGGGGAACTGAAGCCAGATTCCCCAAGGCGGCTTCCAGATTTGCTCAAGTCAAAGCCGGCACCCTTTACAATACAGAATTATTCTTTGGCACCACATTTTCCTGTTTTGGATAGCTCAACTGTCAGAGAGCTAGAAGGTATATGAAGGTATTCAGGGCATCCTTTATTGGCATGTGTATGAAGACATTCAAGGAAAACAGCCCATGAAGTTTCCCTCTCCTATGACAAGGATCCCAGGGAAGAGTTTAATTTGCATCCCCATGGAGTCCTTGAGAGAGCTGGTGGGGACCCGTGGCCAGAGGCTCTCCAGAGGTGGGCCAGTGGCATGGACTGTGCCTGGGCCTGCTATTCAGGAGAACCTACTTCTAGTCCTCCCAGCTGACTGTGCCATGTCAGGCATCAGTGAAATAAAGGGACTAAACTAGATTTAGGACCCAAGGCTTTATTTAATGTGCCCTGCCCTTCTACATGCCCTGGTGTCACATTTCCTGTTTAAAAAAAAATATTATGCAAAGGACTCAAAGCTTTAAATATTTCAAAGCTCGTTTACCTAGTTTCCTTTTGTGGAGTTCTGGAAAGTGAAAAATAGCTAACTTTAGTTCTGTCAATGCTCATTCAAAGGAGGCACAGTTAACGCAATGCCAGGCTTAGGAGCCTGAGGCCTGGCAGGATATACTGAATGCTCTTTGAAAATCTTCCTCTAGATATCAAAGTCTTCTTAAAAAACCTTTTTTTCTTCTCATTAAAAAATACAGAGGTACAAACAACTTTGGTTTGTCAGGCTTAAGGCACTGTGGCCTGTATGGAGATGATTTTGCAATTACTTACTCTACATATCAAAAATGAAATGTATGAAAACCTACAAAAATAAGTTCAAGTGGAGAGGATATTAGAGAATAATAATTTTCTTATTTACCATAAGCTATACTATTGAAACAACTAAAATTTGAACCAGATCCTGAATAAAATAGCCAGTCAACATGTATATACTTGACTTGGGCCACGGTGAGTAGGGGCTTTAGGTTTAATGTAGATTTTAAGGCAGATAGACACCAAAGTCAAATCTATATACAGAACACCTTCCATGCTTTGGTTCCTTCTACATTCTTCTACTTAATCACCCTGTAATAGCTATAGACCAGAGGTTAAGAACAAAACAAAAACCTTAAAATAAAAATAACAGTCATTAAGAGAAGGTACTATAACTTCAATGTTCCTGATGGATAAATGTTTTACAGACAATGATAAAAGCTTTATTAGCACTTTAAATATTTTAAGGTATTCTCCAGTATAGCATGGAGAAGACAAGTAATGACTCTATAGCATCTACTACACTGATGAACAGTGATTGCAATGGGGTTGGGGTGCGGGGGGGCCTAGATAATATGGGTAAATGTTGAAACCACAATGTTGCTCATGTGAAACCGTCATAAGATTGTATATCAATGAGACCTTAATTTTAAAAAATATTTTAAGTTTCTCTACTTTAAATCAGGTCTATTTTGTTCATCCAGTTTGAATAACACATGTAGTAATATTTGATTGAGTGGCATTTTGATCTGACATCCCACTTTAAGTGAGTTTTATTTAGAGATACATGCAGGTTTTTAAATAAACATTTCAGGAATATTATAGAGCCATTAAAATGAAGATAACAAAATTTGTGTAGAAACATTTATGTTGTATGTATGTGTGATTGACAGATACACTATTAGAAGCCAGAATAAAAATTGTACTAGAAGAATTACTATTATTTAAAACCTAAAAAACCACCTTCTTTCCATCAAGATACGCATAGGCTAAAAAGCTAGGAAGAAAAAAAAATCCTTATACTAGTTGTGATGGGGTGGTAACAAGTCACTTTTTTCCCTCAGTTTTTCTGTAATGAGCTCATATTTATTTTATAATGAAATACGTAAATTTAACAAGCAAGTGAAAGAATAATCTAAAATGGTAATCTAGGAAAGTCTTTATTAATACTTTCAGAACATCCATGAAACAAAAACCCTCACTTTGGGTATTACATTCTTTGCTACTATTATCTGTCTCATGTGTACTTACCATTGAGTCATAATCCTAGAATCCATTTTCCTTTTAAATATATGAGAGTCAGTCATGAATGAAGTAGAACTAGAAACAAGATCATTTAAGATGGCTGACTAAACAGTGCCTGGTCCTCGCGGTGTCCTAGAGCACAGGGGGAAGCAGGCCTCACATGAGTAAAGAAGCTCCTGCCGGTCTGGGGTCCTGGCTTACCCATGTTGACTCACGTCACCAACCAGCAGAATCCTTGCTTGGGTGGTTCAGTGATGTGATGTGCACGATTCCATGGAGCCAGGCCTTGGCTCAGGCAGAGGGCTCCCAGGAGATAAGACTCATTCCATTTCACAGTTCATTCACAAGATAAACATGTCTTCCTACTAAAGCAAGCCCTGAAATGTCAAATGCTATCTCCTCTCTTTGACTCTGCAGCCCAAGCAGCACTTATCAACATGGGAAATGGATAACCAGCCAGAGGAGAATAATGAATGATGGATATGAATTTCAAGATTTAAACATAAACCAAAACCGTTTCCTAAGTTTTCACATATCTTTAGCCCCCAGAGAGAAATAAACCCCCCAGCTTTATAGTTTTTACATGAATATAAATCCACATGGGTAAGATGTTTATTGAGAGGCTTAAAGTGTTCTCTCATCCAAATTAAATTTCTCCTATACCTGGAGATTCTGTTGAATCTACAAGAGGTTCTATGAGGAGGATAACTGTATTGGATTTGAGAAAGAAGCATATATAGTATAAGCATGTCAAGTCTCAATAAGAAAACAATCCACTTTGATTGCCATGCGAAGTGTGAAATACACACAGACTATGCAGATTCATACGTCACTGTATATAGAAATTGGCCATCTACTTACTGTTTGAGATTTCTTCTTTTTCTTTTTCATTGATCTGAAAAAACCTTGTTTTTCCTTTTCCTTGAGTTGTTCGGAATGACTAATGTTTTCAGGACTTTTCCTAAACAGGAAGACATTTTTATCATATTGATTTTGCAGTCATTCTCCCGCTGTTTTGTGACAAATGTTAACGAAGAATAAAAGTGCATGAAACCAGGTTCAAATAGTCATGGAGAATCAAGCAATCAGGTAAGGAGCCTCTAAAAAGCATGGGAGGAACTGAGTCTAATCAACCATGGTTGACGATTAGTCTTTGGCACTGACTCACTCCAACTGGCAATTTGAGCATTATTACAAATGATCTATAACTATGCTGCAAAACCATTTCCGTGCTGCTGAAAACCTCAAAATTAGAGAGTCTGAAAAGCACATGGTTTAAAAGATGCCTTTTCTGTAACCCTCTGTGGAAAAAAGCAGAAACATTTTCAGTATCTTCCTTTTTCCATTTACCTTTCTAAACCCAGCTCGTTCATTATTAGTGGCCTGCCAAGGTACTGAACATTTTAAAAAAAAAAGAAAGAAAAGAAAGAAAAATCAATGCTGCCACAGAAACCTTATCAGTAAAAATTGCCTAAAACTGGAAAATTCCTTTATAAAAGCCTTATATATATTTATTAACACTAAATTAAAAATGGGTAAGGTAAGAAAGAATGTAGACAGGATGAATGCTTTCATATAAAGCACTGCTCTGGGGAAAAAAAGCTTCTAACTGAAAATACTAACAATAAGCTTCATACCAGTGACATCAGCAAGTATTTTAATACAAACAGGAAATAGTAAGAGACACAAAATAAGATATACCTTGGCCCCGACAAGTTGTCTACTTGTAGTTAACAGAGGCCCTATATTAGTAGCTGAATTTTCTGTCTTTAAAAAGCAACTCAACTGATGTTATTCTTGGAAAAGGCACATTCTACGGGCTCTGCTTTAAATCTCATTATCTATATGACTTTGAAAAAACATTTTCTAAAATGATTGGATGCCTTTTTTTTTTGACTATTCCCTAAAATCAAGGGTAGGAACGTTAAGGTAACAGAGTTCATTCACATTATGGTTTTAGGACACCTAGCAGTGATGAAGCTACTAGAATATGTAAGAAAATATGAGCAAAGCAGCCTTCTTGATTAAATCTGTGTGAAGGCATAAAACATTTAAATGAGCTATTACAGATCCACATGATAGAAAAACTCCATGAAGCTATTAAAAATAAATCACATTTTTGAAGAATCCTCACTAATGTGAAGGAATATTCATACTTCGATACTAAGTGAAAATAGCAGGATCCAAAACTTTCTGCATAAGAGCCCAGCTGTATTAAAAAAAAAAGGCATATATATATGTATATGTGTGTGTCTGTGTGTGTGTACATATATACACATTTTTAAAAAGGGGGAAAATAAAATCAAATTTTAATAGTACCATCTCTGGGTAATAGGACTAGTGGTGATTTATTGTTTCTTTTTAATTTCAACACCAAACAAATATTACAGATATATTAAGAAGGTTTTAAAAATCACAGAAAATTATTTGAAAGACCAAGAACTCAAGATCAAAGACAAAAGGGAAGAGATTTAAAAAGAGACAGACAGACTGACACAGAAAAATAAAAATAAAAAGGAGAACATCAACAGCTGGTGTTGGCAAAACTGGACAGCTACATGCAAGAGAATGAAACTGGATTATTGTTAAACCCCATACACAAAAGCAAACTTGAAATGGATTAAAGAATTGAATGTAAGTCATAAAACCATAAAACTTTTACAAGACAACATAGGCAAACATCTCCTGAATATAAGCATGAGCAACTTCTTCCTGAACGCATCTCCTCGAGAAAGGGAAACAAAAGCAAAAATGAGCTCATGGGACTACATCCAACTAAAAAGTTTCTGTACAACAAAGGACACCATCAAAAGAACAAAAAGGCATCCTACAGTATGGGAGAATATATTTGTAAATGACATATCCAACAAGGGGTTAACATCCAAAATATATAAAGAACTTACACACCTCAACACCCAAAAAGCAAATAACCTGATTAACAAATGGGCAGAGGATGTGAACAGACACTTCTCCAAAGAAGAAATTCAGATGGCCAACAGACACATGAAAAGATGCTCCACATCACTAATCATCAGGGAAATGCAAATTAAAACCACAATGAGATATCACCTCCCACCAGTAAGGATGGCCAGCATAGTAAAGACTAAGAACAACAAATGTTGGCGAGGATGTGGAGAAAGGGGAACCCTCCTACACTGCTGGTGGGAATGTAAGCTAGTTCAACCACTGTGGAAAGCAATATGGAGGTTCCTCAAAAAACTAACAATAGAAATACCATTTGACCCCAGAATCCCACTCCTTGGAATTTACCCAAAGAATACAACTTCTCAGATTCAAAAAGACATATGCACCCCAATGTTTATTGCAACACTTTTTACAATAGCCAAGATATGGAAGCAACCTAAGTGTCCATCAGTAGACGAATGGATAAAGATGTGGTACATATACACAATGGAATATTATTCAGCCATAAGAAGAAAACAAATCCTACCATTTGCAACAACATGGATGGAGCTAGAGGGTATTATGCTCAGTGAAATAAGCCAGGCAGAGAAAGACAAGTATCAAATGATTTCACTCATCTGTGAAGTATAAGAACAAAGAAAAAAACTGAAGGAACAAAACAGCAGCAGAATCACAGAACCCAAGAATGGACTAACAGTCACGAAAGGGAAAGGGACTGGGGAGGATGGGTGGGAAGGGAGGGAAAAGGGTGGGGAAAAAAGAAAGGGGGCATTAAGATTAGCATGTGTAATGTGGGGGGAGACACCGGGAGGGCTGTGCAACACAGAGAAGACAAGTAGTGATTCTATAGCATCTTACTATGCTGATGCTGTAAGATTACAGTGACTGTAATGGGGTTTGTGGGGGGGACGTGGTGAAGCGGGGAGCCTAGTAAACATAATATTCCTCATGTAATTGTAGATTAATGATACTAAAAGAAAAAGAAAAAAGAAAAAAAAAACACAGGATGATGAATCAACGACCCTCTGCCAGTTCTGTTCTCTAGGTACTGGATACACTGGAGCCTGGGGGAAGAGGAAATGATGAGAAAAACATCTTCAAACTGAGGCTGGGCAGAAGCAGTGGGGACCAGATCCAGGCAGGGAAAGATTCCAGAGGCCAAAACCAAAAAGGAAATGAATGATCCTGGAACTAGAGTGAAATGTGAGAGCACACGCATCAGCAAAGACACAGATAGAAGTCAGAGAGAGAGAACAGCCCAGGTGGGAGAGCAAGCTGGGGAGAGAGGCGTAAGAGAGGAGATGTCACACTGAAAAATACAAACACAGAGAATTAACAGAGAACAGGAGAAAGCCTGGGAGAGAGACCCAGAGATGGAGAGAAGCTGCCTGGAACACAGGCACCTGAAAAGCTCTGTGTTGTACAAAAGAATGGAGACAGAGACTTGAACATTTACAAGTACTGCACCAAATGGGTGAGAAAGAATGTGCCCCCAAATTCATCTCAGTTGTGAATGTGGACCTCATGATTCTCCCTGGTACTGCCAACAGTTGTGTGCTGAGCTGCGTGAACGGTACCTGACATGTAACAGGCAGGGCCGGCAGGAGCGGCACAAGGAAATGGGGAGTGGGTGATCGCACGAATCTCAGGGGCAGCAGCTTTGAGGACCAGCCACCGAGTTGCCTGGCACAATATCCAGGGCTGAAACAATAGCCGGGGTGAGGCTGGGGGGATGCTGGTGCGGGGGCAACAATTTCCTTCCCGCAGTCACGGGACTCAATGTTATCAAACACAAGGGCTATTTCTGTAAGGGATCAAGAGGAAAGAGAATTCAAAAGACTCCCCTAAAAAGGGAAGGAATTAAAACTGACTGAATCACAGTCAACCAACATCTGCAGAGTACTTTGTACGTGCAGGCCCAGTGTTAGGTGCCGGAGCTACAGGGCAAAATAAAACTAGGACTCTGACCTCAAGCTGCTCACAGACTCAAGGCAGGACACCCACAGGTTTAACAGAGGGTCAGACTTCTGGGGCCTCGCGAGAATCCCTTTAGCAGCAGCATGAAGCCACTGGGCTGAAGAAGAGAGGGCCATTACTCTGTGAACTCTCCTTGCTTACTCCTTTTCCCTGGCAGCGTGACTAGGTGCTTAGCTAACATCTGAGAAGAGAAAATCAGTGGAGAATTTCTTGACTTATGGTGCCAAACAGTAAGGGTTACCAATATATTTGTAAGTTTACAAGAAGACAAAGCCTAGGATTGTATAAGCAATTGTATAAGTGACAGCAATTCTTCACTTATCTTCACTACTGGAATTTCTAATTAATTTGGTTTACTGTTTCAAGTGTCAATTTTAACCCAATTCTGGCAGCAGTTTTTCTAAACGTATTTATACTTTTGTTTTTTAAGCAAAGTACGAGCAGCCTATTTCATAAATATATACTCTACATGGATATTTATTCTATGTATGAAACTATAAAGGCTAGAAATGATTTTCCCACTTGGGGCCTGAGAAAAGGAAAAAATACCCCCCTTCTCTCCCATGGCTATTATTTGGATTTTTCTCCCTCTTGCACACTGTATTGTTAGCTGGGATTATTTCTTGCCTGACTACCTCAGTGCCAACAACTAGAACTGCATAAAAGCAGCAGCTAAGGGCTCATAGGGAGGATGGAGGTGTTTCTCATTAGTAAAATGAGGCATCTGGCTGCATTAACTCTATTTTTCTTGTTCTGAGATATCTTGGCTTATCTCCCAGTTCTTAACTGGATTCTAGACAGCTGAGATGTCCAGAGCAACTGCTGTGGATATTATACTTCCATATCTATTTATCACTTTAATGTATGACATAGTAGCTGGGGTTTTTTTCCATTGTGAGAAATGTGTACACTGTACAAATATTCTCTTCCCAAAAGAAATGTAAAGTGCCACTATCAAGGAGAAACAGACTGCCCTGAGGTAAGTGGTTTAGGGTAGTAATTCAGTGTTACCCCAGCAAGGCTTGTTCATGTTTTTCTACCAGTGGCCAAACTGCATTTCTTTCAAATATACACAATATGATGAACCAATGACAGACCTTGTTCAAGCAAAAAAATCAAGACAAGTCAAGCTTCATGACTAACTTGACTAAGTTAGATGAAATACATAAAGGAGAAGTATCGTAGCAGCATTATCATCAGGGGCAGGAGGAGCAAAAGCATACAGCAATTCATCACTGGCAATTCTAGAACCCTCTCAAGCCTTCTAACAGCAGTATCAGAGTAAGGCTGACTCGATGAAGACTTGTTTAAAGGTCAATGTCTGAACTGTGCCTCTAATTCTTTTTAAAACAGCTGTTTTGAGGTTTCTACACACATCCAGGTCTAAACAAACTCTACTCAAGCCGATTACCGAAAGACAGAAGCAATACGTTGTTAATACTTCCTATCCCACATTTTGATTGAGTTTTGATGTGACCTACTTGATTTTCATAGGACTGTTATTCTGTAACTGATGCTCTCTTAAACCATCACCACTTCACTATGCAATGACCAAGAGAGAAAAACAACTCCTTCTGTACTTCCATGTTCTCACAATTTAGACCCCATTCTCATGGCTTGTCAAAGCCACACTTGAAAGTGTCAATGCTGGTAGCTAAAAGTAGTAGTATCTATGTTCCTGGGTTAATGTACAGGAGCTCTTGTCTACAGCCACATGAAGATAGAGTATATCAAAGTTTATCAGCAAAATTAAGTTGAGGGGAGACCCCTGACAGGTCACATTAAGTGAGAGGACACTAATGCCACAGCTAACACTGACAAGTCACCGTGACAGGTGCCGCTCTAGGTGCTTTTGGTGTTTTACCTCCTTTAACAGTCACGTTAACCCTACGAAGGAGATGCTATGCTTAGCCCTATCTTACAAATGAGGAAACCAAGGGGCAGAGAGGATACAGTCACGTAGTCAGGTAACATTAATCAGGTATTTTATTTCCAGAGTCTAATCTCTTAAGTCACTAAAGTTAAAACTCCCATTTTTATAAGGAACACAAGGGATATAAAGTGTGCTTATAAAAGAAAAACTATTTACAGCTTTAAAACATCATTTTTATTATATTTTTTAAATAAGTAAGCTATTTTCACCATAGGGCACAGTAATACCAAAACCTTGATATAACGTTGCTAACAGAGTCCAAATTGTGAAACCATACATACAGGGTCGGGAGTACTGACCTAGGGCTCTTCTGTGACTTCCGGCAACAAATACCAGAGACGGAATCTCTGACAGACTGGACTCATTCTAAATTCGCTGTGTTACAGTGGTGCACCATTTTATTCTTTAGGTGGACACCTTAGGAGTTCTATGAGTACACATAAACACCCCCCCACCATCTAGATTCTGGGCAGCTGAGAATATAAAGTCGACATCATTATCATTATTATTACTACTATTCTTATTATTCTTTTAAGCCCTTATACCCAGAAAGATCAGCTAATGAGACTTGATAGATACTATAATTCTCTCCCTAAGTTTTTATTACATATGACACAAAGGTAAATGAGTAAGCCAAGCTGGCACACCATTTTAACCTCTGACTCCCAGGGTGCTTTTGTGGCAGCATGAAGGATTGTTTCCCAGTTTCTCTCTTCTCACCCTGAATGCAAGTTGGGTGGCAGAGAGGTGAAGGCTTGAGCTTATGAGAACTGAGTGAGACACTGCACACAACATGCTAATGAGCAAAGTGTCTGCTACCTGATTCAACAGCAACAAAAAGAGAGACAATGAAAGACATCATTTATGTCAGAAGGATGCCATGGAAGACTTGTGAGGTGTTTATGGACCCAGGAGATTTTTTCCTTCTACATAATTTTTAATATAAATGCTGAGCTTGAAAGAAACCATACCCACGATGGCAAATCACATTCTCCCTATCCAACAATCTCTGGACTGAGAAAGGCCCAGCAGGCGAAACACTGCTAAAAAGTTTGTCCAGAATTTCGCTGGCATCTCAAATCAACGACTAGAAAAAAGAAGAGCGAGAACAAGGCAAAGTACTCACCACGGATCGAATGCTGGTTGTCTTTTTGAGTGGTTGGTTCCAGAACTGCTTTCTGATGGGAGGGAAGAAACTCTGGCCGACACATTATTTTCATGGAAAGAACTGTCCGGACGTGGAGATGGCACTGAATAAAGCAAACGTCAGTCACTGATTCACTCTTTTGGTCAAAGCAGCCCTCAAGTTGTTCTACTGCATTTTCCCTCCCACAAACAAAACAGGCAAGTCAAATCCTCGTCTGCCCTTCACAGAACTTTTGTCTTTTCTGAGGGTGGGTAAAGACATTTAGGGAACATTCTTCCTGCCCTACTGCTTGCAACATTATCTTGCAAAGGCCAATTAATACTAGGCAATATATATATATTCACAACACAAACTGACCTGTTGTGTTGATAAACTGAAGAACACTGTACGATATTTAAAAGTATGAATATGGTAGTCCCCTGCCCCTCCTTCTTTGACATTCTTTGAAGTTGAGGCTTTCTTACATCATAGACCCCACTATACAAAATCAATTCTTAGTCTGAATATTTGTGCTGGAATATACAAACTATGGTTTGACACCTGGAGGCAGTGCTGATTTTGTATTTTTCAAAACTAAATTCCAAAGAAACTTGGTTATTTGCACAAAAACCCTACCTTTCTCTAAATTTGCAATCTACAAATTTAGGAATCTGTTTAGGAATGAACAGAAAGACAAACCAGAATGTATGTGAGTAAATACTTTTCTGCATTTTTTTTGGGGGTGGGGAGAGGGTTACTCTCTTTTTCTGTCAACTTCTAAGCTTGGTTATAAATCAAAATATATTGCAAATTTCATTGCAAAAGATGATACAGGCTGCATATTAAGATAAATGACACCACTTCACTTGACTCTTGCCCAGCAGGACTGAAAACAGGAAGTATTCTGGAGACAGCTTTCATCGTACTGATACTACTAAATCTAACCGGATGAAGATTTAGCGGGGTACCACTGAAATGGCAGGTGTCCCCAGATGTTTCACCTACTTCAACCTTTTCCTCCTATTTTTGGACTTTCTAAAATAAAAATGTTCTACCTGCCAAACCCTGAAGTGGATTACGAGGGAGACAAATGAGGGGCTTTGCTGGTATTAATCAATTTAATTTCCTTCATTCAAAATAAAACTGTTTCCAGAGGTCAAATGCTAATTAATGAGTTATAAATTTCACTAACATTTTATATTAAAGTATATTCTCCAGGCAGCTACAAAAATAACCTGCGTATGGTCCATTTTTGGAAATAAAATTTACAGTAACAGAAGAAAAGGCTTTTCTTCATGTATACTACAATATTTTAATTAACTTAAATCTGAATTAAAATTTTAGTCCCATGAGATTTGAAAGTAACCATGGCATCAGGAAAAAAAAAGTGTTAAGATGCAAATTCAATGCCTTTTGCTTTTTTCAAAGGCAGGGCTGGGAGGGAACAGAGTAGCCTACTCATTCAATATATATTTAGTCCTTTACGACATTTTGCATTTATAAAGCTCAGGTTCCTAGTTAAAATGATCAAACATACTGTGTGCTGACCTCCAATGAGTTCTGCACAGTGGTATAGAGGGCATGTCAAAGTGTGGGCAAAGGGTCTGTTTGTTTCTACGCAGAAGATCAAGGCCTAGCTTGGATACCCAGAAAATGAACTAAGATACGATATGAGGAGGAGCTTCCGGCATCAGCACTCTCTGGAGGACTCGTGCCGGGGGATGATCATCAAAAAGCCTCCACAGGGATCCGGACGATGCTGCGGTTGTGGCTGCATCCAGCCCACCGTCTCCTGGACTTGCCATAAGAAGGAGGAGGGAGATGTCTAGGCTGGCATGTGCATACAGTGAGACAACGAATTTGACTGGATCTGTACTGTTGGAACTCAACCAGGAGTTGGGAGGGGTGCAAGTTGTAGCACCCCAAAATCTCATGACTATAGACTATCTATGGTTAAAAGAACATATGGGATGTGAACAGATCCCAGAAATGGGCTGCTTTAATTTGTCTGATGGTTCAAGTACAGTTGGACAATATCCATCATATCATAGATAAATTTTCACAAATGCCTAGGGTGCCTAAATGGTTTTCTTGGCTTCACTGGAGATGGCTGGTAATTATAGATTTGCTTTGTTTATGTCACCGTATTCCTATTATGTTAATATGTGTGTGCAAATTAGTTAGTAGTTTAAAACCTATACATACTTAAGGTACTATACAAGAAGATATGTCAAAGAAATAATCAATCCTCCCAAGTTTCCTTCATATGCTACATCTATAGCTTTTCTTCTTCCTTCCTAATTACAACCCTTAAATAGAATTCGTGCCTCATATCGAATTTACCGAGTATCATAATTCCTCCAGGTGGTAAAGATACTTCGAGACAAGTGCTGGGCATAGAAGCCACAGGGCATAAATCTGCAAAGAAGTAAAAAGCTAACCTTTGCAAACAATATGGCTTCTCTCTCACTTACCAACTTTACATTTCCCTGTATGGCCCCGGAAGATGACTGGTTAGCCAGAGACGGGTAAGATTCCTCAAGGGAGGAACAACCTAAGACAGGCACAGTCGCAGGGGGGCCATCAGGTGAGAATTTGGGGATCAACAGAGGTGAGGCTCAGAACCTCACCCCCCCTGCTTTGAGAGAAATCTTCTGCATCCGTGGATGTCTTGCTGCCCTTGTCTAGCCTGGATTAATACTTAGTCCATAGGCACACACCTGATCATCTGATCATCTATATTTGCCTTCTTACAGCACTAAACTATGTTTTCTACCTTTATCTTGCATCTACCTACCACTTCAGCATTTTATTAAAAATAAAAATAATAATAATAATAGGAGAAATGTGGGATCAACATATAAATCAAGTACAAAAATCAAATGAATATTCATATTTGACCTGATGGTTTATAGGTCATATTGCATGATCAAAACCGAAAGTTTCTGTGATGAATGCCCTTGTACTGTTCACCATGTAAGAATTTATTCACTCTGTAAGAATTCGTTCACCATGTAAGAACTTGTTCGTTATGCTTCAGAAGATTGGAGACTGACGAGAATTAGGCTTGAGATGGATTAATGATTGTACATTGAGCATTGACCCCCCTATACTGAATTTTATTGTTGTTAACAACCATTTGATCAATAAATATGAGAGATGCCCTCTCAAAAAAAAAAAAAAAAAAAATGATCAAACAGTTGTCCACATATATCCCCAATTCTTGTTCCTTTCTAGCCATCTTCCCAAATCAATAGAACAGTGGCAATGGACCTTTCCCCTGTCCTGGTGGGGTTGCTGTCAGTCTCCCCACTAGAGGCTGGGTCTCCCACTCTATGACTACATAGCTACTCAAAGGGGATGCCTCTCTCTGTCAACATCTCCTAAATCCACATAGCCCTGAGGCATCCATTTTAAGGCTGTCAAACACTGAAGTACATTCTTAGGGCTGTACAAGTTGAGTGTACAAGGCTGTACACTTGAAGATTTTCTTTCATTTAATCAACAAATATTTATGAAACTGGCAGGTAGTGTACTACTCAATGAGGGTAAAAGAAGAAAAGACAAAGGACCTCTCAACCTTGTGAGAGAGAAATACAAACATCAAATCAGTACCATGTGGTCTGTGTCATGTTTGACACCTAGACAAGCAACCATGGATGGAACAGAGGAGGCAACATTTTACTTTGGGTGGGTGGACAGGAAGACATCACACTGTAGAGGATCTCGAAGTAGAATCTTAAAAGGGATAGAAACAAGCTACCTGAGTAGGGGGAGGAGTGTGTTTTGGACCAGAGGAGGGTCTCACAGGCTGAGCATCAGCACGGAAGGGAGCAGCTGGAAGAAGGGCCAGGGCCAGGGCCACGTAAAGTGTGGAATGCCACCTTAGGGAACTCAGATTTTGTGTGGATGCCAATGGGAAGCCACCAGAAGACTCTTAGCAGGTAAGAGATAGAGGCCTGGGGTTGGGGTGGCGGGGGCATGGCAGGGGGTGCCTTGCACTGCTTTTTCCCCTGTAGCACTTACGACCTTTTACTGCTCTATATAATTACTACATTTAGTGTTGCTCTCTCCTCATGAGAATGTAAGCTCTGTGAGGGTAAAGACTTTTGGCTGTCTTACTCATCAACATGCTGTAAGCTAGAACTGGGCCAGGCATACAGGTGATATCTATAAATATTTTAAGACTTAATGGAATGAATGGGTGGTGTGGTCAGAACACAGCTTCAGACGGATCATTTCAGGGACTGTTTAGATCACAACCCTGGGTATGGGGAGACCAGCAGGAGGCTATTCAAAGAACCCAAGTCAGAAGCCATGAGGGCCTAAATTAAGACAGCAGGACCTGAAGCAAAGAGAACTGTTGCAAGGCAACAGTACCGGCAAGACCTGAAATCAGGGCAATGAAATGCAGTGGAGGGCATGGGTAGAGGCGTAGGGGAGGGAGAGAAGAGGGGAGGGGCCCTGGTGGGCGTTAGGGGCCAGGCTTACCTCGGTAGAAGCTGCCAACTCTCCGTGGAACAGGATCATTGTACAGGTGTCTATTTTCTTTGGGGGCGGTGCCATCATCAGAATGGGGGTCATGATAGGCTCCACCCTGTGACAGGAAACAGGTTTATAAAAAGTGAATGACAGAGCAATGACGATGTACCCTGTGACCTTAGAACAGTGTCTAAAGGATCTACAACTTACTCCAGGATCTTTTTAAGAGAAAACTCAGAATTATGGTATGAGGAAAACTATTTAACTTTGTAAGCCAGTTCAAATTATTTGTGGGAGATTGAGTATGAATGAATTTTAAAAGATAGGCTGTAATGATGTTGAATGACCCATTTTTACAAACACAGTTTATCGTAGAAGTAGCAACTCAGGAGAACTCAGACCTCAGACTTTTGCCGTGCATGGAATGAAGAGGTGCCTTCTCTGGAGGGTTCTTTCACAGAAGATCGAGCCACAGTCATCTCTGGAGGGAGCTGTTCTCCAGGCTGGAGATCAAATTTAAAAGGATTTATGAGTGTCCTGTTCCTAGGGATTAAAATCACTGAAATCACCAGGGGCTATATTTGGTGTATAACCAGTACCTTAACTGGCTAAAATAAAAAATGTTAGTTGGCTAAAACATAAACTGTCCCGTAAAAGATGAATCAACTGATGAATGTAAAATAAGTAGAACAAATGTCACAGAGACGGAAAGTGAAATTCTCATTAAAGTTAAGGCAAGCAAGGAATGAATTACTCTGCAAATAGTTCAATTAATTATTAAAAACAAAATTATCTTCCTCCCATCCAAGTACTAACCAGGCCCAACCCTGCTTAGCTTCCGAGATCAGACGAGATCAGACGCGTTCAGGGTGGTATGGCCATAGACCAAAATTATCTTCCTAATAGCCAGAAAGTTTATGGTTCTGAGCAGCACTCTAATAAGAGATCCTATTAGTTACTACAAAATTTCTCTAGCAGATTTTAGGCAGAGTTCTCCAAAAAGAACTGTTCTTCATGAAGGCCTTATATGGCAGATTCAGATGAAAACCAATGTTCTTTGGCTATATCAAGGAATAGAATCAGCACTCTTACTAAATCCTATTTTAAAATTCCCTAACTTCTGTCGTTTATGTACTTCAGTTCTCCTCCTGATCTTCTCTAGGATAACAGTACTTTATATTTCATGTATTTCCTTAACCATAATCATAATGGTGCTCATCTCCACAGAGACACTACCCATTTCTCTCAAGAAGTAAGACACAAGCTAAGAACAGCCTAGGCCCAAGGTGATGTTCACCGAGGGGAAAGGTAGCATTTTCTACCCTTGGATAAGATTAAGGGACAAAATTAGCTGCATGGCCTATCTGCACATCACACAGAATGAGTATTACCTTGAGCCTTACACGATGTATCAAAAACATTTTATTTAAAACTTAGAATACGATTCTGTCTGTCTTCCCTTCACTTCCCAAATGTACTATATTACAAGAAGACATTCTGGGCAGGAAATCCAACGTAGTCTTTCTTCTTTCTACTTTGTGACAGGATCTGATTTGAATTTTATCACCTGTATTACTTGCAAAGGCCTAAAAGTATTTTTAGAAAACAAATGATTTATATTAAACCTAAATTCTTTAGTGACAGTGCCAGTCCAGTCCCTTGCTCTTGAAGATGGCCACAATACTTTGCAATAGAGGGATTCTCATAATTTATTCACAGCTGTAATTACCTGCCAAGCTGCCTGCCATCTTTGTGCCTTTAAACTTGGCACTGTTACCTCTCAAACTGGACTTTAAATTCACTAACAGTTGGATCTGTGTTTAACCCACAGTAACTTTATAAGTAGCGTATTTACACCACGTTCACAAAGTCTTTTTTCTGGATCTCTCAGATAGCCAATCCATTTGTCCTAAGTTACTGCTTTTTGTTTTTCTTACCTCTCTTCTCGGTTTACACTACGCTTAATGCTAGCATACTTTACCGGGCTTTGACCTCTATGTGACAACTATGGGCCGCTGCCAAGCTCTATAGAGCTTGCCAGGCCTGCGAGGTTCTCTCTTCTCTAAAGGGACTCTAACCACTGCACTGACGCCAATCACGGCATCTCCTGTCCTGTGCCCGTCCTCCGTGCCCAAGTGTGCATCTCCTGTGCCTCCTCTCACCTGGGCACTAGGTGGTCTTTCCAGCCTTGTGGAGAATACCTCTGCATAGGGGCCCAGAATCACTTCAACCACAACATGTCAGCATGCTAGAGCAAATGGTACTGGCTTAAGGACCTGGACATGGCCTCATGATCTCAGCTCTGTCCTCAACTAGTTGGGTAAACTTTGGCAACCCACCCAACTTTTCAGAGCCTTAGCACGCTCATCTGGGAGATGAGGGGTTGGATTAGGTGACCTCAAAAGCCCTCTCTTCCACTCTGAAAAGGAGCGCCTCTAAAAGAAACCTGGAAGGCTTCCTTTTTCCAATATTCAATTCTTCAATTCACAAGTCTCATAGTTTCTACTTCTGAGTAGTCTTTAAGACCCAGCCACTCGGTTTTGCCACTGGCACTGTCACAGTCCAGAACATACTCTCCTCACCTCATACTTGGAACCTGCAAAAGCCACCCAATCATGCATTTTTCACTCTAGCACCATGGAACAGGTTATGATTCCCAGGGCACACATACCATTTAATGTCTCTATTACCCTCCTCCTCCTGGCAATGCTCTTTTCCATCATCCCTTTGAGTCTCTTTCCTGATGTCGATTCTACTTTCTTCCCTCTAGTTAAGTCCCAGAAGTCTCTTCTCAGATACCACCTCCCCTACCTCCCCTGGGGGCCTGCCATAGCCCCTGCCTGGGCCACGCCGCTCCTCTCTGTCCCTCTGGCATGTACACATCTAACACAGCGTAGGCATGCAGCCTCACAGTCTGATAGTGACCTATTTGCTGGCAAGGGTGCATGCTGTGCCCCCTGCCCCACCTTTGCACACTCCCAGAGGACAGAGGCCACATCTTTTTCAGAACTGATCATGGTGCCTAGCTCAGGAAATGCCTGAACACAGAGATGGAAAGTGAAATTCTTATTAAAGTTTCACCATCCAAAACCTCCCTCTCTACCCTATCTCAGAGCAAGACCTTTAGTTGCCCCCAAAGCCATTTCTGTCTGCTTCTGCTCACAATGATCTCTCCCTGTTCTCAACTCCTATTTATAGCTGGTGCCATAGTAATTTGGTTCTTAATTATTTCATTGTTACCATGTATAATTTACTCTTCCCTGAAGGCAGAGAAGTTTCCCAAGGGCAAGCACCCTACCTCAGATTCTTTGGAGAGTCTGAAAACACCCAGCACGGAGACGGTGTTTAATGTCTGAAGAACAGCCCCCACTGTCACAGAAGCAACCAAAACCTGTCAACACTCGCTGTGTGCCAGGCACTGGGCACGGTGCTTTCTCGGCTGTGCTTAATCCTCCGATGAGGATCTGAGGCACAGAGAGATTGTTGCCACTTTCCCACATCACTTGAACCACATCGCAGAAGTGGGACACAAACCCGGGTCAGTCCGGCTTCCCAGCCCGAGCTCTTGGCTACTTTGCTACACCGACTGCTCACTTACTGACTGTCCCCTTTGCCAGCACTCATGTCCCCAAGCCATCCATTACAGGTGCACTCCCAGTTTCTGGAGCTCTGACACACACTGATGAACTGAGTTTCATATCCTCTAAGAGGTGAGTACTTTCTCTACACAGAACTCTATTCTTCTGACACTGGCTTTTCTCTGCCTTCTTTTCTTTGGTGCAAGTGAATGCTTCATACCACAAAAATACAATTTACAAAATATGATCTGTTCTAAGAATGTTACTTTTTTTAGACAGCTTAGTGTCAGTTCTAGAGTCTGAAAATCAATAGGATAGAGGAAGCATTATGCTAAAAATATTGTCTTGAGATTTAAAAACACTCCAAAGACTTAAAATTAACATTTATTCTGACCTGAAGTTTAATTTCCCTATAGTTTTAGATGAATTTACAACTTTCCAATTCCATTAAGATATTGAGTAAGGTATTAGCAAAAGGGTTTGATTTAAGCAAATGTGGTTTGCAAAGATTAGAGAAAATCCCTGTAACTTCACACTGAGTTTGGAGAAAATCAGCAACTAAGCCAGATAGCTGATGAAGTCTAGTGAACCAAAATAGGATTCCCTCAACAAAATATGCCAGAAGGAACATTTAAGAAAGGAGGCGGATTTCTAAACAAACCTTTTGAGCTCTCTTGGTACTCCACATTTGGCTTAATGAAATTATTATTTTTAAAAAGTAGATTAGTCCTTCAAGTATTGCTTCCCTAAAGGAGTCCTATTAAGGGTACAACCTCCTGCAGTAGGGAAAACCGCAGGCTGACCCTATCCCCCCCCCCACCCCGCAGCACCTTCCCATGATGGGCCGAGAACCCCAGCCAGGTCCCAGGCTGTACCTGAGGTGCCAAGAGCTGCAAGCTGTTGGCTCTGGCCGCCATCCCTTGGCCTACGCTCAAGCTTCCGTCCAAGCCTTTGGTTCTCACTTTGTCACGCGTCACATACATGGAATGCCTATGTGGACGCTGCTGGGAGGAGAAAGGGCTGGTGTAGCCCAGCCCGTAAGAAAAGGATTCATGAGGTGCAGACAGCGAGTGGGAATGGCTGCTGTCCATGTGCTCGGGCAGCTTCAACTCCTCCATTGTTTTAGAATGCCTGGTTGTGGTTCGGCGTGAGTCGAGAGTGCCCTCGCTTCGGTTATTTCTGCCCGAGGGGCTGAGCAAAGTTCTCGTGTCGCTGTGCCTGGTCGGGGTTGGGCTGGTGGGAGAGTTCAAGTCCAAGCAGCTGGATGGGAAGTACCTACTGGTATTAGACTCTGCAATTTGGGCCCTTGCTTCGGAAAGGTTGCTCACGGACTTGGAGTCACTCAGGGCCCCGTGGCTTTTGGCCTTGGTTCTGTAGGAGGGACTCCTAGAGGACTGGGGGATGGTGTCAATGTAGCTGTGCCGACTCTGCTTCTCACTGGGCTGCAGTGTCCCTGCTTTGCTCTGAGAGCTTTCCATAAATGAGTGCCGGTTCTGCTGAGATCTGCTGCTCGACTTGAGGTACTTTGTGCCTGGACCTTCCGAAGGCTTTGGGTCAATATTAAAGTCAAACTCTGTCTTTGACTTGGCTTCTTTTGGGCTGAGAAGGTGCGGTATGTTGTTGTTGGTAAGATCTTTGCTGGCAGACCCAGGTTGGCTGCTTGCTTGGTAGGTTTTGGTGTGCATGGGGCTTAGAGTAGCGCCAGCAAGGTTTCCATTTAGGAAGCTTTCGTTGGCAGGGAGACCTTCATCAGCCCGGGGCAGACCCACACTGAGGTTCTGGATGTCCTTGCTGTTCGATCTGTGGTGAGACTGTAAAGCAGCACTTTTGCTGGCTTGGTTTCTATGGTCAAAAAAAAGAAAAAGAAGTATGTCAATTTCCCTCACAAGCTGACCCACAGAAAGTATCATTAAAAAAAAAAAAAAAGAATATATACCTCAAACATCTCAGTGACTAAAAGCATTAACTCTCTCAAACAAGTACCAGCAAACAACAAGCAAACATAAGAAGCGAGTTTCTTAGATCAGGTCCCTCTGCAACAAAGCAGTGGTCCCGATGAAATGGTTTTGGCATGTTTAAATGCTCAGCCAACTTGCTGCCAACAGTTTCTAACTGGTATCTGGAAAAACATGCTTTGCTATGCTGGTATTTGCAGGAGTGTTTGTTGTGGAACACCTGCTAAGAAGAGGAGAGCTGAGGTATGGACAACCTCTTTAGAATTCTTTTGTCTTTTTGAATGTCAGAAGGCAACATTTAGACTTGACGGTCACCATGTTCCTTGGACTTCATTTTCATTTGTAAAACTCACAGCCTGACTCAGAGCTACATACAGCACATCCAAACAAATGCCGGTGTCTCTTTTGCCTTTAGTGTTTACTGTCAAACAATGAGAATTCCAGAAATGTATTCAATGGAAGAAAATGACACTCTAAAAAGAAATATAAACTGCCTGGTGAGGTTTGTTGGAAAACATGATGATCTGTGTTTGCATTTCAGAGAAGTGCCAGTTCTTGGGGTGCCTTCAGATAGAAACCTCCCCGTCTCCATTAAATAGGAACATGCCTCTAACTGGATTGCAGGGGTCTAAAGACTTCATTTCTCTCCAAAAGACACCACTTACTCTCTTCTTCATTTCATACGACAATATTCCAAACTGACTGAGGCCTTCTTTAGGATTTAAAGCTTCATTTCCTACTTGGCCTAAATTATAAATTATAAATTCAGAGGAATACCTTGCCCTCTGTTGGAAAGCTGAAACTGACATCACAGCAAGGTCATTTTGTTCTATGGTATCTATTTTATAGGATCATGTTATAGTGTGAGATAGGTGAGAATGTTTTTAAATGAAAAATCATTTACACAACTCCCATTTTACTATGTATTCAGAAAATTTTGCTGCAAATACTGCTATTGCTAAAAGATGGTTTGATTTGGGAGATTTTGGAAGAAAATTCCACACTAATTGGAAAAAAGTCACATTTTTTCCCCCACAGAATTGTAATCAGTCATCAAAGGTATGGGCCCTTTTCCCCTCCTAGTATCTAGTATCAAGGAACCCTGTAATGGCGTGCAAGGTCTCATCTCCTAAACACACTTGCTAATCTACCCCAGTTGGGTCACAAGAATTGCAGCATTAAATAAAGTCGCTTAAATTTAATGTGCTAAATGGCAGATCCCAGACCTAGAAAGAAATTACCAAGAAAGAAAAGTTTCATTTTCTGTCAAATGATGTCAACAGAATTTATCCCCAGATCTATAAAGGGCAGTCCTCGAATCTTAAAGACATCATGTTTTAAACCATTAGAGACGTTTTGTCAATTTTTTTTCAGTAATTAAAGTATCTTAACAACTTTTCAAAAACTCAAATGATGACAAATAGCCTTACCCACAAATAGATCTAAATGTGGTTATTGGTTATTGTTGGTTGTATATAGATTATTCTCCATTTGCCCAACCCCCAATCAGTTCTCCACTCCTCTCTGCCCATCTTGGGCCTCAGGGCCCAGAGCTGCAGGATACGTCAACCAGGCTCCCTTGCCACCTGACACCCACGTGGGCTTAGCAGTTCAAGGGGCTGAAGGCTGTATTCCCTGCACCTTCTGGGCATCAGCACTGACCCTAACTCAGATTGTAACCGTACACATCCAGATTACAGCTCCCCTGGGGTGGCTCCTCCTGCCTGGCTCCCCTAGGCTCCCATAACCCTATTTCCTGCCCTTGGTCCTTCAGAGAGAGTAATAGCAGAGAGACCACATGCAGGGCTTGTGAAGTGTCTGAACTCTGAATTCAGAGCACAAACCTACATATCAGAAAGAACATACTCATAGCAATGTAAAATACAATTTCTAAGGTGAGAAGGAAGGCTATACAATTAAGGTAGAAACATTTGTCAAAGCATTAGGTTTCCCATAAAAGTACAGAGCCTGAACCACTATTCTGAAAGTTTCTATCTTGGTATTAATCTGAAGCTGTTGAGCTCTGCACATAATTCCTGTGTAGAAAGGACATCAAACTGTCTCCAAATTACAGCTCTGCCAAGCACAACAATAAAAAATGGCTTCAAAAATTCCACAGATTTCTAACACAACAACTGTAAGGAATCTGTGTTAACTTGCCAAACACAAGAGGATTTTATACTCAAACCCTTCTTAAATGGCTGACAGGAGAGAGAGTTGCTCTCTTTAGTTAAGATAACTTTTCAAGGCAAACATCAAAGTTGCAAAGCTCCACTTTTATGGAGAAGGCTGGCGAAGGAGGGCTGCTGAGAGGGCAGTCTGCAGCATCCTGCCAGACCCAAGGTGAGCAGAACTTCGGCAGAAGAGTCCGAAGGAGGCTTCGGCAAGGGCTAGCTAATGCAAGAGTCTGCTGCCTCTCCTACAGAGACAGGAACTTGGAAGAAAGAAGACAGGGGGTGTGAGTGTGTCTCAGGGACAAGGCAGGGGAGTGTGTCAGTGGCAGCCAACATGATACGGGGCCACGAACATCTCTGCAATGGTGCTCTAAGTCCCACGGAGCCATGGTCTGTGAGAAAGCCCTGGGAGAGGGAGACTGAGTATCCCCAGTAAGAAGGGCTTCCATGAAGGAAACATGGACCACAGATAAACATAGAAAAAAAGGTATTCCCACATACATGTAAACGAGCTCAGATCAATTAGAGAAACCACTCAGGACTTTTTCTTTAATGTATTCCATGTAGTATCAAGACCAAAAAATCAATTCCTCCAGAGATTTTTATTTATTTATAATTTCTATTCTTGTCTACCTCAAAAGGGGATTTGACAGAACACCTCAAAGACCCTTATAAACCATATGCTCATCACCACAGACACTGTCCTTGCCAGACCCCTAAACGGATTTCCCAAGGAGCACCTCAGATCTCTGGAGGTCTCTCTCAAGCGAGTCACTAGAGGACGGACACAGGCCCACTTTTCATGGTACGAGTTATACCCTCACCACTACAGCATAAATCAAAGAACTGTGATCAGTCTACTGATGTTATATCACTGGGATTCTTTTTCTTTGCAAATGTAATCTAAGGACTCAAGCGACAAGGTAGAGGGAGGACAAAAGCACCTGAACTGGGAGTGACCCCAGATAAGACACAGGCATAATGCGAACCTCCTAAATGCAAAGGCGCAACTAAATGATGAATACTATTCCTTGACTTAGTGTACTAAAATCTCACAGTTCTCACCCCTCACAGATCTAAAAAGTACCAGGTCTTGAGCTTTCAAAATTCCAGCAGATTAAGAACAATTATTCTACATGGAGACAAAAACTGGGGGAAAATGAGAGAAATTTTATATTTAAAAAGGTGCCTATTAAGAATTATTGTTTTCTATTTCTTTTCTAATAATAGATGAGAAAAATTATTTCCTGTCTCCTATAGTTTAAGCAATGCCAAATGACAAGACCAGCTTCCTGGGAGAGGGAGACTATGACAAGCATACTGGCCTTCTACAAATGCAGCCAACAAGAATCAGGGAATGTCAGTTCTAGAGAGAGAAACTGATTACATGGTCCAGTCCCTCGTGGGTGCCTTCCCCCACCCCCACCCCCACCCCCTGCCAAGAAGTAGAGGGTTTAAGATTATGCTGAAAAATTGTACTTTAAAAAGCACCAATTTTAATCACTATCTACCAAACTGGCTTTACTATTTCCGTATTCTTACTGTTATGAAAAAAATAACTCCTCAACTCGATGATTAAAAGAGCAACAAAAACGTAAGACCCTTCTAGAGAGCCAGACATATTTGGTTCAAGTTTGCAAAGATTATCCTACATGCCTTCCCACCCATGTTTGGCCTCCTCTTCATCCTTGGCATCACCCCCGGGTCCCATTTACACAGAAACTTATAGCTTATGGGGCTAGAAATCCCCTTAGTTGCTAACCCAGCTACCTTTCCCAGGAAATGCACAGGTTTCCATAATATACTTGTTAAAGATAAGAAAGGCTTTAAGACCCACACGACTCTTTAATTGTGGTTCTGAATCATGTAATAAGCATAAGGAAGATATTTTTGAATAAAGAGGGCTTTCCTTCTTTTCTCTAATTGCATCATTTAAGCAGCCACCTCCTCCACCTACTTGCAAGACCAACACTGCATCTGTACTTCCTTAAAAGGGAATATTTACCTATTAGACAAAGTGCTGCTTTCCACGTGGTAAGGTTTTCTCTTTGCTGACCTTGAAGGAGAGCGATCCAAAAGTCTCTGGGTTTGAAATGTAGGGTGATTCAAACACTGTTCTGTCAAGTATCTGTCAGCTGGGTCCAACTTCAGTAAATTCTTAAGAAATAAAGTTGGGATTGGAAAGAACATGACAAAGTCAAATTTAAATCGTAATAAAAACCTTATTTCTTTCTCTAGTAAAAGAAATACATGGTCACTGCAGAATACCTAGCAAACAGTTCAGTCCAAAAACTTTGTTTACAAAGGACTATCTAAATCACCCACCATATTACCACTGTTGTCCTCTGGGAATATGCCCTCTCAGCCCTCTTTTGAGTCTCATAAATCCATATTTTCTTTTAAAATCTGGCTCATGTTGTACATTAATTTTTGTATACTACATTTTTCACTAGTAATCAAAAACATTTAAAAAATTATACATGTATTCAAAATATATTTTGGGTTAAGAATATATTCACACAAAAGAATACACATTCTTTATCTTTCTCCTGTCCCCCACTCTGGAGGCAGCCTGTTACCAGTTTGTGCATCCTTCCAAAGCTACTCCATTCATCTCTCTCTACCTGCTCCTTTCATTTTACCCTAATAGTAGCACACCCACAATGGTCTGCACTTATGCTTTCTTTCTAATGGGCTTTTAGGTATTCCTAGTGATAAACATTGTAGTTGATTCCCTTCTTTGATTATTATGAACAATGCTGTGACCAATAACTTTACAGCATGCTTTTAAATGACTATATAAAAGGTTATGGTATGGATATACCATGATTTATTTAACCAGTTTCCTACTTTTGGACATTTAGATGGCTGCCACTTTTCACTATTACAATTAATGCTGTGATGAACACATGAACTCTTTGCATACATTCATGAACCCTTTCATAGGCTAAATTCCTAGAGCTAGAACTGTAGGTATGTAAACTTTCAAGGATCATTTTCTATGTGTTGTCAAATTACCCCCTAAGGAAGATTATCTCAAATGATATTCCTCTCAGTAATTGAGAGCCTCCCAATTTCCTAGCACCTTCATTGATACAGGTACTATCATTCTCTTTAGTACTTATAAATTAGATATTTTAAAAATGGCATCTCATAGCTGTTTTAATTCACATCTTTAATTACTAGGGAGGTTGAGTACTTGTTTATTGGTTATTTATATTCCTTCGTTTCTTAGTTTTCTGTGCATCTTGTTTTTGAGTAACTGTCCTAATTTACTTTGAGTCTTTTTTACTCATTAAGGTACTAATCACCCTTTTAAGTTGTATGTATTAGTTTTACAACTAAAATGTTTTCTTCTAATTTTACTTTTTAGTAATTGGACGATATTTTTTAAGGAGAGTGATTATTAAAATATTGATTTTTATTGACAAATTCAGCAAATACATAAGCAAACATATAGTGCATAACCTAACACAACTCAATAGAGCACATGGAAATTCACTCTTTGAGTGACAGGCATTCTCCCTCAGGGAAAGAAGGAAGGGTGAAATTACTGTCTCCCCAAATCCATCTCCAGCGCACTTTCGTGCCCATGGTTAATTCTTTGTGATCCACTGCTGAACAATAAGAGCAAACCTAGATTTGTTCCCAACAAACCAGAATAAGATAGTAAGAATACTGAAACCTTCAGTTTGGGTCAAAGAGTCTGATAACCCCAGCCACTGCTTCTATACAAATGGATTTACATTCATGTTGACTCAGACACAACTTTCAAATTATCTCAATTCTATCTTATTCCTTACTAGAAAACAAAAACTGTAGGGCTACATCAAATGATTCTGGTCTACTGTCAGTTAAAACAGTTAACATCAAAATGGTTTCAACTGTATGATACTAGTTAAAATCAAAGGAAAACTGGCCCCTTGAATAGTACATTAAATTTGAAGTACATATAACCTTTCAGAAGCCAAATATCTATTAACAATTATTTTTATATTTATCAATACAGCTGTTAATTTTCAAATTACTTGAAGAATGAGGTCATTATGAGGAACATATAAAACCTACTGAGCAAATAGTTAAAAGTTCTGTATTTGGGGGGGAAAACAACATTATTAGTTTTTTGTACTAAAATAGAGCCATATAATTATTATAGCTATTCTTTAAGTTATTAGGAGCTTGGATTAATTCTGGTGACTTGTATCCCAAACTAAAATGGCTAATATATATATAAACAGATGGAGGATGAGATGGCCATTTTAGGTACTTACATGAAGACAAAATTACAAAATCTGCTTTAGGGAACGGCATAGAGAATAGATTTCTTCATGAATGGATAAATAGTATTATTTTCCAAACTCATTTTCAAAAACAGTTAAAAGACAAAAGGAATAATTCTATTTATACAACATTCAATCATAACAAGGCAATATTAATCTTTGGTGACAGATGTCAGAGTCATGCTTTCCAGGGATAGGAAGGGGCAGAGATGTTGAGCCTGGGGGTGGGGGAATGGGGGTACACAGGGGGGCTTCTGGTATGTTAATCATTCTCTATATCTCACTCTGGGTGTGGTTACATGATATATTTACATTATAAAAACTGATTAAATAAATGATATTTCACTAAAAAATGCACTAAAAATTAACTGAAATGTACACATAATTTGGACACCTTTAAACATACATTGCAATTAAAATGTTTAATGTTAAAGAAATTTGAGGGTTAACTATATTAACTGAATAAGAATTAGGCTGTTTAACATCCAAATTGGTATAAATGCAGGAAGATTCAGGGTATATTTGTACTTTACCTGTACTTTTTACAAGGCACCAATTACATCTGGTAATGATTTAACCAAAAAAGTCCAATTATTTTTAACTAAAATAAGACAAAAAACAGAAAATGTGAAACTGTATTTAATTCAATTCTTTTACTTTATTCTATTTACACTTTAAAAGTTACCAAATAATTAAGGCCCTGATAAACAAACAAGCTTGTGAAAGAACATATTGACAAAACCCAACTGATTTAAAATATAATTTATGTCTAATTAACCTGAAAGAGCCTTGAGGGCTCTTTTTTTAATAGCATCTCTCAATTTGTGTTCAGAACACTAGTGCCATGGAGTTTTATTTAAAAAAAAAAAGCAAAATGTATTCAGTATTTAATTAAATTTGGCAAATGTTGGGTAAGACAGAAATGCTTCCTTACTGTGGGATTTCTGAAAGCCCTTTTATAGGTTAATGAGGATTGTGAATCTCTATGGATGGGTATGCGTATATGGATGGCCTTTGTCAAAGGCCATGCCACCGCCTACCCCCATACCTATTTATACAGTGTTCCTTGGGACACACATTAATACAGTTTAAAGCACAGCAAAGTTCTTAGAGTGCTGCTCAGCAATTTCCAACAATGCTAAGAATACTTTTAAGGCTCTGTGCACAGTGTAACCTCTGATTTTCGTGGTTGCCGGGGCATACAATAAAATCGACCCATTAACAAGCGGTTTTTGAAGGTCTACTAACAAAGAACCAGCACTTGCTTATGCACTGGCTGGCTGCAATGAAAGCTGGAGAGATATGAAAAAATAGCTCTCGGTCAAGGGCTGACTGCCGGTCTACTGGGAAAGAAAAACCTGAATAAAAAATGGAGGACGCTTTCAATAGTTCAGGGCAGAAGACCTTCTGGACAGGGGGCTGCACCAGCATAAAGAGGACACTGGCATGGCAGCTGCAGCGTTCCTGTGTGTCCACGCAAGAGCAGCCAGGAAGAGCCCAGCAGTCTGGGAAAGAAGAGGCCAAGTTAGAAAGAGGCAGAATTAGGCTCACTGATAAAATAATCTGATGGGAGTCCTCACGTTCATGTGAAAATATGCTAGAATCTCTTTTTCTTCCAACATTCATTTCAAGATTTGTTTTAAAATCTCATGCATGAGCAGCTCTTCAGTGCTGAATACAATTTTTAAATGACTTATTTCTTATGTATATTTAGATTAGTATTATTCTGTCCATTTGAGGAATACAGTTTGAGGTTTCTCATGGTCCTATCTAGATGGAAGGTTACAATACCAGATACTGCTGCAGCTTAAAATAAATTGCATGCCTTTTAATAGGACATGGTCCCCTGTGATTCATCATCATACATCTATTAACATAACATTTAATTCATAAAAGGTTATGGTTACATGTAGACACATGAGAGCCCACAAACCAACCAACATTTTTTACAGACAATATCAACGTGTCCCACCTTCATTAAGTCAAGTAAAACGCTATTTAAAATTCCAAGGTATCTTCTCTCCAATGATTGAGGATGGTTAACAGCGGGAAACTGTAAGAACAGGACAGGACAGGAGAGTTAGCGCTTGGGGAAGGGCTGTGTGCATGTGCTCTGAGTGCTGCCGAAGGCAAACGCACACACAGTTACTGCCCCAGTGCCCAAGTCAGATGTATTTCACAGACATATTACTTTTGGTGTCTAACTATCTGAGGTACAGATTAACAGGACTGGGTATCAAACAACAGGAAAACTCACAGGTAATAAGATGATATTGAAGTCTAGTCTGAGAACACTGAAGCATGTAAAAACAAACCCATCTATAAAAATATGAAACCGTATTCATCCAGTTTATACAGTATTATCTGCTTATATAGACAATTCAGTTATAATAACAGTTTATACAGAACTTGTCACTTATACAGGTAATTCTTCAGCCTTTTACACAACAACATATCATTTATTTCTGAAAATTCGAGAAGTAAAAAAAGACAAAGGGCAGAGAGGTTGGTACCTAAAAGGCTACAGTAAGAGAAACAGTGAATTCAGAGATATGATCTATTACTGCTCTTAAAATACTCTTTTAATGACCTATTTTCAATTCCTTTCTTTACATAAGCTGGAACAGAAGGAAAACAGGCTCCCAGATTAACAAACATATTTTTTAAACAAAATGGAGGGGGGGAGGGAAAGGTCAAGTTTATTCAGGTGCTCTGTCCATCCCTCTGCCAACCCACATTTTGCAATATCTAAGTGGGTGGCAAACTATTAGAACCCAATGCCATATACTCTCTCCCAATGGGAGGGCTACTTTGTTTTTAATATCTACTTCCTTTATACTAACGTAAATTTCAAAGTACTGAAATCCTTGAACATGCTAAATAAGTGGATGCGAGAACTACTTAAGCAGTAAAATTCAAACAAGATATTTAAAGAATGATTCTGACATCATCTCTATCCTGTGATGGGTGCAGCAGGAGATACAGAATATGGGTAAGACCCAAAGCTTGCACTTAAGCAAGCCAAAGTCTGGTTGGAAAGCAATCAATACTGAATTGTGCAGGTGTGAATGCTACGTGAAGCTCAGAGAAAGAAGAGCCCCAAATGATATGCAGCCATAGAAGAACCAATCCATAGATGATAGCTGAGCTAGGTTTTGAAAGATAAGAAAAATGTGAGGTCAGAGAAAGTAGGACAGCACCTTCTAGACAGATGAAGTGGAAATAATACATGAATGTAACACAGACACACAGGCTATAACCTAAGACTGATTTCTGAGGAAAGTGATGCGATGTAAGGCATTTTAGCAATTCTTCTTTTAGAGATGACAATCAGGAAGTTTAAGTAACTGGTTTAAGGCAAGTTACATAATTAAGAACAGTAGAACCAGTATGTGCTCCCAGGTTGGTGACCCAAACCCACCACTCTTTGTCAACCCAGGCACCTCTAAGGGAGGCACAGAGGTTCCCTTGGATGTGGCTGTAGCATTAAATAGCAGCCCAACGAGACAGACACCTGAACCTGATGTGCTGTGATAAAAGACTCCCCACCAGTACATTTTAATGAACATCTTGCTCATGAGGTCTATCTTATGCTACCAGATACCAAACTTTGTTTTTCAAAGTTTGAAGTAACATTTCATTGATAAGAAAAGTAATGCAGAAAGTCAAAAGGTATTATAAATATTCTGATAAAAAATGACCAAACAAACTCCTAACTTAAAAAACGAATTTATGTGTTTTTGTATGACATCTATCATTCTAATGTGAGATAATTCAACAAATAACTAAAACTCAAGCATGGACGTTTAAAATATATTCCAAGGAGTAGTTTTTCTTTCTTTCTTTCTTTTTTAATCACTTGGCCAGTGCAATACAATGACACTGCCTCTTTGCAGAGCACTATGTGTCAGGTACTGGTCCGGGCGTTGTACATGTAATATTTAATCTTCACAACAACCCCATCAGGTAGTGCTTCTGTTACCACCATTTTACACATGAAGTAACAGAGGCACAAGAAACTTGCCTAAAGTCATTCAAGTAGTCAATGTGGAGCCAGGCTCTGAACCCCAGCAGTCTAACTTGAGTGTATGTCCTACACTTTGAGACATCAACTGGTACTTTTTCAAAAGAATGCAGACCATTAGAGCAGTATCTGGCTGACTTTCCAATCTCTACACACAACTCAATCAAAATGCAAAGGACACTGGACTGCTCACTGGTGAGTCTGTTTCACAGCAGTTGCAGCTCACATGCCTTGTGTGCTTCACTATCTGTTGCAGACATTTTCAAGTAAAATGATAAAGATGTTTCCCTCAAAAAAAAAATGTTGTTAAACCTCCAAAAAGATGAATCTAATTTAGTTAAACTACCACACTTTCAGACTAAAATGTAAAAAGAGTTTTATAAAAATCAAAGTGTCATAGAAGCAGCAATTTCCCTGAAGGATATTTATAAGCAGGGTTATCATGTACTGTCTAGCATTTTACAGAAAATACTGTTTAGTGAGGAGGTCTGGGAACAAATAGGACAACAGACAAATGAGGAAAAGATATCCTTCACTTGACCTATATAATCCAAATGCTACTCATTCTTCAATATCCAATTTCAAATTCTCTTACATCTTTCTCTAGTGTATCCAGCCGACTATGATTTATAACTCTTCAGAATGTTTAACGTTCTCACGGTCTCCACCGTATTGAGATGTATTAGAAAATAGTAAAATGTAGTAAAGGATGCAATACTTTATTATACACTAGGCTTTATTACAAATTGTATTATTTTCTAATTATTTCACACATGAACATGTTAATTCTTCAGCTAGTTTGTAAGTGATAAAGGCCAGGTACCATGACAGATGTGATTACACTCTCTTCAGAGAATCCAGCATAGAGCCTCTTTAACCAGAGGATAAGGCAGCTAGCAGACTAAACTTGATGTTCTAGCAGATAGCGTTAAAATCCTCAAGTCAAAAATTCTATCACTCAATACTATTCAACCTAGTAGGCACTATTCTAGTGTGTTGCAAATATAATGGTGAACTTGACAGGCCATTTCCTCAAGGAATTCCTTATTCCAGTGAGGATACATATTTGTAAACAGCCCTTTAAAAAAACTGCAATGACTGCTACAAAAGAGAGACAACCACAGCACACCAGGAGCACAGAAGGGGGTCACACATTCCCCTGGAGGAGTCTAGAAGGGCTTTATGGAGGGAGGACATCTGACCTGAGTCTTGAGGCAGGAGGAGGAAGGGCTTTCCGTGAAGTGGGGTGAGTACTGGGAGCATTACAGAAACAAACACAGCGCTGGAGAAGCAATGTCAAGGCAATGGTTAGAAGTTCCATGTGGCTAAAGAGCAGGAGGCAAGGTTAGGAAAAGGTGAGAGACAGGCTGGAGGGCTAAGAGCAAGGGGCTCTTAATGCTACCCCAAGGAGTCTAGACTTAATCAGCAATCCCGCAGAGCCTTTTAAACACAAAGGAAATAGAATTAAATGTGCACTTTGGACTAAGATCATTCTAAATGCAATGTGAAAAGACTGACATGATGAGAGAAAGTTGGAGAGACAGTCTGGAAGTGGTTGTCAACAGTTCGGGTAAAAGGTGCTCAGGCTGAAAGAACCACTGGATATGGAAAAAAGGAAAACACAGCTGAGCCTGAGCATTGACAACACCAATCGGTTCAAGTGATCATTCAAATATTCTTTGAGTCCCCACTAGATCTGGTGGGCTCTGTGTTAGATGCTGGAAATACAGTGATGACACTTTATGATTTCTCCCCTTGGGAAACTTCTATTCTAGTGGTTGAGAATTAGACAGTTACTAATTAACAAGTAAAATAATGACATACAATGATAAATGCTATGACGGAAAAAAGAAGGGTGCTGTAAGAGACACTAGGAAGGAGGTGGGGGCAGTATATTGAAGGGTCAGTGAGAGGGGGAATTCTTGGAGTTGAGATTTACAAAATGAGAAGGCGCTACACAAGGGAAGTGCCTTCCCAGGAGGAGCTGCAAGTCCAAATCCACAAAGCTGGAAAACCCTTGAAATGTTAATGGAAGTCAAAGAAAAGGGAAGGTAAGCGTGGCAAGCATTTAGATAGAGGCATGAGCTGAAGTCACACAGCTGAAAGGGCCTGGATCCGCCAAGATCTCATAGGCATGAGAAGGAGTTTGGATGTATTCTCAGTAAAACAGAAATTTGTGATTTACAACTAACTTTATTTGTGAATATATAGCTGACCCTTGAACAACATGGGGGTTAGGCAAACCAACATCCTTGCACTGTTGAAAATCCATGTATAACTTCTGACTCCACAAAAACTTAACCACTAATATAGCCTACTGTTGACCAGAAACCTTACTGGTAACAAATAGTCGATTAACAAATATTTTGTATATGTATTATATACTGTACTCTTTAATAAAGTAAGCTAGAGAGACGAAAATGTTTTTTTACAATTGCCACAAATCTTCAAAAAATTTTCCAATACACTTTTTGAAAAAAAATCTGTGTATAAGTAGACTAATGCAGGTCAAACCCATGTTGTTCAAGGCTTAACTCTAATAGGTTTTGCTTTCTGCTAGACTGAGGGTAAATCCTACTTAACTGTCATATTTTCAGCACCTAGTATGGCAAATGCTCAGTAACTGTTGAACTTTTTGTACCCTAATTAATGGTCATAACTTGGCTAATTTTTGGCTTATAAAAGCAAAAATAAAAGAGAAAAGAGAAACTTGACTGAGGTAACTCAGACAGATTTGGAATAGAGGGAAAACAGGAAGGAGATGAGTGAGAAACTGTATGTACTTCTTTCCATTCATTTCTTCCATGTTCATCAGGAATAGGCCCTATGCTGGGCACTATGAGGAGGGTTGCTTCTCAAAGCAAAATGAATTGAGGTCCAGAAAGTCAAAGGAAAACACAAAGTACTTTGCAAATGTGAAGAAAACATCATTTGAGAATGATGCATTTAAGAGAAAGAAAGGAAGTGGTGGTGAGCTTATAGTTCCCACAATGGCCACTAATTGGCATGTTGGGTCAAAAGGGGTAGGTGGAAACGAAAAAGTAGCTTTGGGGGCAGATGGAGGAGAGACGCTGCCTGTCACCAGCCCCTCCAGTAATGTGCCTCCCCAAGTTGGTTGTCCCTCATTTGGGTAGTGTTTATACTTTAAGACCCTTTTTAGCATATTCTCTGAAAACAAGTTTTGTACAAAGTTACCAAGTCTAGAAAAGGCTGCCCAAGACAGTACACTAGCCTGAAAGGAAGATTTGATGTTTCACTGCCAACTGACAGACAAATACTTGCTGGCACAGCACCTTTAATTCTGAGGAATCCAAGAATTCACAGTCCTCCTCAAATCACTACAACAAGTTATGCTTGCTCAAACAAGCAACAGCAATTTATACATTTTATTATCTTTTGGGGATGCTTAATATTTTGGATAAAGAGACATTCTGTGAGAGCCAGAGTTTAGCATAATGCATACACTGGAAAAGATTTTGAAAAATTTTGAGGAAAAACATACAGCAGCTCCCATTTTCTAGTTCAGACCACTTTTTACAATTCACAAAAACTGCTTAAGATTCAAAAATAAAATATGATAATGGGGATTATGAACATTGTAATGGGAAAAGGAAGAGTATCCAACGGATAGCTTAGCACTGCATTGTGCAACAAATGATGATTTAAATACTGCTGTATTGATACCAGGTGGAGTTTTAGCAAAGCCTCTTACCCGGAGCCCGTGGAAGCGAGGATTACTGTAGAAGAGTTTCATCTGCTCAGATGGAAGTGGTCCTAGCACCTTCTGAATAGTAAAAAGTTGGTCAATTTCACTTTCTCCAGGAAATAAAGGCTGTCCATCACTAAGCTCCCCAAGAATGCAGCCCACTGACCACATATCTACAGACTTTCCATAGGGAGCTCTGAAAAGCAAAGGGAGAGATTATCTTGGCAACTGAAGGAAGGGAATTTTAATACTTTCCAAATTATTTTGAACAGATTCATGATCTAAAGCACATTTGTGTATTTAAGAAATTAAAAAATACCATGCAGGAAAAAGTGAGGATGAAAAAAGGAATTATGAATAGCCAAGTAAAAATTCAGAACACAAGTGAATAAATCCATGCTAATAAAACTATCAGTTTAATAACAATGTAGTTAGTATACACTAAGTTGAAATCTATTCACATCCAGGTATATTTTAAACATGAATGGCTTAATAAACCCCAATACAGTGCACACACCTCTTGGTTAACACCTCATTTTGGGAATGAAATGCTCCCAAGAAATTATTTTCTAGGCAATTATCCTTTAGCTTTCTAAATGTTAAAAAGTTATATCTTATCCATGTTTTTTAGTTTATTCTATTGAATGTATTACTGACATGTGTCTTCTTAAACAACAAACACTGAATATTATTTAACCTCTATGACTTCATAGAGTCAATTTCTAATAGTTAAGACTGTGTTAAGCTCTAATGTACTATTTAAATCTATTGTACCCTATGTTATGGGGCTTTATGATAGCTATTTCCCTCAAAGCATTTTTTCCATTTGCTAACGGGTTTACGGCTCTCTTCTAGGATTTGAGTTTACCAGATGGCTTTAGGAGTGTTACTGCTATTAATAAACAGATTATACATGAAAATGTAGTTATCCCAGAACAGTTTTATATGTATACCCCAATAGCTAGCCCTTTAAATTAAATTATATATGGCAGGTTAAGCAAAAAAAAAATATTTTCTTTAGTTTCAAACATAAACAATCCAACTTTTAAGAAGGGAAAGCCAAAATAAAGTATGTGAAAAAAATACGGGGTCAAATTCTAGGATGCCATAATGATAAAGTAGTAATACAAAACTTTTAACAAATAGTCTAAATTACAGCACTGTCACACTATACAGAATATGTTTTAAGAATGGTAGGTCTTTGCAACAATAAGTCAGTATTTTATTTCTCATTTCCTTCCCAAGAAAAACTAAGAGTTGTATTAGAAAACTTCACATATATTTTCTAGTACCTTGTTGGGGAGGGTAATACACCGATCTTTAATACCTGCAGGAGAGGGTAAGCCTGTGCTAGATGGAGAAACCTGTGGAAAATACCCACGTATTCACTACACACTATTCTTCTGCCAACTAATTTGAATAACTTATGCTCTAGAACTATTGTGAATGTCAAGGACAAAGTCCTGAGAATGTGCAAAAATGTAAACTCTTAATGTTAACCAACTATCAACTGATTTCAATGGGATTTTTATATAAATAATATGGTTCTTCAATTAGTACTTGCCAATCATTTAATTAGCAATATTCAATCTGGTTCAAATTAGTTGGAATCTCCACTTTTGGTAGCTACCACATATCTCTAAAAGTAACTGCAGTTTTCTGGTAGGTATTATTAGGCAGTGAATAAAGTGAAGATTCACAATAAGGTTGTCCTCAGAATGAAATCCCTGAGGCCATCTCATGAGCAAAACCGTATTGTCATGAGTTCTTGAATCTTCATTTGGGGTTCTAAGAATGATCTACTTCATACTCATTTCTTCTTTGGCAAATACTGTCCAGTAAATTCAAATTCTAATCCCTCCCCCCCCAAAAAATGGACTGTGTAACCCCACTGAGTCCAGGCACACAAGAGGTACACAAGAGAAAACCAACCCTGAAAACAAGTTTAAAAACTAGCACAGAAATTCTAAAGATCTACCCACACAAAGAGAGTTTCCCAGGATAAAGCAAGCTTTTGATTTCAAAAAAATAGTAATGCTTTCAGTAACTGATACCAATAATTCTCATAGGCTCTAGGTCAGCAATGAATCAAGAATTACCACCAGATGGTTGATAGACACTGGGAAATCAGTTGTTAAAATCAAAACAGAATCTCAGTGAGTAACTTAAGCATACAGTCATCATTATCTTCAGAAAAAACACAGAAATTTATATTCCTATTATATAAAAAGTATCTTTCAAAAATTAAATTTTCATGTCCCCCAGATGCACATATGGCACAATAAAGAAAAGAGATAAAACCTACAATTCATGCACTGGTCATCATTCACTATATCTAATTTTATTTATACAGTGTGTGCCTTCTTTCTCCATTCTTGGATGGTCTCAAAGAAAGAAATACAGTCCAGGGGAAATAAGAAAATACTACAACTAGGACAGATAGAGAACTGTTAATATAACTGTGATGGAGATCAGCACAACCCTTAGCTCCTCCTTAGGTGCTAACATTAAAATGTATTAAAAAGAAAAGAACCTTAGCAGGACCCTTTTCAGGTGTTAACAGATGAATGAAAGAGCATTCGAAGTGGAAGGGGAGGTGAGGTGTAAAGTGGATGGATGTGGAGGTGTTGCTGAAAAATCATCAACGCAGTGCTTGTTTGCCTAGCCATTTATTATCAAACAGGATTCACACAGCTCAGAAGAAAAATGGCAGTTGGTTCACTATTCATACCATGTTTCCAGCAAAGCAGCCAGATGTAAGAGGGAACTGAAAAGTATTTGTTGAATGAATGAATGAACAAATGAACAAACAGACAAGCTAGAATGTCAAACTGTGGTCATCCACATTTTGAGTGTAGATTATTAGCAAAGATGGCAGGAAAAATGTCTCCCATTTCTGTATATCTACCACCTTGTAATGTGACTGCCATTCCTCCCAGCCATAGGTTGAGTTTGTTTCTCCATCCCTTGAACAGGCTTGACCATGTGATGTGCTTTTGGCCAATGAGGCAAAAGTCATGCAAACAGAAGCCTGAAAACTACCTTTGCTTTGGGGCTTGCCCCCTTCTGCAGGGAATTCTTCTGCTATTACACGAAGAAACTTGGACTAGCCAACTAGACGGTGAGACACCCCCGCTGGAACAGAGGTGGTTTGTCCCAGCTGAGGCCCTCTAAATCAACCAGCCTTGGGATGACCTACCGACTGACTCCAAATGAGACCAGAAGAACCATCCAGCTGAACTCAAATCACTAACTTCCCCAAATTGCCGGCACCCAGAATCATGAGCTAAATAAATGATGTTTATTTTATGCCACCAAGTTTTTGGGTGGTTTATTACACTGCAGTAAGTAACTGGCATCTAATTAACTGAAGCTATTATCTTCCACAGATGATCCCAAAGCTAATGATACGGGATCAGCAGATATGTAGACGTCATTCTATTTGGGTAAAGTAACTCACCCAAGTAAGAGTTCTGGGGACCGATACCACCTGGTGGCCACATATTCTGTATAATTAGCATTATTGCCTTCTGATAGATTCCGAGCAAAACCTGAAAGACAGCAAAGCCTAAAGGTGTAACTTTGAAAAAGGAGAAATAATTTCATTTTGGCAAAATATTTCAGTGCTAGTATATTTTAAAGGAACATCTAAATCTAAAGACAGTAATAACCGGTACTGAAGGAGCTGTTTATTAATAGTATCCTTGTTATTTTAATAGGCTAGTCCATTGTTCATATGGCAACTAAAATGTATGACATAGTCACTAAAACACCAGTCTCTCCCTATATAAAGAAATCCATGCTTTTGAAGCCACTGTATGCTTTTATAAGCATTCATAACATACTTTTAGATCAGCTCTCTTAGTAAGTACAAACCTTAAGAACAAAATGAAGTCCTCACAAGAGCCAGAAGTCAAAGCTAAATGAGCATATAGCAGACAGTCATTATATTCTGCTATGTGGGACTTACACAATATTCGTACATCTTTGTTGCTGATCAGTCCTAGCCATTACATAAACAACTCACAGTTGGCAATGATGGAAACAAAGCAGACCAAAATTATTTTCATCTCCTAATGTGACTGAGAAACATATTAGGGGTATTACAGACTCTATCACTATTTCCCCCCTAAACCCTTTCAAAAGGTTTTGAGGTCACAAAATAAACCAGCAGGAAAGCTAATTACCCATCTACATCACCAAAAGAAATATGGGTTCACTGTGAATCATCATAAAGAACCAGAACATTAAAATTAGGGGTAAAAATTAAGTTGTATGTCAGTTTTTAAACTGGAAAAGTATTTCTTAAAATGGAACAGTAAAAAACAAAAACCCCTAATATCAGTTAATCAATGCTTCTAAGACATATTTTGAAGAAATACTCATATTTTTGAATGGGATTCTTCAAGCTAGACAAAGGAGTTATGTGCTCTGTGAGGAAAAGCAATTAGGAAGTCCTCACAGGGTCACACGGGGCACAGAATGTGACATGTGGTGCTGCCATGCAGAACTTCCTGACCATTTAAGATAGTCTTTTCTTTAAGAAACAATGCTAGACCAGGGATGCTCTTTTCCTGTTATTAACCATTCCACAGGCATCTCTTTTGTATTTATAACTTGCTTACCAATGTCAGTAACTTTGGAGCCTAAGCAGATCACCAACCCATAGCATCATGGATGATTGGCCAAGGATGTATGAAGTACACAGTCTCAGTATTTGGTGATAATTACAAGTATGGAAAGGAACTCAGAAATACATACTATTTATAAAAATCGTAATGCTAAGGAAATGCTAAAAATGCCAAAATCAGAATCTTTTAAATACAATGTTCAGTATTTCCTTGTTATTTCTGTAAGCATTTCTTAAGATGTTCAGGATACAGCAGGACTCTTCTTTGTAATAGTCTCTATCATAAGGTACAAAGAAAATTAAGTCCTGTAAAACATTTGTCCTCAGACATGCAGATTCTTAACATTCAAATTATTTGAAAACGTTGAGTGAAAACAGCTAAACACACTTGTAATTACTGCACTGGACAAAATCAGTCATTCTACCAAGAGAATTCTTAAAATGCTGCCATTTCTCACTTGTGTGACCCATCTCCTAAGTAGTTTGGCTTATAAAAGGAGATGTTCTCTCACATATATGTGGAGGCTTACATTGTATTTGTGATTACATATGAATATATGAAAAAATAACATTAAAAAAACTTTTAAAAATGTTGTTATTTTTTGGCACTGGATTAAACAAAAGAAAAATTTTTCAAGTGACCCATGATTTAAACACCCTAATTTACAGTTTTTAAACTTCTCTGAATTATTTCAATTTAAATGTTTAGTAACACTTAATACAGAGTTTTATATTTTTGGAAACAATACACAATTATCTACTAGGAGAGGGTACAACTCAAAAACTTCCTTATATACTCAATCAGGAGCTCGAATATTATACATCAATTACTAATATCATTCACTGAACATTTAAAAGGAATTAAATACTTACATTTAGATTCTAAAAAACAAAACCAACAAATAATACTGAAATAGACTTATAAACACAGACAACAGAATGGCGGCTGCCATAGGGCAGGGAGGGCGGGGGGGCAAGCAGGGTGAAATAGGTGAAGGGAGAAAAATATTAGTGAGAATTGATATGCTGATCTGGGCAATGGTTACATGAGTGTATACATGTATCAAAATTTATTGAGCTGTACACTTTATTCTATGTCCCTCAATATAAAACAACTTTTTTTAACAGGGGGAAAAAGGAATAAATGGAATTGCTCTAAAAATGTCTTTTGGCCTAAGAGATATATAACTACTACATATGCACAATACACACGTGTGTTTACACAGGCATATTTTCAGAGTTTACGTTATGTCTAAAACAATCTCTATCAACATTTAAACTATTGTTTAAAATATTTTTTTATCCTACTCAAACCAGAAGGCCACAGTGACATTTCCTAGAAAATTCTTTTTCTGGGATCCTTAATGCTAGGCTTATGAATATATGCTTGTGCGTGTATCTGCTTTGAATTCATTAAACAAATATTGCATGATGAATTTCTTTTTTTAAGTGACAGTACTATACTGAGCAAAGAGAAAGCAGTATTCTTCAAGCAATTTTTCAACATACAACCCAATAAATGTTCCTCTGTTAATTTATGTCAACACATAAAAAGTAATTTTAATATGCCTGTAAGAGCTACCTATGTGTTATATCAAATGAATTCTGTACTTACAGGGCTCAGTTTCTTTTTTTTTTTTCTTTTTTTTAAGGGCTCAACTTCTTTTTAACTTACCAAAGTCACACAGTTTCAAAACATCATTGTGGCTGATTAAGAGATTTTCTGGCTTTATATCTGGAGTATCAAGATTAAAAAACAATTATTAAAAAGTGTTCCACATACTGCTGATTGATCCCATTAGATTACTATAACAGCACCTAATTAGAAACATCCAGAGTAATTTGTATGGAGACCTGTGGAGCAAAATGCAAAGTAATACATTTTATATTGGTACATAGAAATTTCAATTTATTTCTTTTTGAGAAAACATGCAGATGCAGACCACAACTTCAAAAATGTTTTTCCCTTTAAATCTGAAAGGCATTAATTAGATCACTGCAAGGAATTTTAAGAATGACTGAATCCAGGCTACCACATTTCAAGGAACTATTTTTAACATACCTTGTAAAATATTAGTGATCCAAAATTCTGGAGATAGAATATAAAATGTTTACACCTATAAGATACCTCAAAAACATGTGTTAAGTAGCTAGCACTGTATTTATTGGAGGAAAAATACACATGTAAGATAGATTTTGTTGTGATTTTCCATACTAATTTCTGTATTTACATATCTCTTAGGTTTTCTGTGTGGTTCAAAATTATAAACATCTAATGCCAAAGCTATACGACATGAGTCAAAATAGGTTCTCTCATTTTTTTCATGGATCTTTTGAAGATGTAGTGGGAGTTGAGGAGTAAAAATAGACAGAAAATGCAGCTTAACTCCCCCCTTTGGAGGCATCTGAAAATACTATTTTTAGAGTACCCATCATCTATTTCATACTGTAGAGGTGAAAACAGAGAAAGGGAAGAGATAAGAGTGCAATCTGTAGATTTCCGAATCAGTTTCTACTGCTAATTCACAACCATTGATTCACTACACACCTAACCAACTCACAGTACCACTATGGAAATGCAGCTTAGTCAGTTCCTTATTAATATCCTCAAGTGGTAGTATAGACTGTTATCAGAATCTTACCCTAGATGTCCAGTTGACTTGGAGATCTACCCATCCACCAACAACCCTGACAACTGCTATTAAATTCAAACGTAAGAGAAATACAAATAATCTCTTTGTAGAAATAATAGGAGGTGGCATTCTTCACATGACCTTTAAGCTATTCTTAAATTGAGACTACCTTTAAAACAATATCCTTGTGTGTTTACATAGGCTTATTAAAATGTAGTAGTCATTTATCTGATAATTCAGAAGACAAGCAGACATTGCAGTATTCTGATGAGCAACTTTAGCTTATTATGTCAATGTGTCCCATTATATCAAGAGAAGATGAATGGCGCAGTCCAAGATGGTGCTAGGTAAGTAATTCCCCTTTTAATGCTATAAACCACCTACCTAATGGAATAAGGAGAAAAGACAGGAATTTATGGAATATAATCACAGCCTTTTTAGGCAAGGTTGATCACGCCTACAAACCTGCAAAACAGTGGGCACTTTTCTCTAACAAGTAGGGAAAATCACGAGGTGAAGGTATATACTTGGAGATCATTAGTCTCAGAGGGAATGAGAGGTGGCTGTCAGTGGTGGTCAGTGACTTGGGGACCACCTCAAAGCCTGATTCTGGGTTGTTTCCCACACCTGGTCTACCAGCAGGACTCAAAGGCAAAGGAGAGCATCCTTTTGCTATTTTTCCTGCACATAAGTTTCAAGATTTACATTTGTTGAGTTCTTTATATAGCTAGGCATTCCTACAGCTAAGAGGGAATCTGGTTAAACAAACACAGAGATGTCACCTTAATATCCAAATAAACTTGTACTCCATCCTTTCAGTGATAATAAAGGAGACTTGGAGGGTAAACAACATCTCATATCCTATACTTTCAAAATACATTTAATTTATGAGGAATTTAATTTAAAGTGCCCAAGGAAGTATTCTTAAGACAGTAACATATGAACCATCTGTTAATTTTATTTGATGTTTTAATATTTTCCATTTCAAAAATTCCATACTTACCCCTATGAACAATATCATTCTTATGGCACCAGTGAATAGCTTTGATTAGTTGATAAATATAACTTTTAACTTTCTCAGGTGGAACTCCATTTGGCATTTCTTCCAGCAATTCAAGCATATTCTAAAAATTAAATAGGGAACCATCAATCTCCAAAATCAGGCAGGCACATAAATCATGTATTAAAAAAATTTTAAGGCATCTGGGATGATATACAACATGCTTATTTTTTCATTATTTTGTTTTCCACCCACAACCCTTTTCCTGCAGTCACAGGATATTGTATTAAATGAAGGTTCTCTTTTAAAAGAATCTATTTTTATGATTCCCAAATGCTGCCCAAGTAATAACCCTGGGTACTTTTTACTCTCCCTAAAATCTTTCAGCATCATTTTAGAATAAATTCAAGGGAAAAACAATACAAAATAGACATATGACATTGTAATGTATAAAGGACAGGGGAAATAGTTACTTTAACACAGAGTACTGTGTATCTTTAATAGAACCCTGCAATAAAATCAAGCCTTGAAAACATTTCTGAGAGACCTGGAAAACATCTGTAAGAGCAAATGATCCCTAAGATTAGAAGTGATCAATAAAATCAGTATAAAAATTAGGGCAGGCTAGAAAATACTCTTGAAATAAAAAATTCACTGACTCCAACTAAATCAGTATTTGTCCAGCGTCAGAGACCATTCTAAAATTCATGCAAAATTATTAAGTAGAAACTCTATTTACTTAGTCTCCACTGATTTCCAGATATACCAAACATTCTCCATTCCCTGTGTAAAGCACCAATACTAAGGCCCACGGCATGATTAGAGCTTCCTGTTTGTAGACGACCATCTAGGAAAGCAGTTCTCAAAGTGTGATCTGTGGATCTCGGGGAGAGGAAAGGGTCCCCTCAAATCTTGCAGAGGGACCATGAAGTCAAAACTATGACACAAAGCAATGATGGGTAAACTGGTGGCAACTTAGCATGCATCAAGACACTAGATTCTGCAATGCCACATTCTTGCAGTTAAAAATAAAGACCAGGATGTCTTTGATAAAGCAATAAAAATTATCAATGTTATTGAATGTCAATTTTTGAGTACATGTCTTTTTAGGAATCTGTCTACTAAAATGAGGAATACACATATAGCACTTCCGCTGTTTATCAAAGTATGATGGTTGTCTTGAGGAGAGGCTCTTGGGCAACTGAGCTGCAAGCTGAACTAGCTGGTTATTTGTGGAACACCATTTTTTACTTGAAAGAAGGACACAAATGTATTTATGATAACATTTAATGGGTGTACTACTGTTATTTTTAAATGGATTTATAAATATTTTTATATCACTCAGTTTTGACTTATGTAAATATATTAATATTTATATATTGACATAAAACTCAAATAAAGTCCCCATAATCTTAAGAGTGTAAAGGAGTCCTAAGACCAAAATGTTAGAAAACCCGCTGCTCCAATCCTACTTCACACTTTTGTTCCCACCAGTCAAGTTGTATAATATAAACAGCTGTTTGTTCATAACATTTCCATACCTATCTTAACAGATGCACTTTTTATTTTAATATAATTAAATATCACATAAACCAATGAAAATGTTTTTTTAAAAAGAGAGCTGCTCTTTTTGAGAACACAAAGTGTGCTGTTTTGGAACGGCTTAATAAAGGAAAGTCACTAAACACATAGCCGTCTAATCACATGTGAATGTGACAACTCTAAACCACTGGCAAGGGACAGAGGGTGGTGGTGGTAAGGATTCTGCATTGACATTGCTTTGCAATGTTTTTAAGCTTCTGCTTCGCTTTAAAGAAGCAGACGCAGGATATCCTAGTTGATGCGTCCATCACAGGTATGATGTATGCAAGAAAGACCCATCAGAATTCTAACCAGAAGATCAATACTCAGAAAGCCTTGACCCTACCTCTAAAGACTGGTAAATGAAAATATACTGATATGTTTCAAGTTAAAATGTGTAAGGTATACATGCATCATTTTTAAATGGTTCTCCACTTCAACTGCCTTTTTCAAATAACAAATGCAGCATAGGAGGCCCCAAATATATATGAGAAATAAGAGGGCTTTATAATATAAAGTGAATGGTATGACTCATTTCATATTCAACTCTAAATTCCTCAGTGGCAGAGAGGAATGTCCCCCAATATCCATTCTCCCCTTACTCCACAGTAATACAATTTGTAAATGGATGCATAGGTGTCTAGAATGAAGAGTATATTTACCCTCAGCTTGCAGCTAGTGTGATCATGCATTTAAGGATGTGCCGATGTGATGTGGTAACTGGAGCTCTATCTGGACCTGAGAACAAGTCACATCTCAGGAGTGGTACAGAAGAAAAGCAGAGGCCACCTGGGTCTCCTATAGCTGCAGAGCAGTTACTGTACCAGCCCGGTCATGCCTACCTTTGTATTTGTATGTGAGAAAGAAGAAACGTCCGTTTTGTTTAAGCCACAGCAATCCTGAGTTTCTGTTGCAACCCCCAACCCCTTTAGAAGCATCTTTCTCCTTGCACTTTTGAGACTCATTGTCAATCATTAGGGACTGCCATTGATGGGAGGGGATGATGGTCACCTTCTACTGAAAACCCACAGGGCCAGGGCAAGAATCTCGGGCCTGGGGGTCAGAAGACTGGAGTTCTGCTAGCATCAATGCCCCTTATCAGCAAAGAGAGCTCAGACATGACAAATCACCCAATATACACAGAGGTGGCTTCTCCATTTGTGCATACCAAATTGTTATTAAGTGCAAACGATCACCATGAATAGAACAGAAATAAAAAACAAACAGAAAGAGAACTGTCAAGAGTTTTATTATTTGGCAGTGAAAACTGCAAACTGCATGATTATTTTTGACAACTAATAATATAAAGAGCATCTGATTTTATAGCAATATAATAATTTTTTTAAAGTATCAAATTTTTGTTTTATTTTAGTGAGGAAGGTCCCTTAGGAAAATAACCTAAATTGACACAGGAAAAGAAACCTTAAAACAGTGTTTTAAAACAACAACAAAGAACCTTGTAATATTTCTCAAGTTTTGCTTGTAATGAAATTACTATATGTCTTTTTTAATTAGGAAAATAATTTGTAAAGGGTGAATTAATTCAAAAGTCACTTTACTGGTCAGTCGTCTTGGCAACTGCTTTCTACTTCATGATGGTGGTGGTGGTAGTGGTGATACTCTCTCATTTACGACACAGAGAGCACCTGGCAACTGACCTAAAGAAAACAAGAAACCTCTCCAGGCACCATCTTCTCTAGAGAGTTAACACAGTAATCAGCAGAGGCCACCTAGTTATTCATCAAGGAAGCCTCTAGAAGATCTGTCTGGCTCCAGTTTATGCTACTCTTGTTAAGGCACTTATTTAGGTTCTTGATGATAACCAACTGCAGCAGGTCACTGCTCTCCAAGAAATTCACAGGCACACAATATTGACTACCGTAGTGGACGTCTACCCTTAGGATGGCGCATCATTAAAACTGTTACTAATAGTTAACAATTTAAATAAAATACTGAATGCAGATACCTTGAACAATGTGTTCTTTTCTTCTTTTCTCCGATGCTTCCAGTTCCTTCCTTGTGGTCTCATACACCTCCTTAAGCCTCATCTTGGCCTACTGGCACATCTGCCCTCAAGCAAAGCCAAAGCACTGGCAGCTCACAAAAGGCTGCTTTCCGAGGCAACTCATTTGCCACCCTAGGTCTAATTTAGACACATGTTCTAGGCTTGGGAGGTGTCCTACACAGGCCTCTGTCATCTGTGCCACCACTGTCAACTTACTTGTCTCTCTCCGAGGCCTTGCTTAGGTTTAATGAAAGTAAACCAAGTATAAAAAATTACATGTTGAACACAGACTCTAAGACTTCAGAAGCAAATCAATACAATATTTAAACTTAAGATCATCTCTATACAGTTATATGTATTTTTAAAAATATATTTTATACGACATAAAATATATTTACATTTTTTTTCAGGACTTCTAATGATTATGGATAATACTTTCATTTTTAAAGTCTTCAGATTATGAGTATATTGACAAGTCATACTAGATCATACTTCCTTGCATAGCATCAGAAAAAGCCCTAAGTAAGAAATCAAGTAAATCTCCAAAGCATCAATTAGTGACTTACTTTTTCAACATACTCAAACACCAAGTACAACTTCCCCCTCCGACGAAAGGCTTCCTTCAGCTCCACAATGTTTTCCTGTTTGAGAGTGCGAAGCATTTTAAGCTCACGTAAAGTCGTTTCCTTGACTTCTTCATTTTCTAGAATGTAAACAAATGATGAATAGAGTAAAATTAAAGCCTTCAAACTACTGTTCAAAAAATTCTAAGAACATTAAAAACATACCAGTTTCACTTGCCACTTTGGTACTTCTGCATAGGAAGTCTAAGGATGAACTATTAAGTATTCCATTGTCTTGGATCAGGGATCAAGAATAAGAAACTCAAAGAAGAGAAGACTTATGTGACCAGCACAAACTGATTTTCTGCTTATATTTTCTTATACTTCTCATTGCAAAGTGCATGTGTAAAACACAGACTCATAGATATGATATATAAATCCACTGTCATTTTAACTTTCACACTACCTACTGAGGAAGAAGTTTAAAAGAGGAAAGAGGAGTGAGCCATATTTACGTGCAGAGAAGCCTCTATGAAGCATCTGTAGCAGCTGACGTTTTTAAGTTTGGCCTGAAGCTTTGGCTTAAAAGAGCCTTTGATTCCTCAGGCTGCCATGTGCGTCACCTCACCGAGCAGAGGTCATGTGCCAGGCATCCACAATGCCGCTCCCAGACAAGCTGCAGGGAATTCTAAGTATCTGATCTTCTCTCAGAACTGCAGCTGCTGTAGGTTCCTGCTGTCTTCCTGTGGCATGTCCACCTGTCCACCCCAGATGGTGTAGCTATACTGGGATGGAGAACTTATGCTTAACCAATACACCCTTCTATATCATCTTCACTCATGATAACCCTCACCCCAGACACGGAGGAAGGACACAAGTCACATTAACTCTAATGGATTAATTAGCTGGGAAGTAGAAAAGGTAGTATTTCACTTAAAATGAATTTTTATGAGAGCTTTAGATTTAACTGGGAAATTCCAACTGCCATGTTTACAGATGTATGCACAAGGACACAGGTTCATAATCTCTTATCTGCAATCCCCCAAATCCAAAAATCAGCCTAAAAACTGAATGCTTTTTTCAAAGTTTACGGCAAATCAGTTTAGAGGCAAAACCTGAACTGACATGAGATCGCTTATAGTCTGTTTATCCCAAATTGGTATATATATTCATATATTGTGCTTTAGAAATACTATCTGATGTCAAGGTGCTAGTAACATGCTTATTTCCACTATAAAATTCAAAGGTTATGAATTCTAAAACACGTTTGGCCCCAAGGGTTCGGGTTAAGGGTCAGAATCCTAGCTTGAGATCTAAGTTCTGTGAACCCCAGGGTCGGGCATGTCTGGAGAGGAAGAAAACGGAATTTGGGGATAAGGGTGAGAAAGATTAAAATGTCTTCGAGGAAGAAATGCTTCCTAAGCAGACACACAAGAGGAAAAAGGCTGAATGGGGCCAAAGAGGGAGGGGAGATTCTAAATGCAGTGCCACGAATACTTCAGATTATTTTCTATCCCAGTCCTTCTCCCAACCCCCATTCAAACTGAGTTTAAAGAAAAGAGACCATAATAAAAGCAAGGGCTTTGTAGCACCAGAGCACCTGTTACAAACAGGGAACATAAAAAGTCAACACTGCTTTGGAAACTCGTTACACAAGTGATGTATTCTCCCTACTTCAACAAGTGGCCTGTTAAAGAACGCCAGAGCACAGACTTAGGAAAGGCCAGGCAGAAATTCTGCCCGCCCGAAGGCAAGAACTAGCAGTGGCAAAGGCAAGAGTGGCACAAGCAGTGAACCAGCCCAGCCCACCTCAGGGGGGTCAACTGGGAACTGGGCACTCACAGGGCCCACCCGACGTGAGGGAAAAAGAGCATGAAGCAGTGGGGGCCACCTGGTAGTAGGGGGAAGGTGTGTGATGTGACCGGGGGCCTTCCCAAAGCCCAGCTGTTCTGCAAGCTGGGGCTGTGCCTCAGCAGTGGTGTGTTGCGACCTCTGGACCTGCTGACGCCTAGGAAATGCTGAAAGTCTTTAGACTTATGAAGAAGGCCAGCCTGCTTCATTGCTCTCCTATCTGAGTTACTCCCAAAGTTGGGGAAATCAAAGTAAAATCCACCTCTAAGACAAAGAATACCACACAGATCTCAATGAGAAGCAAATGATCTTCTGACAAGGAAGCAATTCAACAAGGGGCAAAAACATGGATTCCTTGTGACCTGGTCCTCATCTGCTTTTCTACCCTCATCTCCTTCCTTTCTTCCCTTCCCTCAGTTAGTCTTTCAAATCCCAGAACAGCCCAAACTTTAGTTTTCAACCTTAGGACCTCTGAACTTTTTCCGTCTGCCTAGAACTCTCATTCTACTACAGGACTCTTTTACAGGGCTAGCTCCTTCAGGTCTGGGTGTATACATCACTCCTCATGGCCTTGCCCAGATCACTAACCAAAGCAGGCCTCCATCCCATTATTCCTCACCGGACTACTCTGAACTTGTCTTTCACTGGCCTTCTCACCATTTTTACTGATGCATGTGCTTGCTTATTGGTTTAAGCAGCTGTGTGGCCACCCCTGCTCAATCGAGAGCTCCAAGACAGGTCTACGTTCTGCTGTTCAACAACATACCCCCAACCACTTGGGGCTGTACCTGGCAGAGAGGGGACTGATAAACACTTCCTACATGAATGCTTTCACTGGTACCAAGAGAAAATCTTTGCTCACAGGCGGCTATCTCTCATTCCCTTAAGACACCGGAAGCAGCAATGTGACAGCAAATAATAGGTACTTTGCCCTCTCAGTTTTGAGTACAGTACTTTCAAAGGACAGCTTCTCAGGCAATATGACAAACTGAATTTATTTTCCCCGATTCACCTCTGCCCTGGGTTGTCTTCTGCAATATGTGATAATGAAAAATGGAGGCTCCAGAAAACTGACAGCACTAAGGGTCAAGAACACATATATATTTAATCATTAAGAATATCCATAAACCATGCTAGAGCTGGGTACAAATAAACGTTGCACCAAAGTCAAAAGTAAATAAAGCTGGTGGTCTATCTTTTCTAATCAATTGCTTGCTAAATTCTTGGCTCCCAAAAAGCAAGTGAAAGAAGGGAGATTTATATTATTAGCACTTGTGGCAGTTTCACTTTGCTAACATTTAAAGCCACCTCAGAATGGCCAAAGCAGGATGGTTTTAGTAGAAGGAACACTGGAGTAGAATTTGGGAGAACTAGATTTTGGATCCTTTTAAACCAACACTGTGACATGTAACTCTGGGAAAGCCACTAATTTTTCATAAAATAACTAAGCAACTATCCAAAAGCAACAGGATACACATTCTTCTCAAGTGCACATGGAACATTCTCCAGAATAGACCACATACTAGGCCACAAAAAGAGCCTCAGTAAATTCCAAAAGATTGAAATCCTACCAACCAACTTTTCAGACCACAAAGGCATAAAACTAGAAATAAA